GCATTCGATATCAGTGGCATTTCAAGACCGTCGGAACAAAATATCACTGTAACGGCTTTTTCTGTTAAAAGTTGAAATAATGATCCCACAGTCTTGATATATTTATCTATCAATAGCTGAATCACTCGCTATTACCTACCGTTGAAGATAGAGAAGCTGTGGTTCAATTTAGATAGTGGAGACTATACCTGCTATAACGACTACTTTTTTTTTGTTAAAATACATGAAATACCTTCGACATTCACGTAATATTTTCAAAATTTGTATCTCATCAGCAGTTTGAAAAAATAGTCACATTTATTGTTTAAATCCATACTGTTTCGGATGAAGTAACTTATCTGTGAGAAATAATTTGTTTATCAACAATATGGACTAAGTTTGAAATTATTCAGCTATATGTCATTCAACTTCAACTATATATTTTCTAACTTTTTCTCATTTAGAACAGAGGGGAAGGAATTGAGGAAGTGAAGTGTTATCATTTGCTGATGCAGCTACCGCAATGTAATTTTCTAGTTGAATTTAACATAAATTTTGCGGAGCACGTATATGGAGAAATGGTAATCCAAAATTAAAGAATTATTTCATAGGAAATCCGTTTCTGGTACATTGATGTTAGTATTTTCAAAAGGAGGGGGACAAATCTCAAAAAAAGCATACGAAGACGTCTGAAGAGGTCCATTGGTTCTTTTATTTAATATGCTTTTTTCGGCCTTATGCTTTCTTTCTGCGTAAAACTTTAAAAAACAAAATGAAATGTAACTTCTGTTTATTGCAAAATGAAAATCACGGAAGTAAAATTCGACTTGTATTCGTCATTTAATTTCAATCATGCCACTTGTTAAGAACCATAAAATGCCACATTTAGATTACATTTAATGATATGTTAGAACATCACATTCATATATTCGAGTTAATTAACTCTTTGTAAATAGGTAATCTTCTGAAAGTTTGGTCATTGCCTACTTCGAATTGTTAATACCTGTCAGTACTACCAACCTAAACTAAAGAATATCTTTCAGTAGAATGCTACACCAACCTAAACTAACTAAAAATTAAGCGGATTTAGGGAAGTATCTAACTTTCGATCATTTAATAGAATAATCATTTGAAATTGTTGCGCTAACTTACTTCAGGTCTTTATTTGAATAAAGAGTGGAAATATTTTACACAGAGTCACTATTAAACAATAATTATGGCACAGATTATGTTTCCCATTGCTCAGGGATCATAAAATCAGAAGATGGGGAGTTAATAACAGTGTGTCGCATTAGACCTTCTGTTCTCTGCCTACTACCGCGCTTCAACATTTCAACATTCCTCCGATCGTTCAATTTTTATTATTTTTACCCTTAAAAATGTTGAAACTTCATTGATTCATTTTCTATCTCTTGTCCTCATCTATGGCTTACTTATAATTTACGGAGTTTCGAAGAAACTTCATATTCGATAAAATTTCGAGTAATGATTAAGTGATCCAAATAGACATTATCAAGTAAGATATTTATCAATTAGCCTGAAATTGACCTTATTAGAGCCTCCACAATGATCTCATGTTCTCTGAACACACTGAAGTCTTACACTTTCTGCAAAATTAATAACTGTATATATTATATATAAATAAGCTTCAATTAAACCGCTTTTCGCGCACAGTCATGATTCCATTTCGATTCCATTTATTTGGCATTTCAAATAAAATTTCCAATGCGTAATGATGCGCTCCGTTGTAGCGCTTTATTCTTCCCTGATGATCGTAACAACTCATTGTTCACTTCTCCGATTTCTCTAATTCTCCGTTTAATTTTGTTTGTTCGGCTTTTCAAAATTTTTCTTTGGCTGCTTTCATATTCTTAGGCGAAAGACATTCATCAATTTTTCATGATATTTAGTTCCATTCCATCGTTTAGGCGCAATATAGAAAAGAAATAAGATAACAAATGATTTTCACAAGGCAAAATTTCTACATTTGTAAGAAGAGACATAAGTTGGTAATAAAATATTCTATGTGTTATGGAAATATACTTGGAGTCGTCTTCGATCATTGTTAATTTTTTACTTCCATATTCATCAATGGAGTTAGTAATTGTTGCATTGTATAGAAATAGGGAATGTTTCAATACCAGAAAGCTATTCATCATTTTCTAAGTAGTTTTAGACTACCCCATTTTCTATCCGATCATTTGTCTTGGTGAATATAACTCTCTTTTTTTTTTCTCATCACGGAAAAATTCTTCAAAAATCGGAAATCGACTTTTCATCGATATACCGAAGATGATCTTATTGCTATCCAGCCAACCAGTTATTGATTAACGACATATTCTTTTGAATTTTTGGACAAATAGTTATAACAATATTGACAGTGATAAGGATGACAATAAGTAGATAGTTATGATCAAGACAAATACTATATATATATATATAGCAATATCATAGTTTTTTTTTTTTTCCTGGCCTAATTAAGATTACAGTGAATAACCGATATAAGACGTAAGACGATCGAAGGGTCATCTTTTAAAAACTTCAATGATAAGAAATGAAGGAAATAGTTCTATTTATGATACAGTTAGTTATTTCAAGTTGTACAAAGTTGATATTGGCTTTATTTTGTTCTCTTTGATGGAGCGCATGGATTGGAACATTGACGACGGAAATGGTAAGTTGTTCCGAAAAGGTGAAATGCTGTCAAAAATGTTCACTTCCGGTCCATTTTTGTATGCCGCCAGTTTACGACCAGCAAATAGTTTTTAAACTCTTTTTCTACAATATATGTTATATATGAAAACACCAGTGCTTTTACATACCTCTACTCTATTAGCTAGCATTCATTGATGATACAATGTGTGCTATGTAAATAAATTATCTTTACCAAATGTGTCCTTTAGGAAGTGAAGATAGTAAAAGTTAAGTTGAAGTGTCATTCAACGGATTTTGATAAACAGATTGCATTCTCAGAATTATTTATTATAACTATTTATTCACATCCTGCAGTTAGAGTTGTTAAATTCTACAAGAGTAACCGGTTTGTTCCACTGTACATTCTCACCCTATTATCGCTTTATCATCACTTCGTAATATTATTACAATTTCTTTACAGATCACGCAATCATCTCATGGAGTACATCATGATCTTATCAGTCAGTAACTTTTCCCCTTTGTCCAAATTTTGCAGGGACCAAATTTCTTTGGAACAGCAATTCGGAAGCAATAAAAAGAAGTTTTGTACAAAACTTCTATGTCCGTAGTAAAATTTCTGGTTGGCATTTAAATAAAATCACGACGGCCGACTTTTTCAGTGCTTTGCAAATATAAAGTAGTCGATAGAATTACGATACATCACTACCTGCCATCGTCCGATTCACGCTTTTACTATTTGTCAGCTCTGTCTACTGTCACTGCACTATCCTAATTCAGTTCAATTTGATTTCATTTAATTTATTAATTCATTTATAAAAAATAGACGGAGTTATTACATCCACTGCGAAATTTGAAATTTACTGCAGCAAGATCGATTCTTACTAATAAAGAAGATTAAAAAATTTGATGTACTGTGATCACAACTATTCTTTAGGACTTTGCATTTCTTTTATTTATTCATATTCATTTCTAATTTATTTCACCGTATCCTTGTCTTTTTGGATTTCGCTTATATATTATTATCTCTCCATAGTCAGAAATTGTGCTTTTTAAAGTAAATTAGTTTAAACATAAAACGATTTCAAATCTCAGTGTTTGTCTACTTTTCTAAACGAGATCGTATTGTGTGTCAACAAAGAAAGTTACGGATAAAAAAAAAAATAAAATGAAAGAAGTTGTTGATGAAAAACGAAGAAATGGAGATTATATGCCAGTGATTACAAGAAATTAAGTACTATGAACATCTGTTTCAATTAAAAGTGTTTCTTCAATTTTCCTTTCAAATTTGAAACTGTGAGTCAGAAATAGAGGCTGACACGAAATATTTTGAAGTCGTTATTAGTTTTTCAAAAATAAATTATTTCAGTTTTGCTGATGAAGTATTTTTATACTGTTTCAATTTTTATGCTTTCCAAATTCAGTGGTAAAGCTGTGTATAATCAGGTCGTTATGTTTATTTTACATTATCTCGAAATTTTGAAAAAACCAGGAACAAAACTTTGTAATACTTACAGTCATATTTCATTGTTTCAAGATGAGGAGAATTTTACCTGTGCTGTTAGAAATTTTATCAGAAGCATGCAGCAAATTTGTTTAAGTTAAAATTTAACTTATAAGGATGTTAAATACTATCAAATTGGAAGTTTTATTATTCCTTCATTCTCTTCACTTGTTTCAAAGGAATTTCAGTAGCAACTTTCGTTTGTATTCTGAATTAAAATGTGACGATGTGAATATTTTTCTTTTTCCTACATTATTACTCGGCTGTCCGATAAAAATTTTCAGTGCTTTTCAAATGCGATGATAAAGTCGAACACAGCCAGAGCATGTTTATTTCACATTGCCTCAAGTTTTTTCGTGTGTCTGTTTTATGACTTTCTTATAAGATACCAAAAATTTGAATACTGTAACTGTTTAAAAATATTATTCCTCGTTTAAACTGCAGTAATAATCATGGCTTTATATTACGGACATTCTTTGGTAGAATCAATTTATTTAAACTTTGCAAAAGCTTTTAATACTTCGAAGTTTTTTTGATTTTTTTAATAAATTAATGCAGTTAGGAACTAATTGTTCCTGGCCGATATATTTTGTGATCATATAGTTCAGTCGTTTCTATTAGCCGTCAAAATTCAGAGAGTAAACTGAAGTATTTTTTAGAGTTAAATAATGGTGATTCAACATGCTTCAATGAAATTTTCGATCGAAATGATTCAGTTGAAAAAGCAAATGCCTTTGATCAACATATTTTGTTGCCATAATTGTTAATCCATCTTCTTTTATTGGATGAAATAAATCTTTTATAGTATGATCGATAACAGCGAATATTCAACGATAGCCAAGATCGTTTTTAATAAGGTCGAGATATGAAGTCCAATTTAGACTTAAGAGAAATATTTTCTGATGCCACTGGTACAATAATCGTTCATTTTACTGTCATAATTGCCCGAGCTGTCATTTATTCTGAAGTTATTAAGTTGAAAAATGTACTAAAAAAATTTCTGAAGTACTATTTTATATTGCATTTAATTGGTACAACAAATTCACAGTTCAGTTTCAACTGGGTTTCTTTCCAAAATGGTTTCGAGAACATTTCTTCAGAAGCCCCATATCAGAGTAAGATTTTTTGAGTTTTAAAGATGGCATCAACAGTTTGAAATTTCAACTTATCAATTTGTTTGATTACCAAATTTCAATTTGGTAATCAAACATGTGAAGAATAGTGTAGAAGCATTTTTTGAAAGTTTTTTATATATCAGTAGTCTGAATGTTGTTATTTATTCTTACATTGCTTTCGTAACATATTTGATTCACACTTTTTTTATTCCAAAAAGCGAAAGTAAGGACTTTAAAACCTTTAAATACCATAAGCTACCGGTTTCTCTAGTACATTTGCTCCCCGTTTTTAGAAATCTTGAACGAAGAACTTTATATTAAAACGCTGCGAGGTGATCCAAAAATTACTACTTTCGTTATCGACGATAGCGTGGTAAGAAATTTGTTTGTTTGGAATAATGAAATTTGTGAAGTTTGAACGCAATTTATAGGTAGATAGTAAAATAGATCATATTTGAAATCTAATCCAATTCTACTTTATAGCTCGCGGATAATCCAAACAAATCTCAGGTATTTCATAATTCAAAGTCCATCCGATCGAGGCAGCTTTTTCAACGTTCCTTATCAACTTTACCAGATTTTTCAATTGAAAAAAACCCAAGAGATCGTTCAACACTACTCACTGTTATTTTGCCTCGTTCTCCAACCAATTTCGGCCAATTCATCGCTAAAGTTGTTGACATTTCACCAGTCGTGTAAAAGTTTTAACTCTCATTCTTTTGCAAATCTTTAAAAAGTTTTAAAAAAGTAGAAATAAACAACATGAAAGTTATGTTAGACAATCTATTGAGATACCTGTTTGAACTTTAGGAAAATAAGACTTCCAATTCCGATTTCATTCAACTTAAAGTGGTGATGAATCGAATAATTTTAAAAAGATATAATGTTGATAATTTCAGAAATCTATCAGAACGCGATATCAATCGGACATTTTTAGCTTCGCCATCAGATTTTAAGACTATCAGCATTCATGGCCTTCATCCTGGCCATCAGTACAGGTTAAATTTTGCGGAATCTTTTCACATTTTTATTCAGAATAAAAATCAGGGCGAAAGTTTAAATCTTTTCATTTGAAATAACGCATTGAGAACAAAATGCAAATGATGTTTTTCTGGAATTCTGTTTTATTACAGTAAATATATACTAACTAGTTTCATTTACTGGCTATTTCTCTTTATTTTAATCTACTAGGAATGGTAAGAACAAATAAACAGTTTAGTCGACCAGTGATATCGACTCTCGTTTAATGAAAAATAATGTGATTTAGGGACATGAATCATCTTATTTCAAAAAACTACGATGTATATTAAGTGTATGAGAAAGGCCAAATGGATACATAAGTGCTTATAAATTGATTCAAAAAGTGCAATTAATTTCACGTAGAAGTCACTGTGATCATTTTCAGTTGATAATCGAAATGAACATAAAAGTAACTATAAACTGGAAATTTAGATTTATGATTTTTTGTAAAATTCCAAATCTTAAGAGATTTAGAAAAACAAGACTAAACATTAAATAACTGGATTGTAATTCAAGTGGAAAATTATTGTGCATAACGTGAAAATGCTTCCTCATTTTACCTTTAACGTGAAACCACAATGATATATATATGTGTGTTTCCATATATATTTTACACTTTGATATCTAAAATTTGTTAAGCACATGCATAAGATATTTGAAATACTAATCGAACTTATTCGCATCATCAAGAAAGCTCTAAGCCATAGACTCAAATTTACATTTTCATTTTTTGATTATAGTTTTTGGGCAGTAAAATCGCATCTATTAAGATTTTATTATTAGTTACTGCTAAAAAAAAAATTCAAAAAATGAGATTTGATAGGCAGGTAACTTTGACAAAATCCATTTTCTGTCCTTAATTTCTTCAGCGTCACTTCTCACTTGTCATGTAATGGCTGAAGATACATATTCGTTCATCCGAAAATTTGGATCTCTTCATATGAGAGTTTGCTTGTTTGCTTGTCACGTCTTAGTTAGAAATAAAGAGATAAAGGACAAACAGTAGAAGGATTCCCCATAAATAATTTATGGGGAATTATGACTTGATTTTTACAAAAAATTAAAAATTGACATAACGAATAGTAAACCTGAAGGAACATGCAGTTTTTTTTTTTCTCTCAAAAAAGAATTGAAGATTTACTTCTTGCAATACTTTTTTGTGCACTTCATTTCAGTGATTTTGCATTTTTTTTTTCCAACAGAGAAAATTATTTAATGTAAGCGAATTTTAACTTGATTCAGAGCAAATATAATTCCATTTGATTTCAGTGTTACAGTGCTTGGTAGACGAAAAGGTGAATCGCAGCTAATTAAAGAAGAAACAGTGATAACAGATCCGGTAGCACCAGATTTCTCGTCATCTAATGCATCCGTCCTTTCTTTCCACACTAATATTACTCTACGAGCGTTGAAACCTGAAAAAGCTCTACAGGTTAGAGTTTTATTTGAATAAAAAAACAAATGATAGGTTGATAATGAATATTACAATGAATATTAAAAGATAGTAAAGAAATGACTGACAACTGTAAATGATTACAAAATGATTTTGTCGTGAGTTGTTGAAGCTTCCAGCTTTATTTCTGAATGAGTTAAAACAGAATTGTACAGAATTAAGCTTCTGATTTCTTTGAAACTCGTTAATGTTTTTTTTGTCAAGATGAATTTTGATATATGTAATAGAACCTTGTAATAGAATATTCTGAATTTGAAACAGCTCACATGTAGAATTTGTTACAGGATATCTACCAAATATCATATGTACAACTTGATCCGTTACGAAATTTTCCGAAACTTGAAGTTAATGACATTCCGGAACAAAGATATATAGAAATTTATCTTGGAAATTTGATGCCTGGACAAGATTATAATGTTTCTATTACACCACAAATAAAGGATATCGAAGGTCGACCTTGGAATGGCATCCTAACAACAAGTTCATTTTCATCACCGTTATAGCAGCTTAATTTTTTAAACATAGCAGGACTTATAGCAAAAATTTGAATTTTTAGAATTCAAACTCTATCAAAAAATGTTTTAACTGATATCCTATCTCTGTGTTTCTCCTACTGTCTTTCCTGTGTTGATCTCTTGATTCTCTTCTTCGACTTTCCTTTTTAGAACCTTATTCACCAGAAAATTTAACGGTAATAGAGCTCAATACTTCATGTTTACGTCTTTCATGGTTCTTAACATCAAGGACAGGTGCTGATTCAATTTTGATCAGTTATCGGCTTGACAATACCAACAATCCGTTGACTGAAGTAAGATTTGATCTTGGAAATTTCACTTACAAGTTTTGTGAAAGACTAGAAATTTGTCGTTTCTCAGTCATCTTACTTATTCAGCGAATAATTATCATATCATAATGTGTCGTGAAAGTTTTGAAGATTTAATTATTATTTTGGAAGAGGTTGATTTTGAGGAGATTCGTTGGATGTAGATGTAAATATGTGGGGTAACAGAGGAGTATAATAATTCCTTTATTAGCAGAAGTAATAGTACAATAACTTGAGAGTGAACTGAAGTTGAACTCTCCTCGTTTCTGGTAAAAACACACAATGCTCCTTTTCAACAAGAGTGACCTCCTTTATGTATATAGTAAGCAATATGCGTAAACAAAGTATGTGATTTACAATAAGAGGTTAACCTATCGGTCTAACAAAGAGCTGTTGACCTAGGTTACAATCAAATCTGTTTACTAGTTGACTAGCCGCAAAGGACGTCAGTTAAGCAAAAATTGTTAACCTAGTAGTTTCAAGAATAATTTACATTTAGTAGCGACACAACAATGAGTCAACTAAATGAGAATCTGATACCGTCTAAATAGTATATAAAAGATTTATAGTCTAAACATAAGACTTGAAACAAAGGATTCAATGCGAAATTTCATATTAATATATTTCTTACTCATATTTTCAACTCTCATATAGTAATTTTTTGCGATAAAATTTGCGACGTAATAATCCTTTCAATAGTAATTTTAGGTCACAGTACGAAGTAACCAAAGATCTGTCGACATATGCAATGGTTTACAACTTGGACGAACGTACATATTCATTGCAAAAACGAAGAAAAACAGTGAAACATCAGATGATATCAAGCTGCTTTATACGGTGAAACCAAAGGCACCTGAAAATTTGAAAATTTTAACAGATTATGAGAAGCGGAAATTCAGGTGCCGCTTGTTCTTTTATTTTTCGGGTAGTTTTTAATAAAGATTTGATCTACTAGAGCTTATAAGGCCTTTGTAAGTGAAAAGGTAAGTTTTGAAAAAGACATCAAAGCTTATGTAGCTAAAATTTATAGATATAAATTGTAACAGACCTTTTGCTGACCAGATTTTCTTTAGACTGGTTATGGATATAGCGTCAGAATCTGAAAGTTATGTAGAAAAATGTTTCGTCAGTTTGGTAAACGAAAAATTAAATGTCATTGAAAAATTATCAAGCGTTGACAGTACAAACAGCACCTCAGCTGCCAGAGAGTAAGTTCATCCAAGTAATGAAGTCGTTATACAGCTATATGAACTGGTTAATGAGTTATTTCAGAAACTTTTTGCCGAATACGTATATTGCTTATAAAGTATTTAAATTCGACTTGATAATGATTATTAGTTTTATCACTGTAAGTAGCCATTATATTAGTGCTTCACGATAAGAAATCTACTGATTTCCGCACAACATGATTGTTTTCACCGAAGCAATATGCTTATTTTAACGTTTCTGTTTATTTTGAATTTTTTTTAAAAAATATTATTTGATGGAAGTTGGATTTAGATGTTCAATCTATGTAGATCTACATCCCGGTCAACGTTATGAAGTTTCTGCAAAAACAATTAGCGAGAACGCATCGAGTAATATTATCTCTAAAAGTTTTGCCTTACAACCAGCTTTTGATATGGAAACCTTTGGATTACAGCTGTCAGTGAGTGATAATTTTCATGAACTAAACTAAGTAAAGGATTCATTTCTCCAAATTAAACTTTTCCAAAAGTGCATATCTGCATACAGCTATTCTAGAAACTTGCTCATCAATAATGGCTAATTAGTAATGATTAATGGACAAGTTTTAAAATACGTACAAAACCATGCATATTATGAACCGTTCTAAAATCTTCATTTGTCGCGATCTATTGCATAATCTGTATCATTGGTATTTTGATCTGATTAAGATGAAAAATTACAAAAATTAAGAAATGAGTCCAATTTCTACGCAAATTAAAAATGTGAAAATAAATTTGATGCTGTCCATAATTAGTATTATTACTTCTTTTCTTCAGTATGAAAAAGAACTTATAAATAACTGAATTAAAAGTTAAGGAATCCGATGGAACTTTGATGCTAAAATGGCCCGTAGCCGAGATGGCTCAAGCACGACTGGATGACGTTTGGGAAAATATTGTTGGTCCAGATAGCACGTTACATCTACGCGTCGATCCGCTGAGCAAGTCGATGTGGCATGAACAGTCAAAACGCTTTGAACGAAGACAATATGAACGTGATCCTTTGACTATTCCAAAGCTTAGACGTGGTGCTTGTTATAGGGTAAGATGTAAGATGAACCACTTTTGTCAAAAGTCCATTATTATGAAGTATATATGTACCATAAATACTCTGTAAGTACATAGTGTTCATTTGTAAGTAACATTTTGATAAGCAATGATGACAATCGAATAGAATTATATGCATGATGAAAATTAGTGAAATATATGGGCAAAGAAGAATGAGCTTTTCACTGCACCTAACTGCTGATATATACAGAAGTTCGCTAAAGAGAAGGGCCTCCCACTGATCAATTTTTGATAACTTAGAATTTTTTCATCTTCAAAATTTAGCTAATTATTTGCGATATCTGTCCAATTATTTAATCTTCTGTTTAACTTCAATTCAGGTGCAAATTTATACAGTAACAAAAAGCGGCATTGCTAGTGCACAGAAATTTGAAGAATTTCTTCGGATCAGTGCACCAAAAGTCAATATAACGACAAAAGAAATAGCGAAAAGCACAGCTTCTTTTCGAGTAATTCTCGAATCACCTGTTATTTTCGATCCTCCGGAGTGCAATTTACATATCGTAGTACTAGATATGCGAAATATAACCATTTATGACCGCACTACACCTCTGACACCAGAAATATCACCCGTTGTTTTAGAAGGGCTACGGCCTTATCACCGTTATATTATTAGATCCCAGGTGCATTTTTCAATCTTTCTCAAAACATCAACCTCTATAGGACCACAAGTTTTTGAAGTAATTCTAACTTGTTAAACTTGACTGAAAACTGTCAGGTTTCGTATACTTTTCTCATTCTTTGCATAGTCAAATGGCTATTATTACAGTGATCAGTGTTCACAATTTTCAAACATTTGTCACATATGCCTTTGACACACAATAAATGTTTTTTTTTGAATTAATTAAAACATTTTCTTCGAGTTAATCAAATTGTAAAATGCAAATATAAATTCAAATTTCAGATATTTCACATTATTGGCAAAGATTAAATTTGTTTTAGGTCATCTGTGGTAAAGTAAATGATATGAATTGTTTGCCAAAACTTCGGGCAATGGAACCAATCTTTTTCGAAACACGGCAAGATCGACCAGGACCAGTACGAAGTCTGATGGTGCGCATATTGAATCCGTACAGTGTACAATTATTTTGGCTACCGCCATCTTTGCCAAATGGCATTATTACACATTATATTATTGGCATACATTCTGTGGTTTGTTTCTTTTTCAATTGATTTTTAGTTTTTTTTTTTTTTTTTAATTGATTGTAATTTACTGAAATAGATCCCTGATGTTGGTAGTATGCAAATAATTTCTTGCAGACTAAACAATTTATGAGTTACAATTAGTTTAAGTGGGAAAGTGAGAATAGACGAGTTGAAGTTCTGAGAGTCTATTTCTACAAAATATAATTAGACGCTGTAAATATGGACTATTCATCCAGATGAAAGAAAAAAAGACAATTATGGCATAAAGTTAAACTATGAAAAACTTTCTGAACCGATGATATAGAATAACGGTAACAGTATTTTTTTGAAAAAAAAAAAAAAAAAAACTCGAATTTCACCTTCATAAAATATTTGTTATAAAACAGTGTGTATTGACGAATGGATGATTGGTTTTAGATTTTAAAGAAAATTGCAAATTGATAATATTTGTGCGAAGTCATAGCTTATTTACCGCTACTTTCCTTTTTTTTTTTAATTTTAGGTGAAAATTTAGCAAAATTATTTGGCAGTAAATGGTTAAGGAAGAAAACACATCTTTTACTAAAAAAAATAAAATAAAACCTTATGATTTGACCTAGAAAACAGGTTCTCCTCCATGTACTCAACCACTGTTCATAGTTATGAATTTTTATTTGAAATTCCGGACAAAAGAAGGGAAGAGATTCTCACTATTTCCTTGTTCCTTTCTTTTGTATCTTTTTTCTTCCTTCCTTCTTCGCTCCCTTTCCATCATCTTTAATTCTTTTTCTTTTTTTACCGATGATATCTTTCGTCCACTATGCCCCACTCATTTTTTTCTACTATTACGTAATGCCTCGAGATATTGGAATTTTTCGTCGCGACATGAAACTGTCAAGCAGTTCATTTTGCAATTTTTAAACTTCAAGTATTGCCGTTCTAGAATCAGTGTGCCTCTTTGAGTAATTACAATTAAATTACTCAGTTGCATTCCCTCCCCTTATTCTCATGATCACTATATTGCTATTTGCTTTATTAATTTAATCAGCACATGCAATCTTTTTGTTTCCTCTCCGTGCACTTTTTCGGTGAACTTTACATTTGCGCTTCTGTCGTACTGATGCTACCACAACACAAGGTCGTTGAACGGGTTTAACCTGCCTCGACGAAATATTTTTTGAAAATTATTCCCATTTTGCATCAATTTTAAAAGCACTTCAACATCCTTAATCAGTTTCAGGTTACTAGTAAACACTTTTTGTGACACGTGAGTCGTCTGACTCTTGCAGCTTAGAGTTGAATTGGAACTTCCCCTGTCTTTCTTGCTTTTTGTTATTGTAGTTGCTATAGACGAATGCGTTACATGAAAGGTCTATTGTAACGACTTTATTTGATAGCAACCACGATACAAATCTAAACGGAGAATATGCTTATGAAGTTCGTAGCATTAGCCTGCGAATATGAGATGAGAATAAATTGGTGGGAGTGATTACTTCAAGAACTTGCAATAAGTGCATGATTACATTGAGTGAAGAGCTATTAGATGCTCTCCACTCCTTATATAGTAAGAGATGGGTTTCAGTATTGTCAGTTTCTCAAAGAATGACTATTAAATTAGAAAACCTTTACAATATTTCGGATTGCATATGAGCAATTATTATATATTTACGTTATAAATAGGAGGATGATCGAGAAGGTGACTGGTCAGTGAGTGTTGGTGCTGCAGTGAATTCTCCACCGCTGTCTTTTTATGACAGCAATACTAAAACTAACAATAAACAACAACCGATCGAAGCAGTTGTGGATAATTTAGTTGGTGGCTTAAGATATCGGATGGATGTTCGAGCTGTTACGGAAGCTGGTGAAGGTGATTATAGTGCTGCATCTGATACTGTACACGTCGAAATGCCCATTTTACGTTCGTTTTCTCCTTTTATTTATTGTTACTTTTTCAAACTATTTGAATTTGATCTAATAGTTCCATCTTTTTTTTTTCTGAATTTGACTTAATAATTTCATAGCAACTGTATTCTTAATCATAAGTAATCGTGCAATCACCTTAAGGATTATATCAGATACATTATAGTTGTCACGGTGAAGATTTTTAGTGTTTGAAATCGAAAATTTTTATGTTTCTCCACTATTTTGTTGCAGAATTTCTAAACTAAATTCCTTTTGCATTCCTAAATAGGAATGAAATATTTCAGCTCCGCCACGTCCTTCATCACGCATTGAAATAGTGTACAACACAATTCATAGCACAGATATGGGAATACGTTATAGCACATCGATGTTCAATACAAAACATGGATATCTAAAGAAATCTGCTCTAATTGTTGCTGAAGTTAACAATAACAATGAAAATACAATCAACTCTATCACAGACAGTCAAAACAAAACATTTGTAAGATTTTAGTTGTTTAGATGTGCACTTCATAAGTTATTTACTCACTTGTTTACTTGTTTATTTGTTTCTCGTTTACCAGTTTGTTGAACTGGAATGTTTTGTCTTGGAGAACTACTTAATGTAAGCCAGATATTTACACTTTTGCTGACTAAAATTGTCAGCCTAATATGTTTCAAATTTAATTCAACTATTTTTAGACATGGGGTCAAGCACAACAGTTCGATTTATGGCCAGCATACATTGCGGTTGAAACAGCGATCGAACCACTCCGAAAATTTATTCCACCACATTTTGTTTCTGAAGTACGACATGAATATGTTTTTTTACAAACAAATTGTATTGAAATAAATGGGTAGCTGACTACTTTTATTCTCTATACTAATTTTAATTTTGTGAATCCAAATTTCGAACTTTCCACATAAATATGCTTATTTTCCCCCTGTGTGAAGCTGTTTCACTGTCCTTCGATTTTTGTCCTGAACGTTTGGCATAATCATTGTCACTAATTCGTTTATAAGCGTTTGTTGATGGTAATATATGACACTCAATAATATTTTATTAAATGTCATATGTTAACCTTCTCCTTAACTTATCAGTTTCTTTTTTTTTTTCACCTGTCTGGAAATACCATAGGATGTGCTATGCAGTTATTATTTCCAGGAAGCACTCAATTGAGATTGCTGATTTACTTTGGTTGAACAAATTTAATCGCAAAAAAGAAGCCTAATTAGGTCAATAGAGAAATTTAGAACGATTGTGCTCAGTGTATGTTACAATCTTATAAAATCAGAAAGCTTGTTCATTCTGGTACATTTATAAAATTGAACTTTTTTGTTTTCTTTAGTTTAAATTAAATCTCGAAAAGTTGCAGATAATAGGTGCGGACGGCACATGTAATGATATCGAAGTTGATACCATTTGTAATGGACCACTGAAGCCAGCAACGTCGTATCGTTTTAAATTACGGCTGTACACATCACCAGATATGTGGACTGATTCAGAATATTCCGAAATCGCTACTACAAGTTGGTTTATTCATTGTTTTTAGAAATATTTTAGTAGAAGTGTCGGAGTTCCTTGAAAAACAAAGAGTCACCGACAAATCTCTTCAGTACTCTATTTTTACTTTTACGCTATTATGCCACTAGTATGCGTTAGTTTCCTGCAGAAGCACTATAATGCTTTAACGGTTTTTTCACTATTTGAATGAGTGATTTTTAAACTTTTAAGTGATCATATAATTGATAGACAAATCTTGATAGTTAATAGATATTTCGCTTGATTTAATTTCGATGATATTACTGTTAAAATGAGTCTAGGATTTCTAGCGAAGCCGTAAAAAGTTCTATGATTTTAACATTTTGGAACTTTTTGTGAATCAGTATGATTGATTTAAAGAAGGTTTGATTCAAAAATGCAAATTCTGGTTTATATCCGATCGATTATATTTATGTATGTTCCATTGCTGACATATGAAGAAACAATGAAACTGTGCTTATTGTATCTTCTAAGTGGCAAAAGTTGTCGTGAAAGAATTTAAAGATTTAAAAATATTGTTTTTTGGGAGACGTTGTTGATTTCGGACAGAGGAATAGAATATATTCCTTTATTAGCAGAAATAATAATACAATAATTTGATAGAGACGAATCGTAGTTGTATCACAAACTTGTCGAGAGCGAATCCGTCGTTCCCTTTACCAAACTTGTTGAGAGGCGAAAAATCGTTGAGTTATCTTTGTTCTTAGATCAAACAAACAATGCTTTCCTTTTTGGCGCTTGGTGAAAATAATGCCGCCTTATTGGTGATACAAAATAATGGCGCCTTATTAGTGATCTCCTTATGGCAAGCAATATGAATGAACAAAATATATGTAGATAAAAAGTATTATATGATAGCCCTGCTAAAGAGTAATCGGTCTTAAGACAAAGGGTTCAAGATATAAACATTACTTGTAAAATTCATATAACGTATATCTTACTCTCATATAGTAGTGTTTCGCCACATAAAATTCGCGACAAAAATTAAATGGAAAAAGAAATTCATTGATAAAAGAGGAACACTATGGTTATTAGTGAGAATAATAGTATGACTGGAAAGAGGGAAACAATGGGAATTAAATAATTTCCTGCTTAATTAGCTATTGTGTTTTATGTTTCCTGTTAATATTGCTAGATGATTGCACCTAATGATTTGTCCTTCACAGTCACTTGAAGTTTCTCAAATATTCCAAAAAATAGTGTGAATGGGTTTCCTCTCACTTTCTTTAATTTTGTTTATCAGATCAAGCGACTGTTCTCCTTTCTGTTTGATAATTAACTTCAGTTCATTTCTTCTACTCTTATGCTCTTTCTCCGATTGTATCTCTTCCAAAGCTATGTTTGTTTAAAAATTGGATGAGAAACTGTGTCTCTGTGTATGTATGTGTGTTTAAACACAACTATGTACTTTCGTCACAACGCTATTCCCGAGACACCTGAAATCGTAGATGAAGCATGTTGTAGTCTGAGAATATGATGTAATTGTTTAGCTCCGCAAAAACATCATTATTTCAATATGTAATTTATACCTTAAACGTGCATATGCTATTTCACTGAATCAAATAATTTAGCGTGTTGATTTATTTTTATGGATTAATTCATCTTTTTCTTGTCTTTCTTAAGCATAGCATTTTCACCATATTCTTTTACCCAATAATAATTGTGCACTATCCATTCCTTACGCTATGAAACATTTTGAAATGTAAAATGAAAACTACGACTCCTCTTGAGTTTCTCGGTCATGTAAATTTGGTATAACTAATTATTTGTTGTGTTTTATACTGTTAATTTGTTTGTTTATTTGCTTGGGAAAAGTCGATGAAATAACTTTTTTTGTGCAACCAACACTGTTGCACAAAAAAAAAGTTATCTTCTTTTTCCTCACATTCATTTGTGTTTTTTAGTTCCATCAAACTTATAAATGATCCACTACTCACAAAAAACTTTTCATATACTATTGCTTCTTAATTGTTCTTTCTTTTGTTCCAGTAAAATGGCTGGTTGGTAGGATTTCGAAACATTAAAGTAAATGACAAGTTGTTTTTCGGTGCCTATAAATTATTGATTAACCCTAGACAAACTAAGCTAATAATTGAAGAGGAAAGCTTATTCATCTTATAGGTTATTTCTAGGATTTCGATTGGGCACTTATTCAATCATCTGATCTTTCAGTATGTGTGTGTGTGTCTGTGTATGTATGTATGTATGTATATGTATGGCGGTTGTTCGCCATTTGCTTAATCCAGATATTCCTCGAAACAGCTGTTAGTAAGAATTTGGTTGTGGACTAGAAAGGTTTCTCATTAAATGGTAAGCTACGTTCACACCACATGTTGTTGGCCTTTGCTTTTTCTTCTCCTGAGTCTTTAAAGATTTATAAAAACTAGTATGGAGCACAGAAGGTGCTAGCCAATATTTATCTCTCCCTAGGTCAAAATACTTCCTTCCACTTGTATTCTAAAATGTTACCATTATCATCATTTTGTTCCCATTATAAAATTCGCTTTAACGAATTCTGTGCAACATTTTCTATGTTCGCTTATTTATCACTATTGGGAGTACTTTCAATTTAAATATATTGTATCTTCAGATTTATCTACAAGATTAGAATGGAAAGCATAATGTTTTTTTTTATTTGCAGAAGCCTCGCCGACATTGTTTACATTGGGTAGTGTGACGACAGTGCTGTTACTTCTTCTGGTTGTTGGTATTGCTTCTTTAACTACATTTTTCGCTTGGAAAAAACGCAGGAAGTCTTGGTAAGTTACTCATTTAACTGTATCATTTATAAATATAAGATTAAAACAGACTAGTTTCCTTTTATTTCTCCGCTTTCTAAATTACATTTCTTCCCTAATCACAATTCCTTTTCATTTTTCCTTTGCGGTCAGTTTGTTTTTCTATCATTCAGATGCACAGTAATCCTTCAGTTATCATTTCTAGAGAACAGTGATACTGGTCTTCTAACATTGCATTTAAAAGTGATCGAGGAAATTTTTTTTAATTCTGAATTGCATAAAAAGAAACGATTTGTTATGGTTTTTGGATACTTTAAAAAATTTGTATGATGGATGATATTAAGCTTTTCATATAAATGATATGTCTGTTATACGAGGACCAGCAGTTGAAAATAATTTGGTTTCGATCCTTTCACTTTGTAATTTGTCATTTCAGCTGTTGTTGCGAATGCAAAAAGGGCAAAGTGCACACATCCTAAAATATACAAAATTTATCGATGTTCTCTATCATAGTGCAGATGCAATTACTATAATTAGCATTTACTAACAATTACTAGTAATCATGAAACGGTATTAGTGAAAAAACCTAAGTCTATTTGTTATCTTTTCTTATGTAGTTTATCAGTAGTCATTCATAGAGGTGTGGTTTGCAGAGAAACTTACAAGTCTAAACTATCTGAAAATTACGATTCAATCTTAGTTCCATTCTACGTTAGGCGGAATTTTCACGGTAATATCATAATGAGTATTTCGTTTTTTGAAGGTGGTCTCTTATTCCTTTTCTTTTCTGTATTCTACATTCTGTCTCAAATAACATGAAGCTTAAACAAAAATTCTTGCCGAAGGGAAGTAATGGGAAAAAGTAACAATTAACTATTTCTTTCTTAAGCAAGTATATATTTATCCCTGCGAAACTCATGTGTGCCATTTGTGGTCAAGTAAGCAACATGAAATCCCTTCTCTTTTATGACTTACTTCCAGAAAATAGTGCTTCTGTTTCTACCAAATTCCCCTGCTGTCTAAGTATCGTGCAGAGAAATATTGAAACCAGGCGCAATGATCACTGTTACAGCACAACAGCAATCAAGGATCATAGCTTGTATCATTCCTCAAACTGATTCAAATGATGTAATCTAAGCTATTCGAATAACTGAGTTTAAATGAAGGATAAAATAATTAGAAGCTGTTTGCTAATGGTGGATGCAAATGAAGGAGCTCGATTGCGAGTTTATGGATTCCATACTATCACATGCGCTCCATGGAACTTTCAATTAATCATGTAATGATACTAATAAAAACTAACTTGGGAATTCTTATGTGAGAAGCAGGTCAGAGCACAGCAGATGTTGCCTCATGTTAAGATTAATTGTTCAGGTGATGCGAGGTGGTTACTTTCCTGCGCGTGACACTACTTGCATAGCATATTAAAGAAACAACATCTGCTCACCTGTCTAAAATTGTACTGCTGATACAGCTAAAGTTGTCATTCACTACGTTACAGCCATTCGGTAGCCATTTCCTCGTTCACTCACGTGGTGGCATACGTTTCATAGTGACATTGACGATGTGTGTGTATATGATGTGATAGCATTGCGTGCCTGTCAGGCAGATACATACACTGTGGTATAGTGCGGTCGGCCCTTTTTGCAATGTATTTTTCAGTTTGCTTCAGTGCTTGCACCGGTTTGCATTCCTTCCAATGATATTGTTTGCTTACTTCGAGGTGAGTAGGTGGATGTTTTAGATCATTGTTGAGTGTCATCGTGAAAAGACTCAGAACCAACCACTTGTCATTTTGTATCACAAGGAAATAGTTTCCGACAGTGCCCTCATATCCATAGTGTTTATCTCAATATCCTTGGCCCATTCTCATCACGGTCCTGGTTGATTTCACCTCAGCTTAACTGAAGTCATTTCTTTACACTCTCTACACTAACATTCAGATAATCCTTGTTTTTGTTCTATTGTTATTGTTGCAACAGTTACTACAAGTTACCAATCCTTTTGGTAAGTTCTGATCATCCCTGATTCGCATATTCTTTTCCCGGGGTTTACGAAATCTTTCTACAGAATTACTGTGTTTCCATGTTAACATTCTGGCTAATGAGGGTCTAATGAAAGCATTCAAGCCTAAGGCCTTGGAAACTATATGAAACTGGCATTCAGTGAAGTCACTGGCCATCACTAGTTGTTGTTTAATGTAATTAAAATTTAGCTAGTATGTTGTAGTTTTTCTATGACAATGTCTTGCAGCTTAGAAGCGTCTTTTGGTAATGAATTTCCATGAGAATCCATGAAAAAAAAAAGAAGCACAGCTGTAGTTAGAATTCCGATCAATAATATTAGCATAGAGCATATACTTCTTCTGAATACAGCGTATACACTTCACTAAATTTAACTGTTATGAACTGCCCTCCAAAACAGGCAAAATCAGTTACCCACTGGTTTAGAGAGTATTTCTTGATAATTTACGATATGTCAAATTTGAGAGTCGCCAGAATAATGTTTACGTAAAGACAAAGTTTTGAGCAATAAAGTTACTAGTTCTTATACATGTTCGAAATTATTTTCTAGTTTTTTTAATGACATTGTAACAAATTGAACCAGTTGGTTGTCGGGATTAGTTGCAGAATGCTGCTTTTGAACTGTTTAAATTGTAAATACTTTAATTTCTGAATTTTAAAAAGATTTCTTTGCCTGGATTCTCCGTATGTATGTTTCCGTTAATACCGCTTACTTTACCTCATTTCTAGGTACTTTCAAAGTCAAGATATCTCGAGTTCTGAAAATTATTGTACACAGGAAACAGTGTACGTGTTAGATTTCATTTAAGAAAACTCAAAATTTTAGGTCTTCAAAAATTTCATAAAATTTGAGGTTTTGCTTTGCTCTTAATATAACTTTTTTGTTGATTCTCTAATTGAATGTGTGTATGTACTGCACATATGAATTTTTCAACAAGTGGAAGTGGAGCAAATTTTTATCTTCCAAGAGGAAAACTATTTCGCAATAAAATTTTCATTTATCGTTTAGTAGAAAACTTATGACCTCATTTGATGCGTTGTGCATTCAATAAACATCAAAAGTGCTTTAGTTTTTGCCAATTCTGAGCAGAAATGAAGTTGCTGAAGCATTCTTAACAAACTTTTGATACGTCTCCATGGTGCATTGCAAAATGGACTAAATGAATATACTTTTGTTAGATGGGAATGGGTTAGCAGTTAACTTGACAAATATGCGTAGTAAGTATGCGGGGATGATTTTATTGAAGGATTGGGTTCATGAATTCAGTAGCAGATAAGCTAATATATGTTGTATTTGATATGGTGAGGCTATAGAATCACTAAACAATGATGCTACCTTATCTATATTTCTCGTTTTACATTTTTGTTCTCTGTGCTAAATTTATTACATAAAAAGCAGATTGTAATAATTACAAGTTCTCACACCGTTAGATTCCATATTTGCACTCTGCTTAAAGTGTAGTATTCCACTTATACCATCGGAACATATCCTTTATGTACTAAGAACAAGTTAATATTAACATTACGTTATATATTGCTTATTGTGCTTATTTCAGCCCTCGAATATACGGCAGTCAGCAGCATCCGTATACTTATTCACAACAGTTTATCGGAGAAAGAGAAGATAGGGAAGTAACGCGAATCGGAATTGGCGTTTTAAGACCAAATTTTACTTACTCGAGTAATGTTTTTTCCGTTTTTATGCTCATTGCTGTTACTTGGAAGATATTTTTTTCATTTTGCTCTTACTGTAGAATTTTATTTTTAAATTCTGTTCTTTAAATTTGATTTCAGCATTTATTTTTACCTTCGTCTTCGGATTTTGATTTGACGATTAAATCAAAATAGTTTTATTTAACACAGTTTTGATGTTGATCTTAAAACATTGTCTTCAGGAGCATTTATGTTATTATGCTTTAAAAATTAGATTATTAAGGCTAATAAAATCAGTCTTCCTTAGTTCATTATACAATAGCAGCTTAGAGTAGCAATGAGACATCGTTAGGAGCAGTTATAGAGGAAATGCTAATTTGACTAATGGTCAGCTAATTGTTCATTGCAGCATCTTCCAATCAGCATAAACAAGAGCAGAATACTACTGGTGACGGCGAAGTTTTCTCGCACTGGGTAGTTCTCAAGATGATAATGGCCGAACGAGCAGCTCAATGTTTAGCAAAACTCGGTTTGAACACTGCCACAACCACAGCTACTTCTACAAATATTCTGCATCCGCAGACAAGTCAACCTCAAAATATCATTACTACAACGGATTCAACCGCGATGGTTTCTGCAAAACCGAATGATTTGGTAACCACATCCGGACATCATCGAAGGTCTTATTGGATGTTGTTTCTGTTTGACAACAAAATCAATTTAAAAATCTAATAATGTTTGCTCTTCTTATTTGAATATTTTTGGATGCATCCTGAATAAATATCCAGTTTTCAAGTTAGGATTTGGGGTTTTCTTGTTTTCAGCAGATGCAGTTTATCTCATAAATAGAAAATAATCGTCCGGATTTGCGTTACACTTCAGTTAAGGAATCATCGAAGGAGTTTATAATTTTAAGTGTTGAAAAATCGGGGAAAGAGAATTTCAGTAAAACAGCAAAGTGTCAAACCATAGTGTATTAACTATGAACTAAAGCCAATAAATGTCGATAATTTTAGATCTCGTAGTTTACGCGAACGCACGGGTGTTGATCAGCGTCTGGAGCGGTTGCCTAGTGGACCGGTAACATTACAGAAATTTACACCACATACAGTCATTTCAGGAAGCAATATTGATAAAAGGTTTCTTTTTATTATTTAATAAAAATTATTTAATTTTGCGAGTACTACTTATTTGTATAATTATTCTACTGTGTGTTCTGTTTTTTTTTTTTTATATATTAGATAATGAAAAAAATCTTAAAAATATTTTGCTTCTTTTAATCGAGTATTTACGCTTTTGGCGAAGTCAAGACTATCTCCAATAAGTCGTTGAAAATCGAAGCGATGAGGACTTAAATAGATTGGAGAGAAGCATAGCTCTTATAAAAAAGGGTAAAAAAATGCAGCATAGCTCTTATAAAAAAGGCGAAGTAGTGCTTTTAAAGAAAGGACTAATTAATTCTTAAAGTAAGCAGTGGGTATTCGTTTATCATCTTTTATTTTTGTTTTTTCATTTTCTTCCAATGAAATATCATATTTCAGAGCTCCATGGTCTGTTTTATCCATCAGTTTAAAAGTTCAAACTGTCTAGTCCATCGTCAAGCGTTTACTACTATGTGTTACAAAAAATTAATTATGTTGGTTCATGTTTTGAGTTATGATTTAACATTACTTCTTCACTAGGAAATAAATATTTTCAGTAGACCGGTACTTGTCAATAATTTCGCTGAACATGTGCGACTGATGTCAGCTGATTCTGATTTTCGATTTTCTGAAGAATACGAAGTATGTTTTTGCACTAAAATCTATTTTTAATTAAGAGTGTATACTTGTGTTCTTTAAAACATTACAAATTTTAAGCAGGTACTTCCGAAATGCCTAGTTTTCAGGATCTCAAAGTGGTGGGACATGGACAAACATGTATAGCAGCGGACTTAACAGTGAACCGAGCAAAAAATCGTTTCACCAACATATTACCATACGACCATTCTCGTGTAAAGCTCATACCAATTGATGATGACGATGGCTCAGATTACGTTAATGCTTCTTACATTTCTGTTAGTTGATACATTCTCATCAAAAGTGTTTCAAGCTTCTAAAACTATTGTCAGAAGATCCTTTAGAATGCTTCTTTGTCGTAAACAGATTGCATAGAAAAAGTGATCGTTTTATGACAGTTTACAGCAATAAGCATTTTAAGCAGAACGAGAGTTGAAATATAAATGCATTTTTACAGGGTTTCAATTCACGTCGTGAATTTATCGCAGCACAAGGACCTCTTCCTTCGACGCGTGATCATTTTTGGCGAGTTGTTTGGGAACAACATTGTCCGGCAATAATTGCTCTAACAAAATGTGTCGAGAAAGGACGTGATAAATGTCATCAATACTGGCCTGATAATGACCAGCTCAGCGTTCTTTATGCTGACATTGAGGTTTGTCTGTGATCTATTACAAAGATGCTGCATATCTAAGACGAATTATTCAAAAACTGCTTTTCATCTATGGTATGATTTCGCGCAAAACACACCTTTCCTTAATTGTAAATCTCTTGTTCAAAAGTTGTTATTTAATTATATGATCTTATTTCTTGGGTGTATGAGTTTATGTTTTCAGGTGACATTAATGAACGAAACGGTATATAAGGAGTTCACAGTACGTGAACTTAGATTAACAAATATCAGTGAACCAGTCGCACCTTCTCGAACGGTAAAACATTTGCATTATATGGCATGGCCTGATTTTGGTGTTCCTGAATATGCTGCTGGTTTAGTGCGTTTTGTTCGTCTTTTCCGAACTCGACTGCCACCCTCACCTAGCAACAAACCAACCGTTGTTCACTGCAGGTTTGATATTTGTTGTTGTGTCAGAAATTAACCACGAACTTAATATCAATTATGAATAGTATTTAAGTTATATATATGTTTTTTTTTTCCTAAAGGAGATAAAACCTATTATTTGATACTGTTGATCATTGCTCACCAAAAAAACTTTACCAAATATATCTTTACCACTGCTGTTTATCTCGGCCAGATAAATAAGTGGGTGAATATAAACGTTAAATTTAGTGGAATTCTATAATTAAAATACGGAAGTAATTGCAGTGCTGGCGTCGGTCGAAGTGGTACATTTATAGCTCTTGATCGCTTGATGCAGTGTGCTGCGAAAAATTTACCGCTCGATGTTTTTGGCATCGTTTATGAGATGAGGCTTGATCGTTGTCATATGGTGCAAAATGAGGTAGCATTTTTCTATTTTTGTTTTCCCTGTCTATCTTCTATGATAATATTTAAACACTGTCTACAATACACTCATTTTTAAATGGTTTTTGAAAAAATGAGTGTGTTCAATTTCTTAAAACTTGTTAATTATTCCTTAAGCGGAACTTCATTTTCAGCAGCAATACATATTCATCCATCATTGCTTGCTCTATGTTTTGGAAACGCAATATGACATGACTACAAATTTGATAGGTAATAGTCTGTCGCAAGTTGGAAGTAACCAAGGAACTACAACTTTTCTCAGTGATAACGTTGTTATCGACTTTCCAAACAGTATCACCAGTAACGACGTTGGGAACAACCTAAGTGCAGGGATCACAGAAAATGACATTCAAATAATAAGCAGTAATGGGAGCACCACATTTATTGGAACTGGACTTCAACATCAACCAGATACCACATGGATTACCCCTCCTCGTGTCGAAGTACATCTGAATCCAGCATTCGATGATGATGAAGGTATTGCTGAATCTGGCTTGTAATGGCTTTCTAACATTTTGTATTATATTATCTATGAAATACCTGGATGGAACCTCTATATTGGAACTGAGACGTCATATGTTTTTGATGAATTCGTCATCATGTATTTTTAATGGATTCAGGTCTTATATTTTTTGGATAGCTGGAGATGCAGTCCTGACTTCCTGGACACAATGTTCTAATGTGTTTATTTTACTTTCTGCAAGGCCTGATTTTTTCATAAGTTTTTTCAAATATTCAAAGTATCACTGAGATTAAATGTTAATGAATTCTTATTGCTTAGTCACATTTTAAACAAGCTACCTCATGGTTTGCAATATCCAGTGTTTCCCTGATACTTTTATGACGAAAATTTTTTTTTCATCCTTGGAAATTTGAAAATATATCGAAATAGTTTCTTTACGGGTTTCTCTTTCCCATGATTTTTAATGTTTTGTAAGAAGTAATGTCTCTGTGTCGTGTTTCTGTATATTGTTGTTTTGTTGCTCAATGAAATTCAAATTAAAGAATGTGATATATCTCGATATATCCATCAATTCTTCCTACTTCTAAACTGACACTTCTAAAATCATTTAAAATGATAAACATTGTTTCTAATTATCCTTCGATCACATCGTGGGATATTCTACTCAAACTTTTTTCTTTTTTATAAAATAAGGTAAAATGACTTAAAAATTGCACATCTTAGTGATGAAGTTGTCCTCAAAACAGTACCGATGATTGAACGGCCATACATCGCAACTAAGTTCGTATAATTTATCTATTCCTTAAATCTAAAGTGAGAATTTTATTCCATTAATGTACAAATGACCGGGAGCGAAATTAGAACAATTTGCTTGAACATGAATATGATGAGTGCTACTCTGACTAACACTGTCGTTAACAAATATTTTGAAGTCTAATATACAACCATTATCCTGATATGAATCCTGAAAAAAAGAAAGACTTGTTATGGCGATGAATTTTTGTCGAAAATGGGAGTCGGAGTTGATATTCCTTAAAACTGGAACATGTTTTGAGCTTGAATGATTGATTTCTGTCGCTCGAAAGGTGACTAACATCTATTTCAACATTGCTTGAGATGATCAGTCGTGGATCAAGGCTTTAGTTTATGATCTATAGACTTTTAAGGATTCAGTAAAAATGTGGTAAAGAAGGCCTTGACACTGATCACTCTCTGAACTGTTTTATTTAATCCTTTTATTTTTCAATCGTTTTTCGTAAATTGTTAGGTAAGGATTTTGCAATTATCATTATCTGAAATTTGCTGATAAAGATTAAAAGAGCAGCACAGTAAATCACCTCAGCTAAGGAAGAATCAATTTTACTTATCAGTGCAACAATTTACTCCAAAATTACTGTTGCTGTATAGTGGCAGTATTCAAAAATCATGAAGTTTCTTGCTACCTGTCTTTCTACCTTTCAATCATTTTCTTTGTAGATCAGTCTGTCCACTAGAAAAACTCAAACAAGCATGCAAACAAGTGTTGATTGTTAAGGAATTTAGAATAATAAAAATTGAAATCTGAAAGTTAGTCAACATTTCATGTCTTTCGTATGAGGATATACTTAACCAGTTCCAGTTTTATAGAAGATATGGAGTCCTGACTTAGAAAGGAGATTATGAAGATCATACGTAGGATCTCTCAACTGATAAGGTTGATTTACTTGTTGGAACTATTTCTTCAGATTTTATTGTAGGATTGGTACATTTTCGAGATGAAGTTGTGGGCAAATTGCTGCAAAAATGCATGAAATTTTAAAAGAAAAGTGGAAAGGAATTAAAATGGTGAAAAATTTTTCAATTCTATTAGAAACAGTTATTTTCATTCGTAGTTCATTTGTATTGCAAGGAAGGGTATTTGAACCTTAAACACACTGAAAGTTAATCGAAGTATTAAAAAACGAGCTTCACAGATTTCGAATCTCCCATATTATTATATTCTCTAATTAACAGTAATCGTCTATTGTCATCGGTCATGTAAATGCGATCTGTTTTTCGTAAGTTTTCTTGAAAATCAACAGGGAAACAAAGCAAATCCTCGACACGATCAGCTGAAAGAATTTTCTTTGAAGCCATATTCTGTCGTAACGACATTCGATCGCACTAAAATGGAACTGATTGAGTAAGCCACAATTTCATTAACCCTAACTTTACCATTTTAATTGAATCACTCAAATTTTATGAAATGGAATCGAAATTAAAATTATTGAGGCCTGTGCCTTTTGCTATTTCTGACTTCAGGTTGAAGCTTTCCGAAGATAATCTTTTTCATTTTAAATACTGGAGAAACAAACCTCTGCTTTCTTTATTTTTTCATATTCTTCAATGATATCGCCTGAAAAGTCGATTATGTTTGCTTTACAGATTGGTTATTTAGAAGCTCCCGATTTTGTTGATAATATAAAAGTGATAAATAAAACTTACTCTTAGCACTTGTAGTCATTACTATTCTCGAAAATACCCACTTTTGTGAATCGCTGCAAAATCATTGTAAACTCAATATGAACTATCATTGTAAACTCAATATGAACTCAACATTAAATCACTACGAAAACTTACTTTTTATATTTCACTGAAAGAAATAAATTTCTCATATAAATAGATCCTTTTCTATAAGACTGACACCTATTAAAATCAATCTGACTAACAACCGTACCTCAAAGGCTTTCAACTATGAAGTGGTAGAAAAGTTCACCTGTCATATTATTTAGATTGCCGTAATATTCAAATTATTAATAATCGCTGCGAAGAGAGAGGACAGTTATCAAAATTTTCTTGCAGGAAACTCAGCATCCGTATTGCTGTTTTGACGTATCTACCCATTATTTTGACTGTTGGAACGGTCAAATACACAACTACTGATATGTATTTACAAGTTTCATTATGTCGTGTCCTTCGTTCACGTACATGCCGACATATATCTTGTAAACAATCCTTCTTAATCCCGACTCCATCTTTCATGCCATTTTTAACTATCAAATTTTTCAAGCATATAGAATTTAATAATTCTACAAATCTAAGCACAATAGTAAAGTTGGCATTTGTTGGAGCAAATTCAAAAAAGAGTGAGGAATATAAGAAACAAAATTTATTAATTGTTAAGACAGAAATTCATACATAATAATTGGGTGAGATAACATTTTGTATGAAAACGAGCAATTTCTGTATCACATCCTTTTCGCCCGTTTCAATCATCTTATCATGATGAGTGCGCAAAAATGATCGCAGTGTCTCTGTTACTGTGTTCTACAACTCTTTTAATCAAACAACAATCAAGTAATTTATTACATAATCTCAAATTCCTGACTACTATTTCAATTCTGGCCATATGGTTAAAGTACAGTAGTACTCGAGAACGAAGTTCAATTTAGAATCTAGTATAAACATGCCTGCATGCCTTTCACTAATTCCTGATAAGAATACTTGAAGGGAAGAATGTTTGCTTACACGTATTAAGGAATCAGAGTTAATGCCGAGTTGGCAGTATTTCGGTATCATATCGAATACTAGTGCTGGAATAGTAAATGGAAAAGCGCGAATCACCGCGGATAGAGCCAATACAGCGCCATGCCTTTCGCTTAGTGTCTTATGATTTGTGCATTTGAATAATTCCTTCTGGTAAATTACTTTCAAATTACTACTTTATACTTTACAGTTACTTGCAGATAGCATCTCTTAATTCAACATTTTGGTTAATAAAGTCTTCAAAAACTTACAATATAACAACTGGTGAGTGATTGAAAACCGCAGTGTATTAGTGCTGTTAGACAATCAGCTGCCTCTCGTCGTACTTCAAGTTGTGCGTGGCGGATTGCATTGTAAATCATTCGTCTATAATTTCATTATTTCAAATTATATTAGAATGAAATGAAATTTTTATAGAATTCTCTGGTATGTTTACAGAATTCTGCGATGTGAAGGAAAAGTTGTTCACATCTCAGGACAATGCATTTAAATAGCACTAAACATATAAAAAGTGAGAATAGGCTAAGCTAAGGAAGAAGCTTAAAAGTGCTCACGGATTCATTTTTTAAATTATGACATTTATCTATCTTTTGTTTCTTTTTCTCACTTTCAGTAAATACATCAGTAAGTAAGCAAATCAATAAGCATCCTTTGCTTCAATGCATTTTATTTATTAAATTATGAAGTCATGTTATAATATTCCTTGTTATCACACAGCTAATTTCGGTAACGGTTTATAAATTTGTTTAATTGAAGCGGCGAAATGCTTCTCAGAGAAACTTACTGCACAATTTCACGCCTTTTTTGCTTTTCGCAAACAAGTATGTTTGAAAATATAAATACATGAAGAAATTTCATTATAGATACCCATGCCTTCCAACTCGTACTCACATTCATTGTCTGTAATTACTATTTAAACTTCCTTAACAGTCCACTTCGAAACTATGAAAAAAACGATGTCGGACGATTGTTCCACGAAGTTATTTTTCTATTCTTTTACAAATCTCTGATTTGTCAGAAAACTAAACTGAAAATTTTTATTCGATAGAGTTAAATATGACGAACTGTGGAAATGTTGAATTTAAAATGGTCTAATATACCTGTTCAACACTATTCAACATCTCATCAGCAAGTTCGTCACATAGATAAATACCAGACCATGACTGGAACAAGACATCGCTTGCGCCAATTGTCAAATCAGCATCCCGTACCACTTCTGTCTCGTCGTTGCTGAAATAAACGCAAATGAAAGCAACAGATGCATCTTACACAGGTATCTGATGACCATAATGGTTAAACAGTCTTTAAAATAGCCAAAGTTTTGAATGAGAACTTCAATGAAACGAAAAAAAAAAAAACTCACTCGGCTGTTTCTTCATCAGCTAGATGGGTTATAAGTGGAAAGAGAGATATGATAGGCGAAGATAAAGCTACGAAACAGGATTGAAAGTATAGATTCAAAAATTTCAGCAGAGTTTTAATATATAGTTGACGCTGAAGAAATTTCGAATTCAATCTCATCGTTTTTTTTTTGAAACGAATTAACAGATTTATAAACCAAAGAATGTTACTAATCATGAAATAATAATTGTGCATAAACCCAACTTTCCAAATAGCTTCCTAAAAATCTACAGAAATAAACCAAATTCTTCACAATTCTTAGAATAAATCTCGCAATTTACCCTCACGATGACAATATTCGGATTAGTAGCAATCTGTTTGTTAAATTTCTCTGCAATACACGGTGAATTTTTCAATAAAGTAACAGTAGCAGACGGCGGTGATGGTGATGATGCTATCTGCTTTGATTTAACTTCAGGAGATGCACCTCTTTTATTTACTTGTATTTTCCTTGACTTCATCATTTCCTTAATCTATAGAAGAGTATTTTCCTTTTCAAGAAATGCAAGTTAATTTAAGAAAATGAAATATATCAATAAAATTGTACAACAGACAAGAGTTATTACTTGAGTATCGAATATATCTATTATTTCTGCTAACTTTGGAATTCTGTATTTCATTGGTATATTGTTTTCATCACCCATTGCAAAACCATAAACCGCAGGAAATGAAAGCACGCTGCAGTTAATTTTTATACTCCATAGTTCTATTTATTCCTATAGAGCTAATAGTTTTATCTTAGTTTCACAGATCCGATCATTCTATCTTATTTCCATACACTCGATTGTTCTATTTTTGCTAAAGTAAAGCTAAAGTTTCTATGCTTTTAATGAGTATGAAACGCAATCACAATACACTCAAGTGTGAAATGAAGCTTAGCATTTCAATAATTTTTTTTTTCTTTTTAAAGGTCTTTTTGCGTCTCAACAGAAAGTCATATTAATTCACAAATTTTTAAAAAAATTGATAACTTTTCAAAACTCCCCTTTTAACCTTTTAACTAAAATTAATTAAAAATCTCTAACCTCGCAATTTGCTCTCTTTCTGTTGCCAGCCACGATTGTGAAATCATAACATTTGCAATATTTATGACTTGATTTAATAATTCTGTTGTTCTCCAAGCTGAGCAAGAAGAAATGTAGTGTATAAGACCCAATCGTCTGAAACAATAATTATAGTAGAAAAATTAATTTTCAACTTAATTGCTAATTTAATTGTCTGAAATCTCTTGTAATAGAAAGAGATTAATAAGGAAAATGGTAAAACTCTGGCATTATGTTTGGTTTTTCTCATGATTTTTTTTCCTCATCATTTTTTCATAGTTTAACTTTCAAAAATAAAAAAATCACTTACACACATCGATGCCATGTTGTCGGGGCAGGTTTTAAAGCGATTTCAAATAGTGTTTCTATGAGCCAATGAAATCTCCTCACATCAGTAATATCCAAGCAAAACTTCAGCGCAATATCCCAATGATACACTGTTTCTGACATCAAACCTGCAATAATTCAAATACTTTCGAAAATTTCCTGCAAAGCATAATCAGATGATTGAGAATTGACTTAACTGGTCAAGATACCTTCAATATGATAGACAATAATAGGTTTCAACCAGACCCACATCTCTTGCAGATCATTAAAAAGCCAGTTTCTTGAACCACGGATAATGCCAGCGCAATATATTGCAGCAAGTTTTGTCTGTGTGCGTCGTATAAGTGAACGTCCATTCTTTAAACAAAGTCAACATTTATTAGCTTTACCGCAGAATCGAAAAAACAACTAGGACAATGAAATGAGATACTTTTACCTCAGGACCACATAAAGATTCTAACAACATCTTAAATTGCGACACCAGTAACACACCAAAGTTTCGAAACAAATACTGAAAAATGAATTGAGAAATCATGAAGATACTACAATAGTAGTAGTAGTAATCGGTTTACGTGTTTTATCTATAGAAGAAGAATGCAGAACTGAAAAATATCAAAATCATAATGGTAAAACACGTAAGATACTTTTACTAAACGACATTCGCCAGCATAAAATACATCACTGTCTTCCTTCTCCTTCAATAAGATAGTATGCCACAAAATAATAAATTGTTTATCTTTCATATATTCAAGTATTAGTTTTTCAACATCATTGAATTCCGACATAGAGCGTTGCAGTTCTGTTTGTGCATTTGCTGGAGCTGATATTACCAATTTTCTGAAATACTATAAATATGTCAATTTAAAAGAATACAGTTCGTAGAAACTAATATTATCATGAAGAAACGAATATTGTATATAAATTTAAAGTGTAATCAATTTCGATGGAGGAAAAGAGAAGTTGTATAATACATCACAATTATGTTGTATGTTTAGATTAGATAACTACTAGCTGTTCTAATATGTGGTAATTTTAAAAAATGTATCAGTTCACTTTGGCCACTGATAAGCGCCCCAGTGTGGTTTTGATACAAATATTGTTCCATTCCAAGTTTGTTCATCTTTTGGTAAGCCATCACGATTGTAAACGATACATAAATTATCAGGTCTCAAACCACATGCATATTTAAATTTGGGATCAAATACCTGAAGAATTACATTGCTTGGATACTAAGAAGCCAGTCTCTAAAAACTTATTATCAACACAGAATGATTGTAAATTTTGTAGATGCTAAAATAGCCTTATTAGGTGGGTCCCATAATATTCTTTTTGTTAGTGGTTTATTCCATTCCAAATAATTAGCAATACAATCAGCAGCAGTATGTCGCCAAACTGCATGAACATCAACCAACATTTGCAGAAATATCTAAAAGTAGTTTATATTTCATTTCATTTCAAATTAATGAAATAGGGCTCTGTTTAAGAAAGCCTTTAAAATTTCTAAGAGTTGGATGCAATAAAGAATCAAATCCTTCAATTGCATAAACTAACTTCCGCCACTTCAACCGTGAAAAAATTTCGATGAAGGGTGAAAAGAAAAGTTCGTGCTGAATCAATTTGTCGCCAATGGTATAGCTGTCCCTTATTTTTGCAAATTTCAATAAGTTCATTGCGAAAACTACTTATTTTCCTACAATAATAGATATATAATTTCCTAACTCTACCTAACTTTTTATAAGCTGAAATTAAATACCAAAATAACAAACCACATAATTGTTGTTAACATTTCTGATTAATGATGAAAACAAAATTAAGAAGTCCTTTTTTATGAGGGTTCATGAATATCTTACTCGTAATTTTTTCTATGCTTTTCAGTAAATTTGTTTTTTGACATAAGAATTGCATGTGAATGAGACAATTCTTGATATTTCGCATAAAATGTATTATTAGCATTAATATCAGTAAACAGTTCTTGCGCTGTGACACGAATGTTTGTTGAATTCTGTAAACAAATTTGTTAATGAGTCTTTCTTAAAAAATCGATCAAACTTTCCTACCCTTGAAGCCAACCTTATACCTTCCCTTTTTTTGTGCCCTAAAATTTCTTCGACTAGTAAATTAACTTCCATGGAATAAATTAATAATGCAAGATAATTACGGAATTTTAACAATTAGCCACAGTTTTTACGCAAGTGATATTTTATTACAATTAGCAAAAAAAGTTCTTCAATATTTCACTACTGTTACTAAATTTCAAAACTGCTATCGGACGTAAAAATTAATTGAAATAGCAGTTATCAGTAGATCTTATAAAAGTAAAATAAATATACAACAAAGTTGAATCAATGCAATATTCCTCATTGTCTTTTATTTTTAAATAAAATTAACAAACTTTGAACAAAATTATGCACAAAACAAATATATCTGTCCATCTAAAAACTAACGATGTTTCTTTGGATTGTCCACTGTTTCGTGGAAACAGAATCAGTACAGCGCTGTACCAAGGTGATTATAGATGGTTTTTCGGAAACTTTGAGCTTTGCAATCGCTAGCCAACACTTGCATCGGGGAGAAATTGCATTTGAAGTCAAAAATCCACATTTTTTCAAAATATACAGCGCTCCCTGGAAAATCTATTTAGATCATTCCAACGATTGATAAGCTAGAAAAACAAGATTACCAGGAAATGTAATATTTAAAATCTAAAGGATCGACCCAAATACTAATCAAGTACTTGAAACTCTTGGGCAACTGTTAATAACAATAATAGGTGCATTTATTTTCAATTCAAATCTAGAAATGGTATCCTTCTGGATTACTTTCATTTCTTCATGACTGATATTGCGCTTTGGATCCAAATGTTCCAACACATCGTCCACCAATAAATATTTCGAATTCGGAAATTTTGCTATTAGTTTCATCAGTGTTGCTTGAGAAGCTATGCGCACCTTTAACGAACGAAATTTCCTCCAAATAATTAGAAAGCATTTTTTATATTTGAACTTATTGGCAAATCTTACATCGGTGAAAAAGTTTGTACCAAGCTTTACAAGATCCTTCATGATTTTGAGATGCGATTCGGTGAATTTGGAATTTTTAATATATAGATCCTAAAGTTATCTTCAGTGATAATCAAATTTTTGTGATTAATGTGATGAAATAAATTACAGGCAATACTTGCTACTTGACTGAGGCATGACCTTGTAGAAATGACCAGCATTGCAGAAATAATTTCAAACTATCGGACCCCAAATTTTTAAACAATGTGTGTTCGATTATATTAAATTTATAAAAAGCGAACTTTTTGATATGAGAAAATTCGTTGCTCAAAAGAGTCATACTGTTCAGCACGACGTCCTTGTATCGGATCATTGTAATTTATTTTTATATTCTTCTTGTACATCCGAAAGCTCGGTATTGACTAAATATTATTGTTGGTTTACCTAGCTTTCAACAAGTTTTTGAAAATTTCACTTCTGAATCGAAATATGTAAATCATTAAGAAGTCATTGCAAATTATTCATTATGGTGTAAAATTAAAGGAACATTATAAAATACTTACTCGTTCAATACACAGCGCATGCAGGACAGACGAAATATGAAAAAGATTTTTGGATTGACCATCCTGTTGGCTTAATAAAAATTCCATTAAATTATGCATTACAATACGCACTTTTTCTCGAATATTTTCACCATTGAAAGAAAACACTAAAAACTGTCAAAAAATCTTAATTACTATCATAGTGAAGCAATAATGACATTACAATTTGCTGTTACATTAATTAATTATATGAATTTGATATGTGAAAACGAATACTCTTCCTTAGTTTTTGCTCAAAAGTTTGAGAGAAGTAGTCCTCATCCAACTCACATATTTTAATCTTTAAAATTCATATAAAACTAAAAATATCATATAAAAAGGGTGTTGTGTTCGTACTAAAAAAAAACGAACTTTTTATGCGTGGTGACACGGATGTTATACATATAGGATCCATATCAACAACTGTTTCGCTCAATTTAATTTCTTTGGTGTTAAAAATTGGCAAACGATTGCCAACACAGGATAGTAAGTTATAGATGATGATCAATGAACGCTTGATTGCAAACCTGTTCACGTTTATAGTTTTAAACCGCCATCAATTTTTTTTTGCAAACAGAACTGCATAACATTAAATACAATAAATTATGACATTAAATACAATAAATTATTACATACAATAAATTATGAACTGAAGATTCACGGAAAGATTCAATAAAACACTGCAGAATAATGACATAAGCCAAAGAAAGAAAACGAACTTATCCATACTTGCCGGGGCTGTGAGTAATTGAACTTCAGAACAAGCAAACTCATCCAACAATTTTTCCGCAAAATCCACTTCAGCTTCTGTTGGAATATGCCATTTTATGGTCACAACATCTTTAAGACACTTAACACCCCATTTCTGTAACAAATATTTTAATCCTACCGAATTTATAATTATTATCGTTATTTATTAATATTACTATCAATTTTGTTATTAATTTTCCTTATGTCATATTAGATCAATATAAAAACATCATACCATTACATTTTTAAGGAATTTTTATTTACCTTAATGGGCAACGACAAATGCAATGGCAAATCCAAATTATGTTGTTGATCTTCCTCCGATATAGGATAAACTTCTGTTAGTTGTGTTAAAACATTTTTAAGTGACCAACATGCCCCCTACAAAAAATTCAGAAACAAATAGGAAATTTTCACAGCAAATTAAAAGAAATTAATTAGAAAAAAAAAACTAATTAGAAAAAACCTCTAGCTTGGGCTTTTATCAAAGACAGAGCAAATGAAAATAAGATTACTTGATAAGCATTATAACAAATCATTGACATAATGCATTTATGGATTTGAATACATTCCTCCTGATATTTCAGTAGGAGATTGCTGGGCACAGAGAAGATCATTTGCGATAAATATGCAAACCACATTGTTGTTACATCAAGTTCTTTTAATATTTTCTTCTCTTCTGAAATATTTGTGAAGCAATGAAAACACAAAAATTCACTTATCCTTTAAAATGCTACTCAATCTTGTATCTTTTAATAATTACATCTAGCATTAAAAGATTTGTAAACTGAACTTCACATCTGCATTCGAAACTTGCAAATCGTTTATTTATAAAACTTCCAGTCGGCATTTAGAACAGTTAATTTATTTACCTGTTATGTACTGTTTTTGTTTCTCCAACAAGAATTTAATATACATCGGGAAATAACGGACTGGATTAGCCTGAATACAATGGAATTGATTATTTGATGAGTAGTACCCTTGAAAGCTATGGTAAGAAAATGGGATGGATGGAAAAGTGACAAAACTTAGGTAGGAACTGAGTAAGAAATATTTAAAAATTTTTAATATCTTTGGTCTGAGACAATTCGTCTGCTAGTGCTTATCCTTATTTTTCATTTTTATGATAAAAAAAATGTGCTTGAACTACAATATGTATTCACATAAATGGATTCCTGCATAAGTGAGAAAGCAGCATCGGCAGCAACGGCACTTTCGAATTCAGATGTAGAAATGAATTTGTATGTATGATCACCGATTAGCTGGAAAACAAAACCTCAGGATTAGCTTTACTTTAAAGTTGAAGGAAAATTTTTAAGGCAAGATCTATGAACTTAGATGATTTAGAAGGGGTATATTTACTCACACTTCATCAAAATTACAACATTTCCTTTTCTGCATATATAAAAAGAAATCAGTACCGATGCCTTAAATGTAGAGAGAAAACATGGAGCCATGAAAAAAGTTCGAGAAGTACTTCTTACAAATTGAAAAAACACAACCAGTTCATATGGTGGATATTGGAGAAATTATGGATTTAAAATTTATGATTCAGCTCATAATCTTTGGCTGAATTTAAAGAACAGATTAAAATGATAGTTGAATCTTGACGAATTGTATAGTGTTCTGCATTAAACATTGGAGTAATTTGGGTGCTAATGATAATGAGATTTCAAAACATTCATTACATTACAGAAAATTTAATGAATGCCTTCAAATTACTTTTACAAATTAGTCTTACAAAATATATTAAGAATTTATGCTTAAATTAAAATATAAGCAATTAGTTCTAGTGGCTATAGCATACCTCAACAAAACTGGATGAACAATTAAAGAACAATGCATGAAAAGCGCTTTGAATTGTTGCACTTATCACAATTTCTTCACTCCCCATCAAAATTACATCCGAATTATCACATATCGAATCCACGTATGATATGCCATCACTTGGAGCAGAACTTGACAGTTGTGTTATCACTTTGAATACTCTAAAATAAATACTAGATGATGCAACCAGTTAAAATATGACAGTTGTGACAGTGACAGTTAAGAATAACATTTGTTCACTTTAATAAAAATAAAAACTGCTCTGAGTGAAAAAGATATGAAGTGAGACTTTCAATGTTGTGTCAATGCATGTGTCAAAAGCTCAGATCGAGAAAAATGAAAATGTAATGGTGAATTGGATGATGGTGGAAAAACTAAGTATTTTAAAGCAAAAGAGAAAACTGTTGTCGAATATAATTGTGTAACCATTGTAGACAATATCTAAAATCAACTTTCAGTTTTTAAAATTTGATAAGAAAAATCATAATGCAGTTGTATATTTACTTATGCAGTATTAAATAATGTAGTATGAATAATGCTTCACAGCGTTGCGAAATTATTTCATTATTTTATAACATTCTAATATCAGAAAGCAGTTTAACAAAAAAAAAAAAAAAAAGACCCATTCAAGTTTTGGTAACTAACTTATGATGAAACAATATTTAGGTTTAATAAAAAAAGTGCACAAGCAGGTAACTTACTTATTCACAAAATTCTGTACAATGTTTGGGAATCGCGCTGTTAATTTACAAAGACGTTTTTCTTCTTCATTTAAATCCATATATTTGGTCATTTCAAGAGCAGCGGAACAATTCACAATTGGGACTAATTGAAAAATGGTTTCCAGCGTCTAAATTCGCATCGGTTTTAAGTATGCTTGATAAAGAAGCAAAGAAGTGTTAAATTTGAAGGAAGAAATCAAATAAAAATTCGACAACATAATCAGTAATTCGCTATTTCTCTACGTTACTAATTAAATGAGCACTTCCTAGAACGAAGTAAGCATTCAAAAGATTGCTTATCTTTGTTGTTATCAAAAAATAATCCATGCCATAAAATTAGAAAAGAGCTTTATCACTTAAGACAATCTAATAAAGGTATCTTATTGGAATCCAACAACTTTTCACTCTTGCTGATAGTGCTCTTTTCACTCGAAAATTTATACTAGTAATAATTTTAAACGCAGTATTTTCTATATAAATCGAATAGGAATCTACAAAGTCTCCCAGTGAAACTATCGGTAAACTGTTTAGAACAACACGATAGGAAGGTTTGTGTGACTGAATTACTATTTTTTTTTTTTCTCAAATACAGTTTTTAATACAAAACACAAAGAAAACATGTTTCTAACATTGACTCTGTATGTCAGAAAGCGCTGAAAATAATTCTCATTTTTCTTTATGCTAACTTTACTTACATATTTTGTGAAATCAAAATTACAAGATTGACCTGCAAAGAAAGTGAGAGTTTTTGGAAATCATTGATATCGATAGCTTCAATTAATATCTCAAGTAGAAAAATTGCGTGTTCACGTAGCGGTACTCGACAATTATCAGAGTGGACCTCCAATTCATCTATAACAGTCGATGGCGTCGATATATATTCTTTGTCCTGAATTTTTTTTAAAAATAAAAACAGAAAATTTATATGTAAAAACCCAAAGTAAAATGAACAATATTCATCTTCCCATCTCTGAATTTATGGTCGGAGAAAAATGGGATAATTTACTGCTCGTTTTTTAGAAATATTCAGAGTAATAAGTTTTCAAAAAATAAGTGTGATAGCAAGAACAGATATATTATTAATTAAAGAGTAATAGAGTATCTGTATAATAAGAATAAAGTTTTCAAAGAAGAATTATAGCTGTTCATGTAAAGCTATTACAATATGCTAACAATATTGCAGAAACAGGATCACATGCCATTCGCAGCTAAAAAAAAACTAGTCATAAGAAACCAATCACCTCTGTGATTTTATTAATATCGTCAATCCAGTTCTGCTTACAAACATTGTATGTTCGGTAACTATAGGTACCATTGTCACGAACCAGAGGCACGCAAATTTCAACAATACATTCCAATGACTGTTTCAAACGATGTGGTTCTGTGATAGTCGACAGCGATGTATAAATTCTAAAAAAAACGTAAAATAAAAACGCTTTCCCATCATTTTCAAAAAGTCGGTATAATTGTTTTAATTATAAAAAGACTTTGAAAAATGTTTTTCTTTTCAAACTTATCGAATTGTCTTCCAAAAAATTTACCCACATAAGATATGCAATAATGACCGCTGTCCACTCGTGCATTATTCATTAGATTATGGATCATTATTCTTGTGATTAGCACAATATTTGCTACGATATTTTAAAATATAGCCATTTTGTCATCGTCTTATGAATCATATTTTGTTTTTTTGTTTTTTTTTTTTTTTTTTTTTTGATCCAAAAAGTCAGTTAAACGTATAAACTTACAAGTCAAGACACTTTGGTAAGACTAGTTGTGGTGCGAGAAATGCTAAATTTCGCATAACGTTAGATGCTGATGTTTCAGTCGTTGAAAACACCGAATAAAGCACGGATGGAAGCAATGTGCTGACGAACCATTCAATTTGTTCATCCGTAAAGCGCATTTCTGATGGTACCTATTTAGGCTGAGGTTCATTTCAAGAGAATCTGTTTAAGCATGCAACTGGATATGAATTAAAAGCATTTACAGTTGGAAATTATCAATTTTCAGTCGAGAGTTAAAGAAGACCTTGTTTCTGGTTTTCTGACGCACTCGTTCAATACGGATACGCCGTACCATTTCGCTGACCAGAGCATCTAAAAATGACTGCAGAGTTGGCGTATGACCTCCTTCATGTAATGGATGTAAAAAAGATTCGACGCATTTGATCAGCCGTTCGAAACACCGATGAGCACTGAAATATCGGGTTGTCGATGATCGGGAATACTACTTACTAGATAAGAAATAAAATGACTTAATAACTTCTAAAATAGAAGTGTTGGAGAGAAAAGAAAAAGACATTAGGATATTAAGATAGCAACTCTCGGGTTGACTAACTAAGAATTTCCAATCTAATTATAAAATGAGGGAAACCTTTCATTCATTCCACCTAGCATCCATATGATCCATTCTGCACCTGAACTTTCAGAGCCCATCCCTGTCCCATCACCAACTGCTACTTTATTATATCGTACACTTAAATTCAGTGCCCGCAAAAGTTTTGAAAAAATGATTGTGTATTTGGATGACCAATCGATATATCCTGGACAATATTCACTTATCCTGCAAATTGTTAAAGTACAGAGGTTCTCATTTTACTGGCAGAATGTTCATTTCTCATGCAGTGTAAGATTTGATTCTCATATTTTCCATTTTCGGACATTAATCTTCAAAACCAGAGCGGATGCGAACAATAACTTGACCCGTTCTCGAACTCAAGAAAGTAGAAATTTAAACTTTCCAAAAACCTATCGATCAAGATATATTCGCAAATTCATTTGAGGTAAAGCTATTTGTTACTAAGAGATGAGGTTTCGAGTACATTACGGTACACAGTTGGCTAATTATAAAGTGAAGATCAGTGTGCTTAAATGGACATTAAAAAAAGTTAAAAAGAATGTCATTACTGTTTGCAAAGTGGGTATGATTTATTATTTTCTAAATATTTATCATGTAGGCAAAGTTCACTATCTTGCAAAGATATACCAAATTTTTATTTTTAAAGTTCACAATTGCATACCAGTGCAGATTGAAAATGAAAACATACGCGGAGAATATGTGTTGTATGGGACTTTCCCAAGAGCTGTTCATCTCAACGAAATTATAAAAGTACCATATCTCATCGTACCATAATCCAGCACCGTACAGGTCGTGTTCCTCATTGGACATTTTAAGTGGTATAAAAGCTGAGAATAAATTAACGAATTTAATCATTGCATAATCATTCCATACATCAATAAACGGACGTATCTGAAATGTCACACCATGTTAACCTGATTATATTTTAACTCTTCTTGTCTTTTTGTAAGCATTTTTAGAACCAAACCTCATCTAGAATTTCCTTTGTTGCTGATAGTGGAAATAATTCTTTAACAGCCAGAACTGCTGAACGAATGTTCGATTTTTCCAAATTTTTACTGTTTCGTTTGAAGGCTACTTCTATGTACAAATCATAAATTGGTCTCCACGGTAAAGTTACATCATTGCGTTTGATTATCTCATCACTAAAGGACAAGTGGTAAATTAATAGTGCCGCACTTGATTATCAGTGGCAAACATTACTAAAGTTATAAACATTGCTGATCACAAAAGAATAAATTGGTATATATCAACTGCTAACAGAAAATAAATCGATCACTCTCGAAGTTCAATTCCAATAGTATATTATAAACGTTGTAGAAATCCAGTTACATAACGATTTTTAGAACTTTTTACATCATAACAGATAACAGTATATATTTAAGTAGAAACTTTTCGCCAATGTGTGTAAAAGTCACTTAATTAGCGTTTTGATCAATGAGCAAGCTTTATGAATAAGCCTTCGGTCATAATCGGGCTCCAAGATAACATTGTAAATAAACTTGATAAGTTTTATATGATCGGCCTTGGAGAAACGATGACAGAAAAAATTTAAATACCTGAAATAATCTAAAGATTCTTTTTTTTTTCTTTTTTTTTGCAACAATTTATTAAATGTCTATGATTGGATAAGATATAAAATGGATGAAAAAGAAAACAAACTGGCTCAGTTGATTCATCCAAAAAGAAATCCCTGAATCAGCAGCATATGATAAGGTGGAGGCGGCCAGGCCCGCTTTTATCTGCTCTAACCAGAAAGAAGAATTTCGACTGATATTTTCATAATATGGTAAATAAGAATATTCTCGCCGTGTATGTTGAAATTTCGATTTATCACGCAGATAACCTTCTGCACTTGTATACAAGTAACCGTTTTTCTCGCTCTATAAAAGAAAAAAATTTGCATATTACTGTGAATTTCACTTATTGAATTGTTTGATGTATATCTCACAAAAAGGTTATCTTTTGTACTTTCAAATATATAGATGTCAAACGAAGAAGAGATGGATACAATTCATTTAGGACCTGCGCTAACGAACTTAAAAGTATTAGTATACCAAACAATGGATTGTATTAATGAATCACTTGTTTTTCCTTCAACGTTTTCGCCTCATCTTCGCTTTTATTGTCTATTATCCACATTTACCCCTTAAATTGCAAACAAACCGCGCAGAAACTTAAACACAACAGGAATGAACAATATTTTCATAGTTCTTTGCTTCATAAATATAATCAAATGTCATTTACTTGGAATCACTGAAAAGCAATCGATGAAGCAATGCAGGAATATGTGAGATATGTTGAGTGTAAAACAATCTATTTTATCAAAAATAATATTATTAGCGCATGCAAGGCTACTTTAGAGAATTTGTAAATTTTCCACAACAAGTTAAACTTATTCTACAGTAGTAAAAAGAATAACGAAAAACTGCCACATCAACTGCATGATGGCTATAAATTCTTTCGGCACATTCATGTACGATTGAATAAGTTCATTAATGAGGCACTTCGAATGAGAAAGATTATTAACTGTGTGGCAATCAGTGAGAGTGAGACAAACTTAGACAGTGATAGAAGCCAATAGATAGTATGTCTTGAGCTCGGTAACTTAACTGATAAGTTTCTTTGCTTAACTAAGTGATACATTGCAAGTTTCTGCTTCCACTAATACTTTACTTTATTATTTTTCAAGAATATATAGCTTTAAAAAAAACACCTATAACTGAGGGAAATGCCGTATCTTTTATATATGAGATTTAAAAATTAGCATGGTTGGGCTGACAACTTTCTCTGGTGAAATAATAGATGATAAGAAAATCAAATTCGCCTCTACATCCAAGCCATTTCGGCACTCTCGACGACTCAAGCATTCAAACATGAATTTCAAAATTATGCGGTCAATGAATTTTTTGTTATCACACTGAGGGAAAATTCATGCAAGGTCATAAGAATTTTTGTAGGAATTCTTACAAGAATTTTGTGTTTCTTGATCAAATTCAAATTTATCTTTCATAGATACAACAGCCTTCTTCACTCGATCTTGATGGGATACAGGATCTTTATTCGAAAATATTGTTACTCTACAACTATAACTGATTTATGCTAGATTGCTTGATGTATTCTGCGCCGTAATATCCTGTTCTAATAGTCAGTAGCAATCGTTTTTAATCATATTCCTAACATTTATATTTAGGATGCGTTGATCGTTTATTTGTTACATTTTCATAAATTTATTCAAAAATAGCTTTTGATCCACTTGTCTTAGTACATTGCATTTGCATTTGCAATTGGAACGTTTGATCGATCTGTTGTGCCGGAAAAAGATGCAACGTCTCCACATTTCGTGGCACGAATAGTGGGTGATCATCTTCATGGAGTCGTCCTTTGAAGGCTAATACAGATACTTCGAAAGACTGCAAGTGCATGATGCAATGTCGAGATTTTATCAGTTATGTTATTGAGATACCATTCGATTAATTTTATATTATTGCTTCGAAAGAGAAAACATTGAATTTGATACAATGAATCTGAAGCCGATTATTTACCTGATCACAATTAAGTTTACAAGTAATTTCCGGGAAAACATTTCTACACATCCATTTAATCAAACAATCCAAATTATTCACTAGACACATAGCGATTAAACCTCCTGGAACAGATTATTTGAATAAAATGAAATTCTTTTTTAAAATGAATTTTTCCAACTATCAAAATTAGTACTTCCTTAGCTCCTTAACTTTTCTGTGTTCACCTGTCTTCATATTTCTTGTCCTTAGATGTGTGTGCGTGTCTAATAGGAATATAGCATTGCATTTACGCTCATAGACCAGTAAAATAGATCGTTCAAATACGATAAGTATCATATAGATTTGTAAATGATCCTTTAGTAAGTCACTGAAAAAGAAATCTGAGATTGATTTCATTCGAAGTCACATGTCCACTGGGTCAGAATACGTTTCTATTATTACTACTTTTTGCTGTAACAAAAAATAGGAGCCAAATTTAAGACTGTGGAGAAAGTAGAGAAGCGCTCTGCTTCCGGGTATCTGCGTTTTAAAAAGGCTTACTTCTTTCCTAATTAGTTGAAAAACGAATTAGAATTTCAGTGAGAAGTTAGTCTTCTGAGTTATTAAGAAATGAAAACAAAAAAATCACAATGACCGTCCCTTCACAAACTACAAAATCCGATGATTGTAATCTGGAAAACTGCACCTCTGTATAGGCGCTAGCAAAAATTGCTTCAGATTATAAATAATTTTCCCATGCACAGTAATATAATCAATTTCTCGAAATACATTACCGCATCCTTCCAGTGCCTGCGTATTATTTTGCAAAATTCTTAAGAGCAAATGAATTCATTCTAATTATTGTTAATTTTGACAATATGTCACAAATAAAATTCAAAAAATTAGTTCTATTGGATCGACTTTATTAGTGCTCTAAAAATTATTAATAATTTAAGTGTACAAAATGATCTGGAAAGATTCCTTATTGCATGCAAAAAAAATCTATCTCGATGTGTTCATTTGTTTGCATGACACGATACCTGTGGAATAGTGAATGTTTCTGCATGACGATCACAACAAGAACAGATTGGGCGTCGTTTGACCATCTCCTGCTCGTGTATTTCATTACCCTCAATGATGGCATTAATGAACGCGTTTAACAGTTGTGCTGAACAGCGCTGTAAAAACAATGTTGTTGTTTGTTTTTGTTGTTTGTTGTTGTTTGTTGCTGTTGTTGTTTGTTGTTGTATTATTATTCAAAATTATTCAGTCTCAGATATGACATTTCCTCGAATAAATAGAAAAAATAGTATTCAATCCAAATATTATGTTGAAGTTTTCAATTTGTTTTCCACGATTAGACATTTTCAAATATACAAAGTGTTGCAGAATAGCTTTTTATCTCGGAAATCAATAATTTCCATCTTTCGTCATCATTTCTATCAGTGCTGTCTATATAATAGCAGCTGGAAGCAGCAAAGAATTTTATACCGTTATTGGTTTGGCTTTTTCAAATTCAGCTAATATTTTCGATGGCCAATTTCGGAGTCGTGGATACGATCTGACACTATTTCTCCTACTCGCACGTGATATGTGGGTAGGCCGTAGTATAATACCTTCTCGATAGATAAATTCGGTCAGTTTAACAGCAATTATTGTGCAAGCATTAGATGGCTTATAACGACCGGCTAATCGTGACTGTGATATTTCGGTTGGCATTCGCCATACTATTACGCAACCGCCCTGTAAAAACTATTTCAATTGCTTTTTGATATGGAGCGAAATCTGAATTTGCAAGGTGAAAAAGCCTCAACCACAATAAATTAGAGATTACGTTGATTCACATACTTATCTACCTGTTCATATGCAGCGATCAAAGTTGGCAGTAGGCGTCGTTTGAGTTCAACAACATCTTCACATACATCACCGTTATCATTACCACTTTCATTTTCATTTGCGCCAGAAATATTTTGAGTTAATCTTGTGTTTTTCCAGTTACTTTGAACCCTACCTGACCACCTCTGAAACATAAAAAATATAAAATGGTTAAATAGTTTCTGAAAATTTGTTTTTAAAATTTTTTGTAATTTTGTTTATGCAAAACAAATGGTATAAATCAGAAAAGATTTACACATAGAATAGTTTACAGCAGACGTTACAAATGCATATGAGGTTTTGTTGACAATTATGCTTTAGAAACAACTGTGATTCAGTGATGATTGGTGTTAAAATATAAAAAGAATTGTTCGTGTATACACAGCAATAAAGTATATGACTGATTAGTTTGGTTCATTTTCTTTACCTCGGAGTAAAAGAAATTGTCTGACGTTTCAAAAGTGATTAAGTTATTGGGAATATTTTGTTTAAATCTAAACGATCTAACGGAAACCTATATTTTTAGTTTGATAATTTATTAAAGTGTAGAATGCCATTGGTGTCATTCAAACTCTTTCGTTCTTTCATTTCACTATAATAGCACACTGTGGGCGGCTATTGATGTTGTCAGTTTTGTAAGCAGAAGACCACAATACTGGCGGAGATGATGTCACTGGTAATTGTACCGCCCTCTAAAACTGCAGCGAATTCTACGACTATCACTGATAAAATACTAGCAACTTTATTCATCAGCAATATTTGTTAGTCGTATTAGTGTTGCTAACAGTAGCTTCCGAAACGGATACAATTATGTCTCAAGAAAGTAAAATCTATCGCCATTTGGATAATAATGTATTTGGCACAGCTACGAAGCAATTTACTGAAGTCGAAAGAATTTTCAGGTAAGAAATATTTAACAAACATTTATTTCTGAAAAATGTTCTTAAATTTTAATTACAAACAAAACGACATCACCTAGCTTTGTGAAATATGACAGTGTTAAGCCAAACGAAAAAGCTTTTACTAGACGTCTGGGCTTCATGACTATTAAAACGGTAAAGTATTTCATATTCAGTTCACGAAATACTGAGAAACTAAAACAGGAATGATTTGAACTTATTTTCAAAATCTCTTAGGCATTGTAAAAATTTGAATGATTCTAATTGGCACAACTATTTCGTTTTGTTTCAATGAAATCAATATAACAAATTTTTGTTATGTAATAAATTTCTGATTTTTTATGAAAAGAAAAATAATTTAAATCATTTCCGTCGCTGTTTGTATCACTCATTGTCCAACTGATCATCACTGGTCAATAAAGCCTATGAAAGCATCAATATTATTTAAATGAGACTTAGCATCTCAAAAAACTCTCTTAGTCATAGGATTATTGATAGTCCTATGGACCGTTATCATCATTGCAAATCTCGGTGCTACTAGTTAAATCAGAAAGAGTTTTAAAGATCATTATGTTTTTGTAAAAGGATACGTAATGCACATATCTGTCCTGAGTTGTTACTTTAAAAACCTTATTCAATAATATATTTGTATCGAATTTATTTATACCTACTGAAATAAAATGTATGTGTATTTAATAGCATTTTAAGCTAATGTAAATTCGAAGTTTGTATTTTTTTAATTTATTATTTTAAAAACTGCTTCAAAGCTTTTTACTCTTTTTCACGTTTTAAAATTTTCCATGAGCTACTATTAATTTTTTGTTTTAAAAATACAAGTAGTAATAAGTGATAATTTGTCTGGATGAAGAAAGCACATGATTTGTCGTTTGTTTGATAGGAGCACATGAATAACATACTTCAATGTTTTTAATTTGTCCACTACAAAATATAAAACTGGAAAAATATTTGATAAGAATAATGCACTGACCACTCAACAACAACTGTTGCTGCTATCTGTGATCACTCTCTAGCGAAAGTAAAATGTTTGGTTTTTTTGATACTGATTGGATGGAAAATAAACGCAATAAATTTTTTGAAGTTAATTGCTATATATCTCAGGATGATACAATTGATAAGATTGTGTATTCCTCTTATTTTTGTTGTAATTAGGACTGGAATAATAAGCATAATATGCGAAACAATATAAAGCGAAAATATTCATCAGAAGATTTTGTACAAACATCTTTGTCAGGAAAAGAAATGAGAATAAAAATTAATCAAGTAAGATCAAATGTCAGATAAGAAATATTGTAGAACTTGTTTTATTCTTTCCCTTCCATTTTATCTATTTTCATTCCTATTACAACTCAATGAATGAATATAAATTACCAAAAGCAAAAATCAACAAACTGGAAACAACAGAAATTCATGTTTTCTGGTTGTGATTCGCAAAACAGGTCCTTTTAGCACTACAAAATGTAAAAATTTAAGAATATAACGCAAACGATTGATAATGAAAGAATTTTATCTATCGAAATAGTGAGACGTTTTAAATGCATTAGTAATCAATTTGATCATGGAACAAACGGACTGTCATCCAATATCATAAAAGAAAAATGTGCATTAAATTTACCAACTGAATCTCGTGAAATAAAAAAGTTCTTATCATTGGGCTTGGGCTTCTAAAACTATGCTGTATAATAACTACTCCACTGATAATTTTTGAGGATAACGAAGTATTTAAGTAGATCAAATATGTGCTGATGCACTGAGGATTTTTTTTAAATTGATTACTTTCAAGATTTGTTTGAATGTACAGAGTTTGTTTGGTTGTTTGAATGACTCTACTCAATTCATTATTCCTATTTTCAGGAAGAATTTTATCAATGGATGGGAACGTGAAGGTGCGGCAGTATCGATTTATCAGAATAATGAGTTAGTGGTCGACTTGCAAGGAGGATATGCAGATGCAAGTTCGCTGCGTCTTTGGACATCCGATACAAGAACTGTCGTATTTTCTGCTACAAAAGTCTGTAATCTCTTTTTGGTATGATCAGTATATTTGATTTTTGGTATGGTCAATGTATGGTATAAGTTTTGTTCTCCTATATAGGCGGTGAGTGCACTATGTATAGCTTTACTGGTTGATCGAGGACAACTACAGTATTCGGATCGTATCTGTCAGTTTTGGCCCGAATTTGGCCAAAATGGTAAAGAAAATATTACTGTTGGTTGGATCATGAATCACCGCGTAAGCTCTTTGATATTTTTTGTTACTAGAATTCGTTAGTTTGAAACCATGCGTGATTGATATACAATAAATCTTCATAAAATTCAAATTTTTTAAGGCTGGCTTGGCAGCTTTTGGTGAACCGGTCACTAAGGAGGATGCACTTGATCACGAAAAAATAGCTGAAATTATTGCAAGACAAAAACCGAATTGGAGACCAGGTCAGATTAAGTGGTATTTTGTTAATAAGGATTTCGCTTGAAAATCTGCAGTTCAAGGATAGAGTTAGTTCTATTTCCTTACTTTCAGATGTTTTTTTCTTACTTTATGATGACCTTCGCAGAATAATATTTCTTTCAAAAATGTCATCGCTATTGTTCCTTGAAAGAACAATACGAATTTTTTAATTAGTGTAAACAGTTATTATCAACGATGTTATAAGCATTACCTTTTGAATCGTCCCACTTCATTACTGAAACTTAAAAAATGTCTTCTTGAGGATGATAATACTTGAAATAAATTATCTCTTCCAGTTCAGGAACTAAAGCAGGCTATCATGCAATAACGTATGGTTGGCTTGTTGACCAAATTATTAGACATGTTGACTTCAAACATCGTGGTATCGGAACCTTTTTCAAACAAGAAATTGCTGAGAAATTTGGTATTCAAATTAAAATTATTCTGTTGCTATTATACTTGTCCTACTTTATGATATGAAAAATTCGTACTATTATTTAGTCCACGATGGAGTACTTTTCATTCACTTGTAGTTTTCTTTAGTAAAAGATTCAGTTCACTAACTCATACATTTTTTAATTTTGGTCACCTTTTTTTCACACTCAAAATCCATCTTCATTTCATGCTACCTGAACAGAACTATAATTTATTATTAGTTAACATTTTTGATTGAAAACTTTCAAGATCTTTTTATGAACTAAGGAAGCAAAAAAAAGGAATCTCACTTGAATAATAATAATTAATCACATTCTTCAGGGATCGACTTCCACTTTGGTTTACCTTCAGAAGAAGAACATACCGTATCTCGATTAACAGTACCCCCATTTTCCTACAAAGTGAAAGAGATTTTGTACGATCCAAGGATTATATATCTGCTGAGCATATTAAATTTGAGAGCACCTAATTCAATAGCACGAAAAATTCGAGAAACAACTACGTGGATGAAGCTAGATGCGGTAGTTTTTTCACATTGGTTTGCTTTTTTGCGCCAAGAATGATACGGAGATTTATCATATCCGCCTTATTGCTAACTATGATGTGATCTCTTTCAGAATGTGAATACATTCAACGATCCGGATCTTCATCGTATGGAACAAGCTGCAGCCTTAGGAATAACGAAAGCCAAAGATCTAGCTAAATTATTCTCACTTTTTCTACAAGGGAAAATCGTATCTAACAATTTGTTGGATCTTTTCAAAACTCCGGAAATATCACATGGCTTGGATGAAGTAGTCCTTGCCCCATTACCAAAAGGATACGGTTTTATGTACGAACGCCATCCATTTAAACCTGTACGTACGTTGTTTTATATTGTTGCAACAAATAATTCATAAATTTAAATCAGCGTTCTGACGCCACTTTTGTCGTTCAAGTTCAATGATTAATAAAACGATAAAAGTTAGATCCATAGGGTCATTGGCTAGTTGGACATGCAGGTCTTGGTGGTAGCACAGTAATGATGGATATGGAAGAAAAGTTGGTGCTCGCATATGTGACCAACGGCTTGAAACTAGGTACCGGTGAACTCACAAGGACTTATCGGCTGTTGAGGAATGCCGCTTTACGGGCAGTGAGATGACCTTTGAATTCAGATGTAATTTTCAAACATTATCTACGGCAAATTTTTTGACCATACTTTTATTTGCTATCTTCAAATACAATATCTTTCAATAAATATTGCTGAGAGAAAGCTAATTACACTAGAACCGTTATCAATAAATGTAACAATAAATACTGCTTATTGTTACATTTACTTGTTACGTTTCCGCATGGTTCATGTATACCCTAATATGACATCCAATGATCCCAATATTTGTACAAAGTTACAAGTTTCAAGGTTCTCAATTCTAAAGAAGGAAGCATTTTCTTCCCTCATAAAAATCATGCATTTTAGCTATGTTCCTTTTGTTTTGCAATATCATTTGTAATATGGAATTAACGATTATTTTTACATTTCGATATTAATTACATTTGCATTTTCATATTGCATTGTCCCGAAAATTTCGCAGTAATGCAAAACTGAAACAGAACGGTAGTGTTTATATAGCACCGGTATAGTTTGACAAATCAATGAAATCAATATCACCGTAGTATTTCTGACGCAACGCATATTCAATCATAAGTAAATGTAACAATAAGTACTGTTCTGGCTTCATAACCGCTTTGTCACGTTGCGTTCTGACACGAAGTACTGTATCCCGAACATCTACCAATATATCACCATGAGGTACTTTCTCGGTGTAATCCATTTTACGACAACATATATCCAATACAGCCAGTGTACCACTCCTACCTGCACCCGTTGAACAATGCACAACAACTGGTGAACTGGAAAAATAACTCAGAAGAATTTTTAGAGATGTACCCCATAAGTTATAAAAGGTATCAGAAAATATTTAATGACAGTGAAGTTCAATTTTTAATATTTGTTTTAAACTGTGGATCCAACAATCGGAGACATACCATTCATCTTTTAGCCAACCACTTTTTTTTGCTTCATCAATGAACAACTTCCGATTGTAATTTATATCGGATACTAAATAAAGCATTTCAGTTGGTCTTTCTGGTGTACCTTTCTCATGCCACGTATAAAAACATATATGAAGGATTTTCCGTTCTTGCCCATTTCCTTTTCTCAGCTGAAATTCAATGATGCACATCATACCCACCAAATAACTTAGGAAGCACCGTCAACGATTTAAGCTCGAGTCAATTCGAGGCTTGAGATTAGAGCCATTTTTGCTCATATCTGTAGAGATTAGAGCCATTTTTGCTCATATCTGTAGAAATAAATGAGTTGCTCATATCTGTAGAAATGAGTTTTTTCTTTCCCCACTAGATTCAAAATTATTTCTAATACATTAACTAGTGTTGTTATGGATACATCACACCACGCAATCGTTATTACAAAAGTGAAGTGAACTATTAAACCATTAATAAATAATACCTTTAATACTGACGCTTCATATGCTTCTCGAATTAATTGTGATCCGCAAAATTTGATGGAATAGGACCCGAATATGGCGGTAGTTGATCGTTTAATTGGAACATACAAAAATGTCTTTGCTCTATAGAGACTAGTCATTGCAACAATTATGACCACATTTTCCTGATATATCATTGCCCAAAATGACTCCACAGTGTTTTCCATTGGCGACTGCGTCAAAATAAATTTCTTTTCCTCTCGAAAGCCATCCACATAATTAGCATTGATATAATCATGCATGCCTGATGTATGTCTGAAGGTTTCGAATAAAAACTGATAGAAAAGCTTATCAAAAAAGAACCCAAACATGTATGCATGAATTGTAGAAATTTAAAGTTTAGATACTTATTTAAAAAGCAAAGAAAAAGAAATTAATAGAAGCAGAAGTGAATACTGGAAATAAACTGATCAAAACAGGAAGATACTAACGGGACTATCACTCTAGTCTTATCAAGACATCGAATATCTTTGTATCGATTTAACGCTCCATGCTGTTCACAGACAATTGATGAATCTTTGACATCCTTGGAAATAACAGTGGCATAATCAAAGAATAAACCATAAACAGTCATAGAACACACCCGGCGTGTGAAACTAGTAAGCGTTTCTGATTCTCCAATATCATGTAAATACTCACCTGGCTTCAACACATATCTGAAATTGATTTGCCATACCTATACAGACTGCGTATTGGAAACATCCTAGCACCCATTTCAAAAACACGAAATTTCAATCCAGTCGACCGAATAATCTTCATCTATCAGATCATCAACAAATATAGTTACTGTCAAAGTAATTTAGTATCGTTCTATCTTCCTGATCATTTGTCCAGTATTAGTATATATCGCTAACTGCTGTAAGTAGTGTCTGCGATTTATCTGTCATTATTTCATGACGATCTAATGTGATATTATCTGCTAATTTGTTGAAATTCTGTTTTCTATAATGTTTTCTTTTGCAAGCTCAACTGCAATTGCTGTATGCGGTTTGATGGATAAAAATAGTCCAATAAAAGAAAAAAAAAAATAATCCAAACAAATTTCAATTTTTCTTAAGTTTCAATTCCGACTTTTACATTTAAAGACAAACTAGTCAATTAATTTCATTCAAACGAGCCTTGCAGGAACAGCAGGCATAGGTGCAGAGAAAGAAGTTGTTCGAGAAGTGCTTGTGAATTCCGAGCCTTCTGATTGCAATCCTTTGGAAGTGCCCATTCACGATCTGAGAAGAAAGCAAAATAATCCCCACGGTCACTTCAACTCCTCAAATCAACTTCTTCACACCAACACAATGAACTAAATGAATGATGCCAAAGTTCTTCAACATTCTTATATTATGCAACAAAATTACCTTCATTTGAATATGGTCCAGTCTTCATGACTTTCAGTAACCTGCTGATGTTTTATTTATCATCCACAGTCTATCGCAGTAAATCAATCATTTATCTGCTTTGATCAGAGGAGAGCAATGAGTTTAATACGACAGACTAAACGAATGTTTCAGCGAAACATTTTGCTCGATGTAATCGAAATCCATTCTTTTGTGCGGAGTGAACCAATTCGATGCGATTGATTAGAGTGGTCATCTCTTTCAAAATTTTCTTCCACTCTCAAAAACACAAAGAAATACTCCAAAGCTTGCATATGCCATTATGAACCCTTAACTATTTCACTATTCAAATTTTAATGGTTATATTCTACTGCCCAATTGACCGCAACACAGTGTGGTTAAGAAAATTCGTCGAATGTTTAGTGGGCAGCGTGTTTTTTTATTTTTTTACAAAAGGTTAACTGAGTACAAAGAAAGATTAAGAACCTGCGAAAAAAGTACTGAACACCTTTTCCTTGATGATTGAAAGCTATGAGTGAGTAATTGCTGGACAGAGAAGTGTAGATTGCAAGATACAAGGAAAAGAAATGCGTTCAATAAGGCAAATGCAGAGAGTGAGTTGACGAGTCAAAGTGACGAGACACATTTTCTGTCTTTCTCAATGTGGGATTTGCTCGTTTATTCCGGTCGTTTCAGATGAACTTAGACACATAGATAATGTGGATGTTAGATTAACTGTTGTGTGTGCGATCTGTTACGGGCAATCTATATTTCCTAGTTCTTCAGCACTCCCTTCTCGCTTCTCGTCCACTTACCCGCGAGGGGAACTGTAGTCTGTTGAGAGGAAGTGACAGTAGGGTACCACTAGTCAATGTCACTTCAAGTTAGGCAGGTGACAAAAAGCTTTAAAGAAACCACTGTTCTTCAAACCTTTCTTCTTTATATTCGAAGATTCCGACTATTTTTTTTTACAGCTCAGCGATGATACTTACTTTGGCTACTTTGTATATTATGAATTTTTTCTTTGCCACAATTGAATCAAATGTAAGTATTGGGCTGCTAAGGAAGACTGGACGGAAACCGAAACCTAGTGGATATGGCAATCGACCACGTGGAGTTCCATTTGCACGTTGGTATTTATACCTATATTTCCAAAGAAGGGGTAACATTCCGTAGTATATTCAGTGTCTTGAATAACTTAAGAAAAATGAAATTAATAAATTCATATGAATGAATTATCAGGAAGGATTCATTAAGGTGGACCGTTCTATGCAACCGGCGAAACTTTTGCATGTGTAGACAACTCCAGATCAATTCCATTTTCGCAAGTTAATGATGATTATTGCGATTGTCCTGATGGAAGCGATGAACCAGGTATGTACAATGATGCCATTTTTTTCCTGATTTTCTTTAAACCATCAAGCTACTGAGCAATCTATTTAGTAACAATAGCTTAGAAGTGAGATTCAATAGATTGCCCCCAAACATTTGATATTTATAGTACGTTATTATTTTCAAAAAAATGATAATCTTGTACGATAAATCACCAATAAGTTAGCGAAAGCATTTAGTTTTTACTTCTTTCTCGGAAAGATGCAAAGTTCTTGTTATAGTAGTTTAAAGTACGCGATTTCTTTTCTTTTTTTTTTTCTGAATAGCAATAATTATTTTGTCGATGTTTTAAAATCTGAGAAATAATTTCTTATTTGCACTCAGGAACGTCTGCTTGTCCTAATGCCAAGTTCCATTGTCTGAATCGCGGTTTTAAGGCTGAAGATTTACCGTCAAATAGAGTGAATGACCAAATATGTGGTTGGTAAACCTTTAATAAGTTGTTAAAAATTAATCGGATGATGATCCATCATCCCCGCTTTTCATTTTTTGACAGAGACAATTTTCTCTTAAAGCATGATTTAATTTAACTTCAATAATATGTGCTTTAGAGATTTTTCGAGCCTTTGCCGAAATTTTTGAACAATTTAATAACTGCGGTTAGTTTTATACAATATAAAAAAGCTGCTTTGTTTCTGAATTGAATCATTTTTCTTTAGCTACTATGTTTAGATTGTTGTGATGGAAGTGATGAATGGGATAGTGCAGTTGAGTGTCCTGATATCTGTAATGAACTGGGGGCGAAATATCGAGAAGAGATACGCCAAAAAACTGAGTTAGCGAAGCAAGTAATGCAGCAATGATTTTATTAGATGTTACGTTATATCACCTCTTTTTGTTCGCTGAATCTCATAAAAGTTTCTGGTGTTTCATAGATCTTTCATAGGGTGCCAATTTTGCGCCTGTTTGGAAATCATTGATTTACCGTCAAACTTGATTATTCCTTTTGATTCTCGTGCGAACACGACATTGTTCTGATGGTTCGTCTTTTAACGAGAAAATTTCAGGGTTTTGTAAAACGGACGGAATTGGTTGCAGCAGGTCAGCAGTTGAAAAGTGAGAAATTAGAAAAGTTGAAGTCTTTGAAGAAGGAGATGGATGAAATAACAAAGCTGAGAATCGATGCCAGAACAAAAATGGATGAAAAGGCCAGTCTGGCTGCAGAAGCAAAGAAAAGGCATGAAACGACCTGGGAAGGTAATTCACTTTTGATTAAATTAATGTAAAATAATGGCTTGTTCACTGTCTTTTCTGAACATACTAGAAAACGAGAATTTTTTCTTCCGATTCTTATGAACTGTTGTTTATGTTAAATATAAAAGTTACTGTCGTCACTTAATTTCTTGAGAAATGAAGAGTAAATTAGTCAAATCTTCAAGAATGAATAATAGTACTTTTTATATCAATGCTTCCTTTAATTCCTTATGGCAAGAGTTGTTATTATTTAGTTTTCATTGCAGAAGAAAAGCAGAGACTTAAGCGAGATTACGTGTTAATACTGTTTACATCATTCGACTCAAATAAAGATGGAAAGTAAGATCTCCGTAATATGTCGCCTTTTGTTTGATACTAATTCTCTTTGCTAGAAATTTATGGTCAGAGACATTCAATAAGGTTTCAGAGTTACTTTGGATGAACTGAAAATGGCGAAGGAGTTTGATACAAACGGGGATGGAGTTGTTTCTGACAACGAAATCAAGGTTTTATCTTTGACTAATGTTAATTTACTGCAACTTTTCTCTTGTTTTTGGTGAGAAGCATAGGATGACGACTGGTTTTCCTAATTCGTTTTTTTATTACTGAAATTTATAGCAAAATATAAGGGAAAAATGGAGGAAATTTTAGATTCATGAAGCACGAAAGGTTTTTACTATTTTCATTGGGACCTAAGTAAATCGATTTTAGCATGTTTTGCCTGATGGAATGGACGATTGTAATTTTGAAGTTTTTCTTGAAAATGTTTACGACAACATACGCAGTCTTTTCGAAAAAACAAGCGAAATCGAGACAGAAATGGATGAAAATGAACATCAATCCACTTTACCCATAGCAGTGGAATCTAACTCCGGTGTTTGATTAATAAAATTATCAGAAGAATAACTGAAGCATGATTAGTAAATATTATTGAAATAGGTTTAATTTATATACTGAAATGTTGCGGAGAGATATTAAACAAATCGAGTAATATTTGGAAGAAATGTAACTGTATCTTGCTATGTTTTAACAGTAATGCAGAATGAGTTAAATGATTACGTGTTGATTATTGAGTCTGCGTGCCAGCTTATAATTTGTTTAAAAAATGTTGTTGCCTTTCAAAAGTTTATAAGTGTGGCACTGAGATTTGGATCACAATGTTTTAAAATGTCAGAAAACACACAGCGCTGTACTGTTTCATAGCTGCAGAACTACCAGATATTGGTGGAGTCAGTTCATCACTAAATGAAAGTGGAAGTATTGGCGTGGGTTTTCCTCGAATTCCAAATATCGATTTGAAGCAACCGCCATTTGATGAGGAAACGCATGCAATAGTGAAAGGTACTTCGTCATTTTTTATTCAATTATCAGCCGCGAGCTTATATTTAGAGTTTAAATCTGAAAACTTAAATATATTTTTACATCATCGCATTGCTGTTTCAGAGGCAGAGAATACAAGAAAGGAATATGATGATGTTAATAAACGTTACATAGATCTCGAGTTGTTGATGAAGTAATAATTTGCTCCTGTAAAACTCAAATAATGTAATAGATGAAAACGACCGAAAAAAAAAGAGGAGGAATAAGAAAAAAGTAAAAACAAACAAGTAACGAAAAGTTAGGTAAGATGAAAATCTGGTGAACTAGTGGACTTAAGTAGTAGCGGAACATTTTGTCTGAGTAGTAAATTTGGTATGAAATTTTTTCAGAGATTGTGAACAATATGATAGTGATGATTTTGGAACAGATATGGCTTGGGCGTCGTTGAAAGGAAAATGTTTTGAAATGGAAGAAAACGAATATACTTATAAACTATGCTTGTTTGATAAAGCTGTGCAAAAGAGTAAAAATAGCGCTATCGACACTGATTTAGGGTATGTTGAAAATACCGAAGTCATTGGTTAATATTTGATTAGAGTGTTGACTACAATCGACTTCCAGATTTTAACACAATTACCTTAATTTAGACTTTCCGAGCTATTCGAGTGTATATATATCTAAAATACTTCGCATTATGACTTTGAAAATTGTGATTTTTGCAAACTTTTGTTAAACTTCTTATTGCAGCAAATGGAGTGGTTGGATTGGTACTGAACCAAATAAATATACATTACAAAGTTACCAGAAAGGTACACCGTGTTGGAATGGACCAGATCGATCAACAAAAGTAATCACTGAGTGCGGAGAGGAGACAAAGTTAGTGGAAGCATCAGAGCCAAGCAAATGCGAATATATTTTTACTTTGCGTTCCCCTGCTGCATGCCCAGATCCTGCCACTATCGTTGATGAACATGAAGAACTTTAACTGTTTGATATACATTTTGGAAACGTTTTTAAATCCATTACTGTTTTATTAATTAAAATATAGATTTAGAAAATGGAATGCATAAGATAGTAAAGAGGAATGATTTCTATTATTAAAAATGATTTTGAAAATCAAAGCCCCAAATTTCTTTTATAATGTTGTAAGTGTTCACATAGTGCTATGTCCCGAAATGTTATTTGAAAATTTCTCAAGCTGTGAACTCGAACCAATATTAATTGAAGTTTTCATTCATGCTATCCTGTTTGCGCTTAATATGGTATTCTATTAAAACTCTCTCATTTTAAGGATTTATGCCCATGAAATGAGAAGAGACTTCATGATGATAACAGGAGTCTGTATATATATATTTTATATCACATTTTCTTCAGTGGTTCTATTCCTAGCAGACGCATCCCACTGTCTAGAATTTTCCGTGCAGTTGATAATAGCAAAAGTCTTGGTATTGCTATCTCCAGTGGTTCGTTTGATATTCGAAGGATGGAAGAAGCGAAGCCTACAACATTTGCCAGTTGCAATAAATACACGGTTAATCGGCAAGGTTCCATTTCTTGGTAGCTAGCATATAGGATATCAGGAAATGCTTTGAATTGTTTCAAAAGAAGCCAACTCGCTTCATTCGTTTCGAAATTCCCCTCAAATCCCTCCATTAGATTCTGCTTCAAGCCATGATTCCGTTCCTCGATTGACATTAGCCGGCTATGTTTCGTCTGAAATCAACATTTTGCAAATTACAATTGTAAAAGAATAAACCACCAACATTTGGTCTCCAGATTTCAGACAATTTTTTCTTTAAGCCTTTTTAAACATAATGCTTTTAAATACTACTAATTCAAGAGAATCATGAACCTTTTAGACGCAACTAATATCAAAAGAATTTTAATTCTTTTGGTATTAGTGGTGTTTAAAAGAGTGCTTATTGGAAAAGTTTATATCAAAGGATATCCAGTGATACATTGAAAGAAATGAGAGTACGGAGATAAAACTAGTTAAATAAAGATTGTAAAAGGAACTATGCCTGTAGAAGAAGCGCATTATTTTGATTCATTTGAAAAGCCTTATCGAATGAAAACGAGTAATTGGTGGATCGTGCCCTTTTGAGATCATTCACTATCATTGTTCCAAGTGACAGATTCGCTGCGACTTCTTAAAAATACACCTATATCAGATGCTATTTCTCCAAATATCCAATAGTTTCAGTAGACATATTAGTTTATTACATAATAAACATTCAACTGCTGTATAATTATAACATCAAGGATGCTGAAACATCAAGACTAAAGATGAACTTACGAGGAATTTCATTCTGGCTAATTTTCATCGTTCTAGATTTGGTGATAAAGGATTTTGCAAGTTCCAAACCATGTTCTAGTATTTTACTTACCAATTCAACTTCTCCCAGCCTATAAAAATCTATGAAAATGAGAAATCTAAATTTTCTATACAAATTTACAGACTGGACTGATTCATCGAACTATTCTTGAACAATAATGACTTAGAATTAAGAAGGGAAACTTCGTTCATAAAAGTTTTAAATGCCAGTATGAGTGGCAGCACCTGGTAGAAAGACCTTTTACGCGTCCAAATGAGACATGATGTATTTTTTCACCAATATCATTTCGTCCAATGGCATTCAAAAGACACTTCAAATTGGTGAAATGTTGTCGCTGTGCATGATCAACCACATAGAAATACTTATCCGCTGCATACAACTGTTCCCGTAATAAAACCGATGCTAAGTCCCTGAACTTTTGAGATTGGCAATCAAAAATTATGTCAAAATTTGTTTATCCATAGTAAAGTAAACTGCTTGTAAATCTATGCAAAATTGAATGATTACTAATTTCAGTTTATCACTAATGGGAATTTGCATAAAAAGAAAATTAGGAGTGCTTACCTCGACAAATAAAGAGTCGTGTTATTAGATCTTCTGATAACAATAGACCTATTCAGTTCTTTGCATATGACTGTAACAACACCATCACTGCCGTTTTCTGCTTGCCCTTCTCGTAACATACGATTAATTAACTGATGAGCAGAAACGACAAAGTCAGACTCGAAATATTCCACATCCATTGATAAGTTCATACGTCTGAAACTTTTTTATTCGTAATAATATTTGAAATAGAAACTTTCACACTTCATAAGATTCTAAAACAAATACGGGAAATTTGTAAACTATAGTCCAGTTTCGGTGACAAATGTTGAAAATTTAAACTGTTGATGCAGCAATACTCAATTTTGTTACACAATGATTAACGAGCTTAATAAATAAAGAAGGCAGTACAAAGATACTGGAGACGAATGGTGCATAGTCTGAAGATAGAGATTATATTTTCCACCTCACAGAAAATCAGTCAGAAGACAATCAATGAAAAAAGTGAACGGGTAAAGACATTAAACCATGTAACATCTCTGTTAAGAATTTTAGATTCAATCCATATGTAAATAACCTTGCTATACCTATAAAAATGATGCAACTGTTCATGAGATAACTGCCTTGCATTTTGCCAGAACGATAAATGATCATTGGTACCAGCGGTTAACAAAGAATTTTCCATGCTGGCAAGAATATTGTAAGCTTTTTGTAAAAAACTGCTGGAATGTTCAGCTAATTTGTTCGCTTCAACGTAGCATTTAGCCAAAAATGTAAATTTTTGCACAGTGTTCCACGTAGACCATACCTAAAAAGTGCTCTGCTCTATCTGTACAACGAACAAAATAACAAATGGGTAGAGAGAAATAATTATGCCTCTTGGGAGGGTTTCATTACAGGCCAGTGAGCAGCAATCAGTGCAAACTGCAACCCCCAATCACCGATGTAGTTGAGAGATATAACTTTATTGCCAGCAGCTCTATTTATTGTATCGATATAGCGCCCAATAACAGTGGATCTGTAAGTAAAAATAAAAATATTTGGGGAAGTAATACCTAAGGAAAATTTTTCAATATTGCTAATGAAAAGCACACATACAAATCGCAGCCGTTAATAATTAATGAACCGTAATGAAATTAGCAAGTTATAGTTAGTATTTGTTTTTCAACTGATGCCAATTTGCAACTAGGTTTTGCACATTAATCTTTTCTCCATATTAGCTAACCGAGGAAGCAATAAATTCAGCACTGGTAATACTAGCTATAACGTTCATCATATTAACAATCAAAAGTAGTTTTTTTGCCAAATTTTCTACTAGACAACAAAATAGTTACAGAGATCCTTCTTTACTATTACATTATGCATTAATTGCTACAAAATGTTAAGCATCCATATAAAAAATAATGGCAAAACTGTATGCAAAATACTCTTTTAAAAAAATTCCAGAAATAACCTGAAATTGCCAACATGAAATTGTTTGGCAATATTTGGGGAAGAGTAATCAACAACAATAGATTTCCTATTCTTGACCAATTTCTGCAATAACGTTGCAGGCAGATTTTCCTCCCGCCACATCTCATACACAAATCTTTTCATCGATGAGTCAGCTACATGCAGCATTCGGCCTTTAACTGAAACAGATTTTTGAAAATGTGAAGACTTACATCTAAGGCAAAATCCGTAAAGCTGAAAATTAAACGTTGTGATAACTAGGAGAAATCCCAGAACGATCATTCAATATTGTAGGAATTGACAATCCACAACCTTTAACAATCCCATCACACGGTGTTTGAATCTGAAGTCAGATCTTACTTTCCCATAAACTAAAAAATTAGCTTCATTCATTTAAAATGTGTTCAAGATTCGTTCTATGTTAATTAAATTAACCGTAATACATTAATAAAATATAACTGTTCTGCCCGAACTGCATAAATATTTGCATGATTTCTTACAATAAAAAAAATTCCGCTGAGTCACTAATGATTATCTCTTTATGCTGATATATTATTACACTAAATACAATAAATAACACTCACCACTAAATAATATAAACTACCACCCATTCATCAATATTTCGAAAAAAGATTCCTTGTTTATGCTATTTTATTAACATATTCCAGACCGAATAAAAACTTGTGAAAAAATGGCATCAATACACTCACTGTTATTAGCAAATATCAAAAAATTTTTAAAGATTATAATTCCTAAACAAATCTAGTTTTCGCTTAATATTTTAACGATATATTACATTACATCGATCTACATCAATTATGGTGCGCATACTGTTACCATCATTTAATTATGCATTTCATAATATATCCACAGAATTAAAGAATGCAATGATAAAAGAATTACCAACGAATATGAGAAATGCAGTGCAAAAAAAAAGAATTCTGAAATGTTTACAATACATAACACTTGAAAATGTTAAAAAAAATTTAGACAGTGACTCTCTTCAGTGAGTATGTCATTAATGTAACAGTGAATCTTGCGTAAATTTAGAACTCATAAGGCAGTTGCAATTAGTAAACTAAAAGTAGAGTAAACAGTGAATTCTAAAAAAATACTAGATATGCAAAACATGCGACATACATTTCATGAAATGCTTGTCCGCCATCTTGTTTAGCAGTTTCTTATTCCACAGCTATAAGGGACGATTTTGCTGTGCTTTACTGAAGCATATCGAAACGTGTTTCGCATTGAACTCATATTAATATTTGGTGGTAGATTTTTATAGTAATAAAAATAGCAGATTTATTTCTTACAACAATAACTCCACAATCTCTACGTCAGTTTTTTAAAATATTTCATTTGATGATAGGTTGGCAAATTGTTGGGTCAACATATACATATAGCTAAGAGATTTTAGATTAGCCAAATATATCAACTTTCAAAAGGACACTCCTTAACAATTACTCAGGAAGTTTTTTTTTCTTTGGAAATCCGTCGAAAAAATTAAAAAATGATCACAAAACGCGTTTCCCATATTTTTAACGTGACAAAACAACTTAAATTGAAAAACATAAACAACTGAAAGTCAAAATGTGAAAATCACAACTCACAAAACTCTTTTAAACCTCTCCTGGCAGGACACAAAATCACTACTCCCATTTAAAAAGGTAAATTAAGCAAATTCGTCATTTCTTGTTAACAACAGCAAAGAAGTGTTAAAGAAAAGTATAGACGTCACGAGAAAATACAAAAAAAAATTATTGTCACCAAATACAGAGCTTTGTAGCACCAATATTTCATTTATTACATGGATTTTCAACCATCAAAGATGGCTCCTCTATTCAGCAGTGGTTTAACAAACTGAAGTGCTACTAATAAGAAATAATCTGTCAGATCAAGTTGTTATGTAGATATGCCAAAATTCTAAACCAAACTAAACAATGATTCACAGTAATATAGAAGGAAGTAGTGATAGAGCACCATACTAATACCGGAATCAAACACCATGTCTGAAAGCTTTTCTTCGGATATAATAAATACATCAGCACTCTTGAAATGTAACAACATAAATTGAAGTGCACAATTTTACGAAATAATTGATGATATTAACTTTATGACAACTGACGAGTGAAGAAAGAAATGAAGTGTATAATATTTTGCCATAACTAAGAAGTTATAAATGTTGCTGGTTGAACTGCAACTGCTCCTACAGTATAATCGCTCTATTGCAAAATTCATCTAGAGAAGACTCGATTTTCAAACACAAGTAATGGATAAAGGTTTTTGATTGCGTAAATAAAATGTAAATAAATTAAAAGTGAATTTTAACTTCCGATAAATTAGAATATTCCCGAACTAATGACTGGATAACAAAATAGGGCAAAAAATGAATGCCACTGGCGAGCAATAAATAACAGACATTGTTACAGTCATCTGTAATAGTAAATTGTATGAGAATAACAGAAGTGATACAATGAATGCAAAAGGAAAATTTAGTGCAAAGAAATAATATAATTTTTTAAAAAACATAATATAATGTCTTCTACAAAGCAGCTGAAAAAAATTAATGCGTTATACGAACAGAAAGAAAATATAAAAATTATAAAAACTAAGAAAAGAACGTAACCAGAGTCTTTTTTTTTCATTTGAAGAAGTCTTCAAATTTACAATACTTTTGAACATCCGATAAATTATTCTAAAAGATAATAAAAGCAACACTTTATTGTTCATTACTATCTTCAACTAGCACATTGCAATCAGTAGTAACCAATTCGACTCCCCAAAATGATATACAGCAACCAGCCAACTGATTATTTCTAACAAGAGGCAATACCTTAAAAAATGTCCAGAATTAAAGAACATAATTCAGCACTTCCTCTTAAATCGAGAATTTATGAAGGAATCAGTAGAGTGTGGACAAAAAAGTTAAATAAAAGAGTTATGAAGATAAAAATTCGATAGGTTAAATATAACTTCGAAAAACAAATCTAAATGAACACATTTTTTACTTTTTTAAAATTAAATTTTTTAAACTAATAACAAAGCTTACTTTCTGACGTAAATAAGGTCCAAAAAAGATATCATTATAAACAAACATTCCAAAAATTAGCAGTGTAAACCCAAGTAGCTGCAAAAATAAGATAAATAGAGATAACATATTAATACTTTTAATGAAACTTTTTAATAATATATTAAAAAAAAAAAAAAAAAAAAACATTATGGCATAATTTATATACTTGCATGGGGATGAAATGCTCGCCAAAAAGTGGAATTGAAACCAGCCAAACTAAAAGAATTCGAACGCTGTCAAGTACCATCCTTGTAGTCGCTGACAGTTGTTTGGTGACAGAAATACCAGCAAAATTGAAAAATGCAGTGCTAAAATAAACTGTCAACAAGTAAAGCAGATATAAGTAAAAACACTTAAAAAACAAACAACTGTATTAAAGGACAAAGGCTAGAAAGGTGTGAGCAAAAATAAAAATTTAATCAATCAATTTACCCACAAATCTAAAAACGGATGGTTTTTCTATAATGATCATTGGTTTCCATTTTAATTTCAATGAAAAATATTCGGTAGTGATATCGAAAACTTTGGTGAAAACTTTGGTGACATGGTGTGGTAATGAAGAAGAGTGGTAAGAGATTAATTAAAATAATAGAAGTATCCTATTTATGTGTACTTTTGAAAAGAAAAAAACACTTTCAGCAATCGAATCCAATAATTCCTTGGTCAAATCATCTTCAGAAACCAAATAGAATAATTACTATAACCAACCTAATTACAGTAAGCAGCAGTGCATATCCAATCAATGGATTACTTTTTACTTCTCTAAATGTATCGAATACATCCTCTAGTCGATGATATGGATTTGTTGAAAAAATGGACGGCACTTTTATGTAATACATTGGAAACAATAAAAATGTCAGAATTGTTAGGCCGAAGAAACCTATAACAATCAATTTAGCAAGTCGTTAGGCAACAAAAAGAACTATGTATTTGATTAGTTATACATAGTAATTCCAGATCCAATTAACAAATCCGAAAATTGAAAATACATAACGTTAAAATTTCATACAAAGATCAGAATCCAAATGACAAACCTTCTAAACCAACAACAAGTAAAGGTGGCGCATTGGATTCAGTGATGATTTTTTGTTCAACAACCATCTGAATTGACACTATAATTTGAGCAATAATGATCAGCAAATCGCCTAAAAAAATGTGTAGTCAAAAAGATTGTAAGAAAAGCAATACGTCAATCTTTTTTAAGCAGAGATTTTAAACAGGATGATATCTGGATTTAAAACAGATTTCATTCGACTCAAGTCTCTTCCTTTTTTGATGACGTGATTTACGAATTTACGATTATAATATAAAGGAATTTAGTAATTCCATTTGTATAGAAATTTAGTCACTTATCCGTTTATCCGCCAATCTTTTTTCCCAGTATAATGAACAAACCTGTAATAATTCCATTGATATCACGTTTAGAGTTTTCATCAAAAATATCGCTCATTCCGACAATAACAAGACCAACAGTAATAAGGCCCATACCTAACCAACGAAAAGCTTGTAGATATGATTTTAAAAAAGCAACCGAAAAAAGACCAGTGAATATTATCACAGCGCCTGAAATAAAAAAGATTTAATTTAAATAAATATGATGTAATTTGGTTAAAGTAACAAAAGCAAGGAATAATAAACCGTCAAAAAGAGGAATCTTCCGGATCAAAATAAATAATAAATTATAAAAGGTAAGCATATTTAAAAAAAAAAAAAAAACACTAAGAGAGGGAGAGAAACAAGGTAATACTGAGGAACTAACCTCTTAACATCTGGAATGATGAAACCTGCGTAAGATTTAAGCTAATATACATTATCGAGGTTGCAAGAACATCACAAAATGCTGGTACAGCGAATACATAAGGATTAAGTTTCAAAGGATTTTTTTCTGAAATATATCTGGGTATACCGCTTTCACTGCCTTCATCACTATATGATGATGTTTGATCGCGATGATTTTGAATGTAGCGTGCAATGATATAAACAAACAAGCATGACAGTTCACCGATAAACATGCAGATTGCCTGAAGACAAATATTTATTAAACTTCAAATGCATTTTAAGAAAATATTTTTAGCGCTAGTTATTTCAGCAATGACGATTTTAACGAAGAACAAAGTACATCATAGGGGCCTATTTAAAATTTCACAAGATCAAAGAAATTTAAAAAAATGACTTCTAAAAGATATGGCACATATACAATGCATGGTATAACATACTTTAATTCTAAAAAATTCCATCAAATCCTTTCAAAAATAATAATAATGAAAAATTCTTATACCTAATTGATGGAAGCAAATTTGTTTACTTAATTCGGTTTCCTATTAGCAAAGCTGGAAAAGTCATTCACCAATAACCAAGTTTATAACACAGTTCTAAACTTTAAAATTTAGGAATGTACCTGAACAAATGGATGGTTGAAATGTCTGTTATCCGCCTTCATGCTATCAGCCCATCTGCAAAAGGAAATTGACCTATTTACCATCATCATACTTTGAGCGATCTAACCAATTAATTTAGTTAACATTTATCCACAAAATTATGCAAAAAGGAGAAAGGAATGAAAATTTTTCAAAAAAAGAATGTACACTACAGGATGTCAAAATATGAAAAGATATATAACAGCTCAATTATTTGATTATATGATAGATGGGATAAAACCTCAGTAAAATTTCGAAAAGCAATAAGGCTTTTTGAAATTAAATTCTATACTTATAAAATCTGTAACGATACTTACTTTGCTGCAATAGTATTAGCTGATCCCGTAATTACCATTGTCAGGCCAAGCAACAGCAGTTTTAATGCCTGACTCCTATCAGTATCCACCATACTGAAATCAGGAAACACATTATATAGGATTTAAAAGAAATTCAGGGAAGTACACATAGAGTTCGACCATGCATAATTATGAAAGGTGAAAAACAATCTCATTTCCTAGTCATTACTTTTTTTTTACTTTTCGCATAAAACGTTACCAAAAAATTATGACTTAAAAAATAAAAATGAACTGTCAGGTATTTCTAAAATTATCTGAGAAATCTAACAGCTTGAGATTCAATAAAATCGTTTTCAATTTTAATTCAATTGAACTCGAGATAAACCAAACTAAGTTCTTGAGGATCAAATAAAATTAAAGTAAAACTGAATATTTTAAAGACATGTTTTAAAATTATAACTTTTAAATCTTAAAACTGCATGAAATCTATTTCGTACCACCGATAAACATCATAGTCCCCATTTTCACTGTTTGCGAGACCCATTACATAGGTGGGACAAGTATTTTCATTATTAACTAAGTTTAGTGATGCAATGTGATTTGGTTGGGAGTAAAACCGTGTCGAGCCAAAAGTATCTGTGGGTGTGGGTGCGTTGGTGGGATTAGTGTAAGTCAAGCCGAGAGGTGCGGTTGTAGTTGTTGGCTTTACAGGGCTGCGGGTAAATGAAGATGAAGAGGGAGAGAGGGAAGGTAAGTGCTTTGGGCAAGGGGAATAGGTGCAAGAAGGAATCGATATTTAATGGTACCAGGCATACTGCAGGGAAGTCTTGGATCAAGACTAATGGACAGGTAGCTCTTCAATTTATTTCTTTCTCTCTTGCTCTGCTTCATATGTTAAGCAGTAAACGACCATATAAAATTCTCATACTTTAGCATATTGCAGATGGAAAGTAAACAGCAAGAAAAAGAGTTTATTGATAAAAAAACTGGGAAGGATAGTGCGAATCCGCCAGAAGCAAAAAAGAAACGAGTATCTTTTGCTGACGATTTGGAAAAGATGAAAGTATTTGATAGAAGGATGAAGCTAGCAGTGAGTGGAATTACTTGAAATTTAAATCCTGTTGTATAACAACTGCAGCTATCTTGTATGCTGTTTTATATGAATTGTCTCCGTAGTGATCAGTAAAGAGTCCTAAAAAGTTTTATTCGGATAGCGAAGCATCAAAAAAGTCTTCATGATTCAGGTAGATTAGTGAGATTTGCACATTTCAGGTCACACCATCAACAGCCAGTCCTGGTAGAAGCATCATTATGAAAAAGGAAGGTGGAATGAGGGAGATTTGCAATGAAGTCATAAAAAAAAGTGAATTCATGCAGGAGACTTCCATGAATTCAGTAAGGAAACTTGCTGTACCAAATTCGGAAGAGGAGGAGACAAAGAAATCGAGAAAAAGACAATTGCAGAAAATTAGTTGTGGAAAAATTCGGCCAACCAATGAAAGGAGAAAGTTGCAGGTTCGTGAATATCTACTTAAATACTGCGCAGGAAAACCTTTTCTTTACTTTTCTTGAGCAGATTTGAGCTTTTCTCCTCTTTCACAAAGCGTTATATTTCTTTTACTGTAATGGTTATTTAAATAGAAAGTACTTGGAATTATACCTGCTGTATTTAGGTGACACGGAAAATAAAACAAAAATTGTTGAATATGCCAAAGAAAGAGCGCAAAGTGTATATTCGGGAGTTACGACGGAAGCACAAACCACATTTCGACCTTGTACTTCAGTGCAAACATTTGTGGGAGAAATTGCGCTGGTAGTCTTCTTTCCTGATTTATTGTCTTTTGGTACTATTTCTTTCAATGAATCAGTTGGTTTTAGTTTATTTTGAATTTGTGTTTATTTGATTTATCAAAAATGCTACTATAGTGGAAAAACGAGTGAGACTGAACGAAAGAAGTTGGTCATCGATATTTATGGAATAGTGAAGGGAAAGGTGAAAGAATTAATATTCGCGCACGATGCATGCCGAATTGTAGAGTGCATGGTAAAAAATGGAGGGAGCGATGTACGGAATGCTCTTTTTGAAGAACTTGTATCAGAGATTATCAGCATGACTAAGTCAAAATATGCTCGTTTTTTCATCATTAAAATGCTCAAACATGGGTATGTTTTCAGTAAATTCCCACTTCTGCCAAATTTATCATGTTAACAATGAGAATGGAAGAGCTAGTTACTTAAATTAATCGCTTATAAGCTCTGTTCATTTCAGGCGGAAACTTAAATCTTATGCTTTTGCAAATGTTCGAAATTTTATATATTCCAGGAATTGTAATTTTAGTTAACTAAAACTTTTTTCCATTCAACTTGCTTAAACCTTAATTCAAATAGTTTCACAGTAACTTCGAGTAGCTCGAAGTGATTAATGAATCGGTAACTCCTGAACAGTTTTTGAAAGCGTGACCTTCCGTTCTTCTGGTTCTTTTACTTATGTATCATTGACGGAAATCAGGAAATCCAGCATATTATTTCTCTTGCAATATTTCAGTGTATTACAACAGTGAAAACGAACTTATAAAATTAATTCGTGTTCAGTATTCAAATGCTTTGATTTAGATCTGTGGTACAACGTCAAATAATATTCGATGCTTTCCGGGGTCACTGCGTGTCGTTATTACGCATGTCATCATCAGCACAAGTTTTGGAGTCAGCCTACAATGATTATGCAAATGCACAACAACGATATAGCATTATTATTGAGTTTTATGGAGTGGATTTCTCTTATTTCAAAGTCAGTGGTTCTATTTGCGATTTTTCTCGTTTTTTTAGGATAAACTATTCAAATAAAATCATTTTCTAGCGGAATTTGGTTTAATCTTTAAATTAAGCTATTCTTGAATGCGGAATTTTATTGCAGAATATAAATAATAAAAAGTTGTAGCAAGTTTTTGCTATAATTTTTCTCTGTAGTTTAATTTAAAATTTGAAATCCGAAAGCACGAAAATGTCTGCAGCAGGGTTTTGACAATGAGAATTTCCAGTATTTTAGGCTGCTGATAACAGAGTACGCACTTTGAAAGAAATAATAATGGATTTTCCGAGCAGGAAATCATCGGTTGTGAAATATCTGGAAAACATCCTTATTGATATTGTGGACAAGTAAATTCTAAACAAAGACATTAAATTAACTTCAGTTGAATTTTGTTATTCTTTCTGATCACATGTTTTTGCTGAGAAGTGCGGAAATTTACTGCTTACAAATCATATTTGCTTATTTTTAGGCCTCAAATAAAGTTAAGTTTGACGCATCGTTTGTTGAGTGATTTTTTCGAATTTGCTGGCAACAAGCAGTTGGAAGAAATGATTGATTCACTAAAACTATACATACCACAGGTTACGCCGTCATTTCAACTTATAATAAATATTAATCTTATAAATTTTAGGTTTTGTAAATGTTTCATTTCTTATAGCTTGAGATCGAAGTAGGATAAAAGTACGCGAGTGATAAAGGGAGAAAAAGGACGACGAAAAAGATATTTCGTGAATATTCGAGACGTTTTAATTAGAAGCTGTGAAGATTAGGTATAGATTTTTAAAAGAATTTTCCATTTTTTAGATTGTCCATACAAATGATGGCGTCCGCATTGCAATGAAATGTTTATGGAATAGCTCAGCGAGAACGCGGAAGGTTACTTATTTTTTTTTAATATGAAGTTGGAATATTGAATATAATATATTAAAGAGACGATTTTTTGCTTCCAATTTATTTCTGGTGAAGGAATCAAGCGCTTGTTACAGGTAATGCTGAAAAATTTCAAAGGACTTGTAATGAAAACTTGCTTGGAGGAATTTGCACATCGCTTCCTAATTGCTGTTTTCGATACTGTGGATGATACAGTCTTAATTGATAGATACCTTTTAAAGGTTAACTTCTTTCTTTAAGGTTTTTGTGATTTATTGTCGAAAATTTGATGCACTAGGAGAAAAAATTATTTAATCTCAGTAATTGTTTTATCATAGGAAAAAGGACAAAAATAATTAGTTTATTTGTGTTATAATCAGTTTAAAAATGGTTATATGAATAAGCTTTCTAGGAACTGTTGGATAATATTGACGAAATTATTAAAAGTAATTATGGTGTAAAAATTATGCATCATTTAATTCATCCAAGAGATCCTCGCTTTTGTTCAGCATCACAGATTGCAGTTTACAAGGCGGTTAGTTTATAATAATTGATCCTAACATTCCGAACTTGCTTCAAGGACTTAAAAGCATAATAGAGTGTAGAGGATTTATAATTAAATTTAACCTTTTTCATAATTTTGCACTTATTTTACTTTGTGAAACATCTAATTTTAATTACAATTCTTTTAATTTAAATATTTCAGGGGGACGAAAATCCTTACAGCAAAAAGGATTCTAAGCTGCGTTACGCAGAGTTATTTTCATATATTCAGAAGCCATTTTGCAGTTATTTCGCTACAAACATGGATGTCTTGCTTTTCGAGAGTCACGCGTCGTTACTTATCTTGGACCTGCTTGAGGCTCCAAGTACGTTTGCAGTAATTCATCTAATCTCAGCTAAATTTCGAAATCGCAAGGTTTTGTAATAGATAACCAACTCAAGTTGTTAATTATTTCTATCATAATTAACAGTGATATTTGTGTTGTTATGATCATATTATATCTCTATTTTATTTGTAACAACAAGGGAAGAAGAGCGAACCCCGTTCCATGTGTTTTATTGCAAATGCATTAATAGTTTTAATCATTTGAATAAAAATTTTTTCTAGGGTAAAAAAGTTTTTAGATTCCAGATATGTTTTCTTACTCCAGAAGTTCAATCTTTTAGCTGATTTGGATGTTTTCGATCGGAAAGTAAGTTTGGAAGATCGTGCAGCCTGCTATGATGCAATTGCTTTAATATGCAGTCGGGAATTCATACCTTGTGATAGAGAACAACTTCATCCGGTTGAACATCCCCAGGCACATTTTGTAATTTCTAAATTGCTGAAAAGTGATTCTAAATTTGACATCAGGCTCGGTGACTTTATTGTGGAACGCTGCAGAGATCAATTATCATCTTGGGTAATTTTTATTCGTTTCAAATTCCTTCAGCTATTTTTGAAATTATGAGTTAATCAGTGTCTCATATTTATGTAAATTTTAGGTTAAACTACATCTATAAACAAGAGTTGTAGGGAGGACTTGTTACCTGGTATTTGTCTTCATTATTCATGAAAGTATTAATTTCAGCTCGCATGTAATAAAGGATGTTTCATCCTTTTGCATATTCTCGAAAATGCATCTCAACAGACTCAAAAATTGTTAAGAAGTGCGTTGTCTTTGGCAGTAGTAGGAAAATATCACACAAAAGGAGCTACTGCATTAAAGCAGAAATTGAAATAATATTATGTTTGTGATTTTTTTTTTGTAGTTCAAATTTTTATATTTGTATTTTTTCTCGTAATTTTTTTACTAATGTTCAAATAAATTGTCACTTCGTTTTTCTGTTAGTTAAAGGAAAAGAGATGGATGAGTTCAGAGAGAATGAGTTCAAAGAGATGGATGATTTAGGGTGTAATCCACTACTATCGTTCGCTGTAGTATCTGAAAAGTTGTACTTCTTATCAGTCTACTCAAACATGTTTAGTAGCGAATGAAAAGGTAATGAGTTGAAAAAATTCGAAATGTATTTTTTATCAGTTCTGGTTTTACATCGGACAGTAAGCATAATAAAGCTAAATATTGTACCAAATATAATCAGGGTTAGCTGAATTGACTGTAAAGATCAATTTGCACACTGAAATTTTCTCCGTCTATGAAATTCTTCTACAGCACACTACTTAACGAGGTGCATTTTCAGCAACAATTTGTGGTTAATTTTCAATAAGTTAAGATTTTGCAGTTTGGGTAGGTATAAGGTGCAATTTCCTAGAAAGATTAGTGGACTTTTTGATATGGTAATATAGATCAAAATAAAAACAATAAACATAAATTCTACACAGTATACAAACAATATTACTGCTTCTTTGGAAGCACACTTTGAGGATTAATTACATAGAGGAAGTCGTCAAATACATTGAACTGCAAAGGCTTAAGCTCAATTTCTTCATCGTGAACTTTGTTACTCCGGAATGGATCCTGTACTGTCGTCTCAATTGCATTTTCTGACGCCGATTTTATTTGGGACACGGTTTTTGATTCCCAGTATAATTTTGTTTCTGTCTTTGAATACTGTGATTTCGAAACCGGCTCCAATTGGCTCCTTCTTCTCTTCTCTTCCAGATGCGTGGTTTCTAATTTGATTCTAGAATCAGCCACTTGTTTCACCAGATGAAAGGTTCATCTTGTGATACATTCCAGAATTTTAGGATATTGGCTTATCATTGCAATACCATGAAAGACAGTTTTTTTTTTTTTTTTTTTTTTTTTTTTTTTTGGGGAACTTATCAATACCTAGAAAAAGAAGCATTATCCAAGTAATCATCTGTTTGTCCTGAAGAAAGCTGTGGTGAAGACAAAGAAGATCGGGATAGTCGATCCAGGCATTTTTCTAAATCTATTCGTACAGGATCATGGATAAAGTGACATTGGTCGCCGTAAGGACAATAACCAAATGTAGTGTATTTAATACAGAAAGCAGTACGATAACGAGGATTGCTGAAAATTTTCTGAAAAACAAAACGTACAGATATTCAAAGCAAAAATATTCAAAGTGAATTGAAACTTGAAAGAATGTCAAATCTTTAAGGGATTTCAGTATTTTTTGAAGATTGCTACTGTTGAAACCAAAAGTCAAAAATTTATTTATTGGAATAAAATGAACGATAAAATTAGTTTCTGAGAATATTTTCGAATCTGATGCACTGGCTGCTAACCACTTCTGTCTTTGGCATAGGCCGCAACTCCTCTGGACCATGTGCGAATTTGCAACGTTTCCCATAATTGCAACGACCAGTATCTTTCCAGGCTTGACATGGTACCGTCTGAAACTTGCACTATTATCAATATGCAAAATGTCAATGTTAAGAGACATTTTGACGTCAGTCTACAAAGCACAGCCAATATTAATTTATATTATGCTGCATGTCAGTAATGATTTGGTTGTAAGAAGGCTAAAAAAGAAATTAGCAATAACTGTTTCATACAATTGTCATGTGAAGCATATTTTCTCCTGATTATCCATTTTCTGTTCATCCGTTGACAAAAAACAAAACACTTCACAATTTGTTTTTCCTTTTAATGTAATTAATTGTACACTATATAAAAAGTGATTAATTTTATACTTCTACTGCTTTGTATCGTCTGCCACATAAATTTTTGATATAATTGGGGATTTATATTATGCTGCACGTCAGTAATGATTTGGTTCTTTTAATTCCAAACTAAATCGATCTTTTAATTCCAAACGGTTTTGTTCGCATATTTTGACTGAATATTAGATTTACATATTTGAAATATATATATTAAAAAATATAATATATATATATTAAAAAAAATGATAAAAACGGGAATTGTTTAATTAAAAGTGCTGACCTTATGCGTCTCAGCTTTCCGTTTTTGTTTTCGTTCAGCTAATAGCACTTGTGATTGATGAATAAACTGGAACCATTGCCAAATATACAGATCACTTTTTTTAAAACCTGAATCGAAAGGCTTCTCTCTTAACAGATCTTGTCCTATCACTGCATTCATAATTTGTTGCTTGAAGCTAGCTTTAAGTAATCTGAACTATTTCATCTATTTAGCTAACATATAATCAAGTATGTAAGGGAAATTTATACTTATAAACCTGAACGACCCTAAAATGGTTTTTGAAATTGATAAGTAATATCTATTGGAATGAATTTTAAAGTTAAACAGAACTAACCCTTCGCTTTCAATGACTGCAGTTCTCACTTTGTTTGCTGTCAATGTAAGTTGTGGTAATTCCAAACTCTTCAGATGGGCATTGTTCTACAGAGCGCTTCACAACTGACTCCTTTTACCGCCATATTGAGATTTTTCTCTGCAGTAAGCTTTCAACTTCTCTTTTTTAGGTTGAATTGAGGAATTACGATGAAATGACCAGTGGGACTTTATGAACTCTTTAATTGGTTTTTGTTAAGATTACTTGAACTGATAAACATAGCATAATTTGGATATTAAATAAATCCTTGAGTATTAAATGCAAAATTACCTAGTGCTAATATGTATGAAAAATTCAAAATCCAACAACTGAAATGTAATAAAGTTTTTAATAATCGAACATGCAAATGGTTATCCAAAGAACTGAAATTCAAGGATAAGGCAAAGATTCACTTATACGTCGCAAATGCAGAAAATTTTTTCTTACCTTATTGGACTCATGGCCTACATAATTTCTTCCTTTTTCTAGACATAAAGTCCTATTTTATTTTTTGAACTATACCACTATATCAGCAAATAAAATCAGCTGACTGGTCTTGATAATCATATCTTGATCTTCTTTTAAGTCTTATAATAATTGATGAATAACTGATGTAATACCACTTCATCTCATCACATTCCAAAAAAACTTCAATTGACAACAAGAACTGGTTTGAAATTTAGAATAATCCTTCTATTTTCCTACTTGGCTCGTTATTTAATAATTTTGTATGACTTTAGGGTAGCATTCGTTCCTATCGTTCAATGAAAAATTAGGCCCAAATAAATTATATACCATCATTTGTCCTTAATGACATTTTTTTCGCAACCATCGATTATTTCTTAAATCTAATAGAAACAAACTGTTTTATACTTGTATCCCTTAAATGCTTAATCATAATGAACTGAAGTGAACTATTATGATTAGTCCTTAATGGATTCAATGTTAATGTCAGTGACCTGTTAATTAACAAAATTTTTTTAATTTCTACTTGTATTTTTAGTCTGTTTTTGTAAAAGAGCATACTGTCTTTCTATGTCAGATGTTGAATGATAAATAACTGAATGAAAAGGTGAATTCTTGATTTCTTAAAGGCGGGATTTAATTGACCTTTAAATTCCGTTTTATTCTTTTTATTCTTATATTTATACTTTAGCAAATTATTATATTTAAATTTGAATAAATATGCCTTATCAGTACATCCAGCTTATTTTTGACCTTTATCTTTAATTTTTCCATCATCTTTCTCTTCAAATCAAAGCTTTGAACATATATCAAACAAATTTCCATTAATAAATTTTGATACTGCAATAACAGATAAAAAAATGTTGGCTAATTCGAAGAATACTTTTTAGCCTCTCCAGCTCAAACTAATCGGTATTCGCAATTCAAAAGAAGGATAAGTCTCTTTGATCTTCATAAATTCATTAATTAGAAATTTTTTCTTGAAGATTTTTAATACATTTCGGTTACTCTACAGTTATATATAATTTATTATATTTGTAGTAATTAATAGACGTCTTAAAAACCACTTCTAGCTTACTGATAGAATTTTTGAATTATAAAAAGTTGAAGAAGTGATTAAATGAGTGATGTGACATTAGCTGAGATGCATTAAGTGGATCAGTTATAATCCATTTTCCGCCAATAATTATAAGCATTGTGCCAGTCATTTCGGCTTATTTCTTTCCTTAATGAGCAGGCAGTATTTTCTGTTTAATTTCCAAATATTCACAATTATAGTCAAACTGTCCACGATTTGCAAACGGTATGATCCGTTATTTTTAAAAAACGAAATTCTAATTGATGAAACTTTTCTGATGAAAGATTTCGAAAGCTGATCCATTACTGATTAATTTGGCTTGACATCCAATTTTCAAGATGTCTTAATGTTATTAAGCAAATAGTATTGTATTACCTGGAATTTCTTTCTAAGTAGATTATTGAATACCACTAATTATTAAGAAATACGGAAATATAAAGTACTGAAACATAAAAAATTTTTTCATCGTTAATTCATCATTTGTGGAGTTCTGCTATATTGGATCAGTAAATTTAGTCTGATAATGTGAGGCAAAAAGTATTATTCTCTACTCCAAAAAAATCTCTAGTCCTTCAAAAATTCCAAACAGACACAGTTAAAAGTTTAAAAATTATAATCAATAAATGCTCGTTTCGTTTTCACTGGTTCATTCCATTTCCTGCTATTATCAAGCTCATGAAACAGAAACTGTTGCACGCGGTTCCACATTTTGCGTTCGCAATATATGCCCTATAAAAATTGCTTACATTTAATTTTCCGAAATTTGAAATTACATTTGCTCAAATGCAAATTAAATCTATCAGTCTTATTGTACAACTTTGTCTAAAAATTTCTGAAAGTAATTATTATTTTAGAAAATTTTCGATACAAATGGAATTCCCAGAAGCGATCAACTTTTCCTAAAATATGAGATGGAAATGCTGCTTTTAAAGATTAAATTTTACTTGATGAGTAGCTTCATCAAGATAAAAAGGTTTTGTAGCGTTTGGTAGTCGCTTTTGTAATACAATACTATGATTAATCGAAACAATCGCATCCTTCACTCCATGACAGATTAATGTACGACAATGTACTTTTGACACTTTATCGATGCTGTAAAATTTATTGGAGTTACATGCATAACACGGAGTTTTTAGAAAAACGATCTTTTATCTTATTTACCAAGCAGAGTAAAGAATATTAAATTCGATAAGAAAGTAAGGAGTTTAGTAAAGATACCAATTTCTGGGATTATCAGCGTTATCTTATTACTTAGTGTATGATTCAGTAGTAAACTTCAGGAACTACCAATAAATCAATCCATTGCTTATCACAGCAAATAATATTTCGTTCATTCATTCTTAGTTAAATTGTTGATAGTTTGGACAGAAGTCAGGGATCTCGCTGTTCGACTTTCAGTTTAAACTTCAAACAAGTCGAAAAGTCAAGTGGAAGAAATTTCCGATTTGTTTGAAGCTCTCAAAAATATTTTCATTTTTTAAATTTCGTTTTTGTAATTGCTGCACTGAACGAGAAATTTAGTTCTTATCGATCGAGCACAAATGTGTATAAAAATTGTCAAACAAAATGCATGTAGAAAACAGACCTTGAGAACTGATCCAAACAACAGGTCCTTTTACTATCCGGTTTGCGTCCAAGAACACGTAATAGGGATGTGAAAGGGGCAATTAGAACCAATCCTGCCACCTATAATATCACGTTTTTAATTTAGAAGAAAATGATAATGCGAGTACATGGTTTTGATCATAAATAAAATATTGATAATTAAATTGTTCTGTTTCGATTCTATGCTATGTCAAATGAATTTGTTGCGTTTGGAACACATATACATGATACTAATTGCATTGATGTTTTAGGCACAAATCAAATAACTCATTGGTTTGATATCATCATAGAAAGCTTAAATGAGCAAATTTAAAATAAATTTTTTTCTTTTCTACACATAAATGCAACTGGATCTGTTCTCATTTCTTCATTCGTTTTGTTGCAATAAATTCAGAAACACTTCGTGAATAAATAATTGGCTTAACGGAACTTTTTCACGTGACGCCAAATGAATAGCAACTGCGGTGCCCATACTGAATCCTATTAGGATTATTTCATTTGGTTGTGCCCTCATTTCTTCAATTAAATAGCTAAATTTTTAAAATCATAACTTTCATTTTGATATAACTCATGCTGAAGGTTTTACAATATTTTTTTATTTGAAGACTAATTAATAAGTTTATGTATATATAATCAAAACATTTTGATAGCTCTACAACATCATTGCACTGAACATTGAGAATTCATCATTTCTACTTGAATATATAAAGAATGATAAGCATCATGTTTCCTTGTTATTCATCAATTACTTCTCTGCAGAACATGAAGATAACAGAAGAGTTAACTGCCACCTACGTCTATTTTCTATAAGAACTCAATTTATTGTGAAACAAACTGATAAACGGTCTCCATATTCTGATAAACGCTTTTTTCTGTTGGAGTTCCAGTACTCAACCCAAAACCACTGTAGTCAAATGCCATCAGATCACACTGTAAAAAATCTGCTATATCAACCTGAAATGTTCAACAATGAGCTGAACATAAAATCCTGGATAATCAGCGACCAATAACTCAGAACAAAATCTTCTAGAACAGCATAAAAATTTACAAAATGCAGAAATTAAAATTTGAAAAGCTAATACTTCATTGCTGTTCAAAATTTAATGTTTCTATTACAGATAAGATGATGAGGAACATACCAAGTTAGGATCGGTAAGCATACACGATCCAAGATCTGAACTATTTGGCTGGGCAAAAAGTATTACATAAGGCGCTGATTTTTTGCATTGGTAAGATTTCTCACATCGGACATAAAGCGCCACCATAGTATCGTCATTAGCTGATGTTATTAAATGGACCTACTTTTCAACACTTAATTTTAATGCAAAGTTCTCTTTTTAAAGAAAAATTTGGCATCTCTAAATATTCAATTTTTTGTTTCAAGGAATAGATATGGTAACTTTTTTTTTAATTTTTCGAGCTTTTTCTTTAATTTAAACGGTAAATAAATGAATTATAATGAAGGATTAAACTAAGCCGAACACATGATAAGATGATACTAGCAAAAAGCATTTGCTACTTATAATATTTCTCACTTCTATATTATAGTAATTAAAGCAACGATATTTTGGATTCTCTACATTATCATTTATTGCATTGGTTTCTCACTGAATATTTCATCCAAAAATCTAGCTGATTTTTCAATCATTTTTCGATGATAAAAATTTTGCTTCAAATAGCATAGTTTTCAATATGTTCAACCTCAATCCGCAACAGCTGGTCCGCGACATCTGAATTTTTAAATTTTGGTAACAATAAATGCGGCAAGCAGATGGTCAAATCGGTACTTTCTCGAGCGCTTTTTGCATCGCGAAAATGTTGGCGATTGTTAGCCTAAAATTTTGCTTTTAGTAAATCAATATTTTATGAATATATTTTCTAAAAAAATATCAATGGTAGAAGTTCTTTTAATGTACGAACATTGAATTTTGGGTTTGAAATATCCAAAGACTCTTTTCAAAAATTTCATGTGTCTTGTTCACTTGCTTATTTAATTTAAATCGTTCTGCTAAATAAGATACAGCAGTGTCGTTTCCAATGTGTAGTAAACACATTAATACTTATTTGCTGAATGAACATATCGTCAAACAGTGGGAGCAAATAATGGAACAAAATATGGGCATTAGGGTATAGTCCATAAAATTATAACAAGAAGCGCTTCATAATTTTTTGCATAATCAATGAGGTTAAACATTTTGCAGTACTTTTATTAGCTTTGATTTTCATTAACTTTGCTTTTGAATTCAATCATTAATTATTTTCTTGTACTGTTTTATTCTTGTTTAGCACCTGTTTTTTAAACGAGTTGCTCACCTTTCCACCAATTAGAAAATAGTAATGACAATGTTTTGGAGGATGAAAAGCAGCTTTTTGGATCATTAAACTTGGTACTGGTGGACAGAGAACATAGCATACTTTAGTTGTCCATTTTAATGTATCAAGCAGTCTTCTCCATGCTGTCATTTCATCTCTTTCTACTTTTGCCAGTTCTTCTTCAGTCTATGTTTTCTAACTGATATGCGTGTCAAAGGAAGTTAAAGAAAAAAATGTCATAGTTTGGCGCAATAAATCTCGAATTCATTACATTACTTATTAATACATGAACAATACTTTAAGTCTCAACGTGCATTGCACGCAATACATCCTTACTTGGTGATTTGGTTTAGCAACACAAGCACAGATTCCATTTGGTTCTGCAAGAAATTAAACAAATTTTATGCTATTCATTTAAAAATGAATTGAAAAAAACTGAAACAGCAAACCTTTCAATGGTGAAATAAAAGATCCAAGTGTTATTTCCTTATTGTTATTCTAAATTATCTCTTATTTATCACATATCATAAATTATTTAAGCAACTTTTAAGTAATGGAGAAAAAATATAATATAAAATTTGACTTCATATAAATAACAGATCTCGTATTGGTCTTTGTATAGTCTTTTAAAATATATTCTAGTTTTTCTTAAATGTTATTTTTCAAAACTCATTTCGTCAATTAGAAAGGTTCAGAACTTTTAAGGATTATTTCCTGATAAAATTTAAATTTGTCATCCCATGTATTAAGAGTTAAGTTATTAAAAAAACATTTACCACACCTGATCTTTATTATTGATTGCTTTTGTATCAAAAGAAATCAATTGAGCGCTTATACTTGACATACTCTCAGACATGCTATAAATCAAAAAATTAAAGGAACTTCCAGAAAGACCAGTTTACAGCACTGCGCTTTATATGAAGTAATCAATAAATTCAAATATTTATTTCTTATGATTAATCAAATACTTAACTTTAGCATAACTTTAGCAATCAAATACTTAACTGTGCCTGATTACTGAATCCAAAATCATATCTCTGCGATATATTTGATTGTGACTATGCTCGGAGTGACATTTTACTTAGTACAGCAAAACGTTTGAAATGAAATGAATGTGAAATTTAAGAAAATAAAATGTTTGATTTTTCTATGCCTTATGTCACAATAAGTACCATAAGTTCAGTGATCCTGCCTTCTAATAGAATTTTAACTTCCGATGTGCCTGACTACTGAATCGAAAATCACACACACCTTCGCTCTGATATTGAAATCGGCATATTCTTAAGATCTAGGTAATCAGTTTCGACGTGAGACTTTAGAATTTGTTCAAATTCGTTGCTTAGGCCATTTTGGAGAGACAAAGAAAATTTGTTAAAATCCTGTAACTCTAGAATATTTTCTTACTTTTTTAATGTTTTAAGTATTTATGATATTTATGGCATAATAAAGACCTAGAAAAAGTATTAGGGAAATTATTCTCCACAATTTTTTTCCGCCACCAATAATAATACTTTCAAAGATAATTGACTGAGAAAAAAATGAGCGAAACTTTTTGATTGAAACTTGTGTCGCCATAATTGCATAATGATTGAATAATTAAAGAAACCAAACTTTAAATAGCTTCCGCTTAACGGTAAAGATAAAAATTTGCATAATTGCAAAAAGTTTTAATCTGTTCAATTTTAACTGAAAGAAGAAAAACGAAGTATTGGATTGATATTACATGGTTTCTTTTTCTTCTTTTTTAATCGACCTAAATTTAAACAGGGATAAAATTTAAACCTACGTATTCACTGTAGGTTATTTATTCATTGAGAATTCTTTAATGAGCAATTTTTAAAAGTTTGAAAAGTCTTTGATAATGCTCAAAAATGTAACAACAAAAAGACCGAAATAGATTTATTATAATTTGAACTTCAACAGAAAGTATAAGCAAAAGAACCCATAAAGAAATCATTTCATATATTGGATTTAGACTAAAATATCGAACAGAAACTTGCATAGTAAAGTGTTTACTATGAAGTAGAACCTGAAAAATAAGTCAAAATATAAGCAATTTACATTTGTACAAGTTGTTTTTGCTTGTTTTTTGCATTGAAGGAATGTCTGATAAATTGCAATAAATCATTCAGCTAAAATTCTGTATGATACTACTATTCTCTGCTCAAAAAATGCTGTATTTAAAAATAAAATAAAATATATTTTTAGAAAAATAAATATGACAACTACGATTGTTAAAAACGCAATGTCTATTCAAACTATGAACTTGCAATGAGATCTAGGTATTACGTTGAAGCTTAAATTTTTTTGCTGATTTAAAAAACCTAGATTAATATCAAGGACTTCAAACCGGATCCAGGTCAATAATTAACGTTATTTTTCCTCTCTCTTCTTTTATTTGATTTATCTTCATCATGATCATTATTCTTACTATTGAGAGAATCCCTTTATCATTCATTTCCCGAATTTCCATTGTCATTGTCATCATCATCTTCTAATTCGTCATCGTTCTCCATCATCGTTGTATCCAAATGCTGAAATGGTGTTGTCTTTTTGGATTTGCATTTGAAACCGATTACTTCCTGTTTGTTGTGAACCTCTGATAAACGTTTTAATATTTTCCGATATTTAATTTATGCTGTAGGTAGATGATGATGACAATGACAATGGAAATACATAAAATGTAAATTTGCTGTCGCACAAAAATTGAATTGCAGCTTAACAGATTGGACATTCAAGAAACTTCATAAAATATTATTTGTTACTCACAGACTTTTGCAAAAATTTACGACATAAGATTTAAAAAATTGCCAGAGCATTGCCTTGTGATCTTTCATCATCGATTCTGAGTAAATCTTCCAGGTTTTTATCATCCATCTCTACAGTTAACAATTATTTTTAAAACCCCAAAGACATCAGTTAACGAGTATTATGACATAAATGTAAATCAGATTGGACTGTGAATTCATTTAAGCAAATGTTGGATGTAAATCGTAAAAAATACAGATTAGAAGATGCGCCGTATGTTTCACTACTACACTGAGTTACTTAAGTAATAGTTCAGAAAACAAAAGTTCGGAACATTTCATGCCAAAGACATGCTAGTAAAAAAGGAAAGCACTGACTTTCTACAAAATCTTCCACACTGACAGATTAACCTTTAGGCTAAAATCGCAAATTAATAGGCTGGGAACGTTTGTAATGATCAGAAAATATTGAAATAAAGTGGCATAAAAGAATGGTGTCAAGAAAACAATGGATATTTTCGGGGATATTAAAAATTATGCCGTATTTTCCGAATTTTGTGAACTGCAGGTAATTCTCCATACCCAAATTTCGGTAGAATATGTTGCTTGTTCTAAAAGCCATAAAAATATGCAAAATATGACACTGTGGAACATTTTTACTCCTTCGTCACTGTTAAGAACCTGAATCCAAAAATTTACTTATTTCATGATAGGTTTTTTTAGGATAACGAAAACTTCCGAAATCCAAATTTATGCCTTTTGAGTTTCTTTTTGACAATAGAAAATCCTAAAGGTGTAAATAAATCTTATCAGATATAAAATCAAAACATATCTCAAGTGTTCAAATCTAGCAAATCTCTAAATGAGAAATCCTGAAAGCGCTATTCAAAAATCAATCTTGATTAAGAGATAGATCTAATAATAATGTGTAGATAAATCTACTGGAAATCTATTTCAAGCAATAATTTCTCTTAGAAATTAATATTTGAAGGAAGTTGTCCAAAAATTCACTTAATCTCATTTATGCTAACAGATAACAAATGATAGCAGAAGGATTGCGATCAAAAGGAAATGCCCTGCGCAATATCCAGCACTAGTAGTCAATTAATAATAAGATCAATAATAATGGAATTAGCGCCAAGAGAACACCACATAATCTGAATTTCCTTTACTTTTTAGAACGTTGAGATTTACTGATGAAAAGTCTTATTTATTCTGTTAGCGTCACTCCTTTTTAATCTTATTATTTAGTCTTGGCCTTATCATTCAGTTTCGCTTTCGGAATATAAATTTTTTATTCCATAGAAAGTATAAATGACATCAACGGCAGAAAAATATTGGGTAAAGTTTCACAAGGCAGATTTTACAAGTTTGCTTGTATGCTGATAAACAATAACTCGATTCATATCTTTTATTTTTGTTTTTAAGTTAAATTATCACATCTACAAATAGGTTATAATAATATATACAAATAACAGCAAACACATAAGGTTAAGCCATTTCGTTACGAGTGCGTATCTGGCATACGTACTCTTGGGGTACTGATACCATTCCAGGATGTCGTTTTAAGCTTGGTGGTTTCCCTGAAATCAAAGTTATTTAAGAAAAATTCTGAAAAAATTTTTTCATTTTTCTTCATGAATTTTTTATAGAAACTGCCGCTGTATAATAAACAAGAATTTTATTTTAAATCTAAATAAAATTTAGAGACATATCATGTCTATCATGAGTTCACATCTATCCTGCGTTCATTCTTTTAATATTACATAGAAAAGCAGTTTACACATACCATATGCAGCAGTGAATTCGAAATTCTGCAGCAAAGTTGTCAAGATGATAAAAAGTTCTGTTCTAGCAAGTGCTTCTCCTAAACACGATCGCTTCCCAATACCAAACGGTATCAAATGCTCAGAGTTGCGAAGAGTACCTTCACTATTAAGGAATCGTGATGGTTGAAAAGCTTCCGGATTTGGGTAAAGATTTTCATCGAAATTAATGGCACCAATTTGTGGCATTATCATTGTACCCTGGAATGGACTAAATAAGCAAATCGAAATGATACAACTACTTTTTCTCTTCTATTTTTATGACATTTTTCTCACCTTCTGAATTTTATAGCCATACAAAGTTGTGTTGGAAGTAGTAGCATGTGGTATATGCCATGGTAATATATTTATGATACGTTGCACCTCACAAATCACTGCCATTGTATAGTGCATGTTGGTTCGATCTGCCCAATAGACCATTCTTGTTCCCAGATTCTGAATATTAGCCAATCAAGTCACATTATTAGAAATGATGCGATATTCCAACAAATACTTAATGATCGCTTTCATTCGGATATAAACTCTCTTATCGCATCATGAGCTATGATATTAAAAAGGAGCTTGAAAATTGCATTTCAGTTTTTGAATTTATAGCCTTGGAATGGAAGATTAATTCTTTATTTATCAATCACTTAAAGATGGTTGTGCATGACCTTACTTTTTTTTTCAGCTACATTCATCAAAAAAAAATACTTTATCTATTTCATCATGGACAAGTTTCTGAACAACCGGATTGTGAATAAGATAGATGATCGCCCAGCGAAGTGTTGTTACCGTTGTTTCCATTCCACCTGTCCATAAATCTCCAGAATTAAGAGCCAATGTTATTTTGCTGAAGATATGCCTTTCATAAAAGAATGTTCTTGAAGTATTTTACAATATTCTGTTATAAATAACGACACATCAAAGTAAATCTGAGCGGTTTCGAATTGCAGTCCTATTGCTATTGCGGATTTGATGGCGAATGGTGAAGATAAGTTGATTTTCACCTCTTCAGAAGTTAATAGTTCATTATTAGTAAAAACAAAACCTCATTACCCTTACTTATATACTCTTTGCTCAGTATACTTAATCATATTTTTCAAGTAAGCGTCAATGAAATCATTCGGTTCGTCATCTTTGTCAGTAGAAGTGATAATCGCCTTTTCGTGTTCATCAATATGTTTTAAAAAAAACCGCTGTAGTGCAAAACCATTTTTGCAGTAACGATAATATGTTGGCAACAGAAACCGGATAATTGGATAACGGTCCACAAGTAACATTGGAATACTGACGAACTGGAATAGGTGCAATAATCATAACTCACAACTTATAATCATAGAATTCTAGAAAGCAGTTAATCTCCAGTTCAGATTATTTGCACATATTATTCTTTGTACATAGCTCTCACATCTTTGAGAGTAGAGTCGATTAGTTTCTTGAACCGCAAAAACTCCTTATCACCATATTCATAATTTTTTCCGAGAACTAGATCATGGATAATATTACCGACGCAGAATGTAATTGGTAAATGGAGGTCAATTACTGCAGTTTTCTATAAATTAAGCAATGTTAGATAACAAAACTCTAAAAGTGGGTAAGAAAAATATATCTTTTTCAGGGAATTCAAGCAGCTATTTACTTTAAAAGTACATAAGCGTGGGAATTAAATATATGTGTAAGTAACTGAAAATCTGTAATTGTCGATCGTTACGAGCAATGAAATAGCAGAATCTGAAGAAAATATTACCGGAATCGAATAAAAAAAGTTATACAAAAACAAAAGAAACCAGTCCACTAGCGGCTATTTCCTTCTTTAGGTGTTGAATGAGTGTATCCGCATAATATCGGATCTTTTGCTCCATCATATTCTTACCCACTCCAAAATTTCGGAAAACTCTTAAAGCGAAACGTCTCTGATGATTCCACTTCTCATTCTGAGATAAGATAATCCCATCACCATCTGGATGATGATTACTAAAGATTCCGTAAACGAATGACATTGGCCGACCAGCAAAAATGTTTCCTGAACGCTTTATATAAGATTTTAAGATAAATTTAAATTTCTATCCGCTCAAATATAAACATAAAATTTGAATGTCTTGATGTTTACTATATCATTAATTTAGGAAGAAAAAAACTAGTCTACCACCTTTTTGTGAACTGAATCTTCAAAAATTACTGGTTTCTACAAATGATCTTACCTTGATTAACTAGTGCTTCACGAAGAAGTTTATAATCTGCAAGTACGATGACTGGCCCAGGAAGCCATATGGTGAACATTGGACCAAATTTCTTTTTCCACTTGATCATTGAACGATGTGGATAAGCTAGATCAATCTAAATCACATTTCCTCATCATTTCTTAACGAAACTTCATACTGACAGTAGATGCACCTCTAGTAGGAACATTGAAATGCTACTAAAATTGAAGTCAGAGGTTCTATTTACAGCATAATACCTGAGTGTTAACTGCTGAAATAGAAGTGCCTGAGCCAAGCGTTCAGCTGGAAATTTTTATTTAATCTGTTTTCTTGAGGTATATGCTCAGCAATGGTATCAAAAAGTTCAGAAACTGAGATCAGTATTAACTTTTACAGCTGGCTGCTCTTTTTTAGTGACGTTAAATTTTTTTAAGCGTCACTAAATTTATAAATTTTTTATAGAGCCAAGTTTCTTTTCTAAGTTTTGACCATTTGACAGTATTTTTTATATAAACAATTTCAAGACTGAATATATTATCTAAATTCGAGAAAAAGTGGTTTAATCTGCTACTTTATATTTTATAATTCCTTACAGACGGCATCGGCTTAGTTTATTTTTCATTACCCATTTAAATTATATTAATACCTGTAAGAAATTTCCAAAGAAGGGTAATGGGATTGGTCCTGGTGGATATTTATGTCGCAGAACGATGTATTCGCTGTATACATAATAGATAAAAGCGTGGAATATAAATATTATAATAGCAAAAATTGCAGTCATGAAGAATGGTACCAATTTCAAATTGCTTTGAAAAAAAATTTTTTTTAATGAATTTTCTAGAACCAAAATGTAATAATGGAGGGAATTTTTCTTTCAAGAACTGGATTGTAGAGCAAAAACTTTCGATCCAGTGACAACTTTCACTTTTATATCATTTTTTCCTGACCTTAATGGATTACTAATTTCACTTACCGGCCACATTGCTCTTTTTTTTATTTTCTACACTTTTATTTAATAACAACAAAATACCGGATAAAAACATCAACAAATGTGATGGCACAAAAATTTATTCATTTTTTTGGCCATCTCCTTCCAAAAACTTGTTTAATTTAAAACATATAAAAACGATAAACCAAGATGGAAAAAAATAAACAAACAGAAATTAAAATGATAGGAAAACATGACAATAATTAATGTCTTGAGGAATTATAGAATTTCAAGTATTTCTCAATCCTCACTAACAATTTTCAATTAACATAAGCATGTTCTTTCGATGATGTAGTCAATTCAAGCCATATATTTTATCTTTAAATTCATTTTTGACATCTTCGTCCACACTTTTGTAGAAGTCATTGATTTTATTCATCCGATCAATATCTTTCATCTCTGGATTCATCAGTACTGCCGATAACTGCAAAAATTATCCTTTGCTTAGTCAATATTCTTTACGTTCTTTAGTGTCACATACTGAACACCTGCAGTCAACTGCTTACACTAATTTTTTAATAAATAAAAGTACCTTCTAGAAAAATAAAGTAAAGAAGAAAAGTAAAAAATGAAATATTTTCTGCATTCATCTTGAAAATTTAATCTCGTTTTTCTAAATTAAAAATTGATTATTGAGCAGGTAAACAATTAGCTGCAATTAGTAATACTGTAGATTGTATCAGAGAGAGCATTTTCAAAATGAAAACCTTCGCAAAAACTGCTTGTGCTTTGCCAGACATGCCATCGACAATAGTATGAACTTGTTTGCGTTTTTCTTTCTCTTCCAACTCTTTCATCTTTCGATAATGATGGTATAGCTCCTGCAAAATCATGCTTTGTCTTTCTCTAGCAAAATTTTCAAGTTTTTTTTCAGTTAATTTTTCTACGCCTTACCTTTTTGCTCCAGTAATCTGTCAATCGTTACGTTTAAACTTTACCTGTTACAAAACTTTACCTCACCTGATTTTTGCTGTCCAAACTCAAAACTAATTGGTCAATTTCGCTTTGTTTCTGTTGAAAGCTTTGATCTGGGTTTGATACGATTTTATAGAACTGCAATGCAAAATATTTTAAAATGTCCTCTCTTTCCTTATTTAAGTTTAGTTTTGGAGAGATTTTCAGGTCAATGTCAGATTAATTTTTCAAATTTAAACTAAATAATTAAACAAACTGATATTCTCAACCAGTAAGAAATATGATCCGTGTGTAAATTCAATTAAAACTCACATTTTTTTTTATATCATCCGATGTTCTACGTAGGAAGTCGGGCAGATTAGGCATCACGTGAACTGAGATATCGTAATCTTTTTCCTTTATTGTCGAAATGGAGTTCATGAAATTACTACTTTTTTCCATTTCCGCTCCATAACCATAGTATTCCTTCTGATTTGTAAGTAAGGGAGGACTACTTGTTATCCAGGTCGGTTGGAATGGAAGATTTTGGAGGCTTGTCGTTGGAACCGTAAAAGCTCCTATGGAAAATGGCGGCTGAGCAGAAACTGGAAATGATATCGGATACAAATTTGGGTTGAATTTATATACCTGAAATTTCATTTGAGCTTCAACATTTCAAATGAATTTGTCTCTTGAACAATTTCAGATTCGCTAAAGTTTTTATTTTGAAACCTAAGGTGGCAACATTTTTATCCTAATAATCATTGGTAAGTAAACTGCCAAACTTTTAAATATAAATAAGCTCACTGGTATTGATATTTTCGGTTGCGATCGCAGATGATAAGGGAAGAGAACGGGATTTTCTGTTATCTGATGCTGGTGAGGTAATCGATATTGCCATTCTTGAAAATTGAACTGTGCACTAACTCTAATTGAATTCAGGTGAACTACTGATATCCATACAAACCACATTCGGAAAACACAAATGGTAGAAATTGGCTGTGATTGCAGCAAAGCAACTGTTGTAGGAAATTTGAATATACCGAGAATGAAGTCAAGTATTGAACTCATTTTTCACTGGAGAACTTAAAAAAATGAACACACGTTTTCAATAAAGAGTGAAATAAAATCAGCTTGTACTACAGTAGGAGTTTAAAAAATGATTATGAAAAGAAAACAGGTCATTGTATGCTCTATTAACTGCTGCAGAGTTGAATATTTTTGAGCAGTGGATAAAACTGTCTGATTTGGAAGGGAAGGATAGTAATCGGAAATTATCCTATTTTCCGTTCTTTCATTCTCGATAATTACATTGCAAAAAATTATTTTAAATAAATGAACTGAAATAAAATTAAATCAAAATTCAACATTTATAATCATACTTCATTTTTTCTTTGTACTTGAGTAATAATGACCTCAGGAAATGTTTAAAATGGAAGTATTTCAATGGTGTGATTAAATTTAAAAGCAACTAGTGGTTGTCGTTGAAGGTCATTCAGTAATTAGCTCTGATTACAGTGGAATTTTCTAACCTAATTGTGTTTTCTTCCAATAATTTTTTAATACTGCAAACTTAAAGGAATCGTTTGTAAATAAGTATTGGTAATCTAACGAATTCATTAGCTGACCTTATTTGAAGCTTCCTAATAAAAAGTTTGAAAGAATAGATGGACGGTTAGCGTCAGTGATAATCCAGTGAGGGAATTTTAAAAACAGCTTACTTCACAAACAGATACATTCCTTAAATTTCCATTTCTTCTTTATCATTGATTGTCATCTTAAAATTTCATTACTTCTCAACTCTCTGTTGGCAGTCAATGTTCAGAACATTTTTCATATTTTATGTAAAAGGTTCAATAAAATTTCTTCAACAAGCAAGGACACAGGGAATCTATTAAAAGCATTATTTTGAAGATCATTTTGTTCTAGCTGCATATTATCATTTATTCTTCTCTTTAGCTTTGGTTAAGAGCCATTCTTTTCAAATCACTGGTATAAGTTAATCATATTGTGATTTATTTCTTCGAAAATTTTTTACAATTTTTGAAACAGTTTGCATAATTCTGTATAAAATTAGTACTAGAATAAAATTAATATTTTTCTTCTAAAATACTTTTCATTTGATAGTGGAGTAAGCTGAACCTAAGCAAAATGGGTGAAAATTTTGAATTTAAGTTATAACCCAATATACTGGGTTATAATTTCAAGTTATAACCAATATATAGGCCACAATAATGAAAGTTTCACTGAAGCTTTGACAATAAATGGATCAATAAAATTAGCCTTGAAGCCCTCACTGTTGTGGCTTCAATTCATATATATATATATATTGTTAGTACATCTTTTGGAACAAAACTGTTCTATTTTGTTCCAAAAGATGTACTAATTATTCTTGTACTACAAAATTCGGTATAATTTTCAATGTTTAGCATTTAGTTTTTTTAATTTCATCAAGAGAGACTTGATGGAAAATGCATTTTGTTAGGAAATGAGAAATAGTTTGCCAGCCATTATAACTGTCAAGTTTTGATTATCTGCCTATAGTTTGCTGCATTTGCAGGCAATGGAATTTGCGATTGATATGAATGATGGATTATGGCAGTTATTTAGGGCAAATTCCCAATTTTCAGCACATAAAGGAGCAGCGTTGCAGGAATAGTTTGTCCCTTCATTATATGAGTTACTGTCATTAGTCTTTCGTCACATTTTTAACATATGATGGATAGAAAATCTGAAAATTAAAATATTTGGCTTCTTAAGCAGTCACAATAACATGTTAGTATCTGAAAAGCTCACAGGTTCTGCAAGCATTTGTCGTCACTTTTTGATGCAAAAGATAAAGATATTAGGCTTCCATAATAACAAAAAGATAAGAAATGACGCTTGTCTACTAAGAAGAAACTAAGATTCAGAGCAAATACCATTCTACTGCATTATTTTTAGGTAAGATATTTATACTCACAATACTCATGCTCAGAACATTTATAATTTAGAAGAAGTCAAAACCTGAATTGGAACAAAATCTAATCGTTAAGTATTATAACTTATTTAAACATTGACAAATAGAGCTATCTAATTCATTTTCTTAATGCCAGATCTTTTTTGTCAAAATTTCCAAATATTTAATCAAAATTCGTTTTATTCTAATACGAAAAATTTGAAATGCACCATTCCATTGTGTATTTAAATTACTATAACTTCTTTTTAAATGCAATGGGTGAAATGTAAAGGAAAACTGTTTGAATTCTGAGCAAAATGCAGTAAAATTGCAAGCAAACTATTACTTTGTCATAATCTCTGTAAAGAATGAACTTAATATTGTTAGTGTAACCTAACATTTTTGAGAAATTATAAATTCTTCTGGAATTTATGGAAAATGATAAGTGTTCTTTTTTTATTTCTTACCGTTTTGTAATTTCATTTTGTTCACACTAATGTTACTAATAACGAAAACACACACAAAAAAAAAAAAAAAAAACGCACAAAGGGCTTAGCATTATGAATAAGCATTATGCAAGTGGAATTATTTTACTGACTAGTACATGTTCTTTACTCTTCATATTTTGAACAAACATTTTTAAACGCCTTGTAAAACTTCTTCATCGATTCATTGACATTCCTTAACATTTCATCCATGCATATTTTTGCAATAGAGGAAATGCTTAATGCTAATTAGTCAACCATATTAAAGGAAATGCTTAATGCTAATTAGTCAACCATATTCACTCTTTGACTACATTTATTACTTTTTTAACTAGAAAAACCTTAATGCTGTGGTTGATCGTCTTTCCTTCAGCAGCAAACTATGTAAAATGGAGAAGTTAAAATGATGTGCCTTAATTTTGATATTCGTTTATACTCCAGCATTTTATGCAACACCAAATTTATCAAAACTTTTAAAGCTTTTCATTATTTGCATAATTTCCTGGTAATATACCTTATCGACAATTTTCTAGTAGCGTCTTTTATTTTCAGCGTCATTACGTCTCAATTACGTCTACTATTACATCTATCAGTACATCACAATCCCACGGTTGAAATAAACGATTCGAGACTGTTTGTGTCTTTCTCTTATTCAATATTAATTCATTAACAGAAATAATAAAGAATTTGATAATAAAGAAATAATACATCCTCAATACATCGTTATCTATATGAAGGTGATGTAAATCGAGATACCCAATTTTGTTAAATCAAAAATTTGGTAATTCAGCCTGGTACAAATTGAAATAGAACAGAATGGATTCTTATTTCTAGATTGCTTCCTTCTGAATTAAAACACCAGCAAAAACCAATCGTAAATGATAGTATGATAACATAAAAATCGCATAAAAAAATGATGGCATAAGATCAAAGAAAATTTAATGAAACCGAGAACTTATAATATCTACTTGTACTTTTCACTAGCTCACCAATTTATCTCCAGCTGCTAACTGTTGTAAAATACTAAGATAAAAAGCTCTTGTTCGATTACCTATTAATTGGTATATCCTGAATGATAACTACTTCATTCATTCCAATCTGATCAAATCGTATTTTGTTAGATCCATAAGTTTTTTTAAAGTTCATCCTGGAAAACAAAAAAAAACATGATTTATAAAAAGAGATAAAAAAGTGACTTTATGCTTAAAAACTGATTTTAAATTTCATGTTATTAGTTGGCTTCGGTGAAATAAGCTCACTTCATGTCATGGTAATGCAGAAAGCACTTGATTAATTTATCGTGTGGCATTAATAAGGAAACATTTCTCTGCCATAAGTCCTGGAATGTGTAATAATTTTGTTTCAAACATCTATTCGTTTTACTAGCAATAGTAAGTTTCAGCCAACCTTCACAACAAACAATGAAGTTAAACTTAAAAAGATGAACGATAGACTATATGACTCAACAATATCATATACAAAGTGATCTGAAGAATGAGTCCTGGCGACCAGTTGAAACGCAAATCATTTTGGAGCTGTTCGTAGAAAATATTAATTATTAGTTTTTTAAATAAAGACAACTTTCCCTTCTCTGAATGCTTCAACTTTCTTCGACATAATTGCTGGACTAATTTCTTTAATTACTCCTGTCAATTCTGGTTAATAATGAATATTTGGCTATTACTAATTAGTCGTCATTTGATTTTAGAATGATTTTTAGAAGAAGGCAAAAATATAATATGGTAACGATATTATTAACATTTAATACTATTTTGTGTACTTGCTAGTTTCACTTAATTTATACTTCTAAAGTCATTTGTTGTAAAAATCATAGGATTCAATTCTAAATAACTGAATACAATGATGACAACTTTTGAGCTGGAAAAAAAATTATTTTAACAAACAAAAAAGGTAACATATTGCGGTCAAATCTAGTTGAATGCCACTCACTGTTTTGACAAAATGTTACTTTAGGAAAAAAAGAAATTTATTTTTTACCAGGTAAATTTTGTCAGTTATAAGGTCGAAGATAGTTATTATCGCAAGTTCTTTAAAAGTTGACGGAAAAAGATATAAAGAAATAAATTCTGCATTTTGCTAGCTTACTTCGTTGTCAACTCTAAAATTCTAAGGAATTTTTATCGCTGTTATTACTAGTGAATTACTAGTGAATTGTGGTGAAATAAATCATCAAAAGCATTCGATTTATCCCTTACTCCATATTATTTCAAAGTTTCCTATCAAAGTGACCATGACGAATTGCTAAAAAAAGTAATCGGCAAGAGTTATCAAAATAAGTGATTTATGTCATTTTTTTCTTTTTTGATTCTTTTTAGTAATGAAATTGTGTACACTATAAAATAGCATCAAATTCTTAAGGATAAATTCTTCGATAACGAATAAACGTGTGTTCTTGCATCCCATGCGTTAATGTTTCCATATCAAGACGTGCTTGCAAAGTGTTATTGTCCAGCAATGTCCATTCTCGTATCGTCTGTAAGTAAAAACTGTACAAATAGGATATAGCATTTATGTGATATTGTGCATCAAAGAATCTAATAATTCATACTGGCACGAAGTGTTGGTTATTAAAGTCATGGTTAGATCAGCAAATTTTGATACTAGCGGCTGTCTAGATTCTCAAAAATTTTTTTTGATATTACGGAATTTCTACTATATGGAAAGTAGAAGCTTTTCAACTATGATGATTATAAGTCTGTTCCATTTAAATAATTGTTGCACGAAATGATTATTCTTTTAAACTCAAGAGCAGTTTTAAACATCAACAGAAAGTTTTATAACTTTTAGGAATAGATTTAACTGAACTACCCTACTCATTAAATGTTTTGCTTGAGAATTTATTGCGTAATAAAAATGATTAGATATAAAACTTGATAATATAAGAAAACTAGCTAAATGGAAAGGTGTTAGTGCAAGATACTGCAGGTGTTCTCTTCATATGGTCATGTGAAGGGACCAATTGCTTATAATTCTTATGGTTAATCTAACAAGAAAAGAAACAGTACAGTAAAGGAGAATGTTTAACTCTATTTTACTGTACTGTACTGTTTAGTGATAAACTTTTAGTGAAATGCCAAACCACTCTTCTTTTATAATAAGATCGCATATTTTTTCATCAGTTGGAAATTCCGTGCAAGAAATTTTGATTTTTAGGAAAAGTTATAAAGTAAAATTTATATTGGATAAATGCAAATATATAATATGTGTGTGAGAAGCAAAAAAAATATCAAATGATAACAGGAGCAGATAACTACAACTTCTTGCCACGTTCAATTAAAGTGTTTCATATCAAATAAAGTTCAATTATTTAACAATTTTGAGAATAAAAGATTAAAAAGAATTAAGAACTTACTCTAAGAACTGGTAGATCTCTGCTAAAGCTAATTCGTCCAATATCTTTCAAATGAAATTCAATTCGGTTTGGCTCTATGATTCCTTGCTCAACCGTTACAAAACATAAAATTTTAATTCATGAAAATTAATTCTATATATACTTATACCTATACCTGTGTCTCCTTTCATGTTTATATCCTTTCATTTTTAATACTTATACCTGTGTCTCCTTTCATGTTTAACAAGCAAAAATGAAACTGATTATACTCATTTCAGTATTAAGCAAAAAGCATCAATGGGAACTTACCATTATTCATTACAGTAGTAAGTGAAGCAGTCCTTGTTTCAGGCTCCACTGCAATATAACCGTATTCGCTGTGCAATTCCTCATGACCCGATAGTCCCCATGCAAAGGCTCTAAATACAGTGCGGACAAGTGGGGAAAATCTCATCCAATTTTTGCTGCGATATTAATTTTGGTTCTGCCAGTAACGATATATAGTCAACTTTTGCCGGAAAATCTTTTACTAAGATTCTAACTTAGAATCTTTGATTTCAGCTTCGTGAATAATATGTTACGTTGGTGCGTTACCAAGACGTCTGTGAAAATGAAACGATATTCGATTTTGCACAAAATTATTGCAACTTCCCACAAAACATTAAGAAAAACACTAAAAAACACCAAAAAAAAAAAGCTTACGTATATTTGAGCGCTTTCAATCCGGTCATATGATCGTCAGAAATTGATATTTCGATTTGTTCGCCATATGTAAACGTAGGTATTGTTGGGAAAATCGCTTTTCCGCCATGTTCAGATCGCCAAATGCCAATTAACCATGCGATAGGTTGTAAATGAGAAGGAACATGGGAAATATCGAATTCTGTCAAAAAAGTGAAAAAACAAAACAAATCAATGAATACTGTGCAGAAGTTGCATGCCTTAAATGACCTTACAAATTTTCTCCTCGATAGAAAAATTTTCAAAGGATTCAAACTTGAGATAATGATGGAAATGTTTAATGAGAAATATTAACAAACCGATGCGATGAAAGAAGGATGAGCTGTAGAAGTTGTAGTTTTTATAAATTTAGCACTATTGGTTAAAAAATTTTGTTCAAATATTATTTAAAAAATTGGAATGCTATATTTTTTCTATGCACCTTAAGAATAATGGGGGGAAATGAAATGTTCCAAGGATTATTCATACTTCGTTCTAGCTTTTTTACGCAAAAACCGCATGATTTGGGACATGTTTTGATGATGTAATCAGTAGTTTGACATAGCGAAGCATATGACACAATCCAATCGCGGCAATTGTTATTCGAATCCTCACAATATTCACCTATATTTTTTCAAAAAATTTAAATCTTCATACCTGTTCCAATTTTAATCACAAATGAACCGAAAGGAAAAATGTACCGAAAGTAGTCATTGTCATTTCAAAACAAAGGAAACAATAAATTTAATCATTTCTATAAAATATGCTGACCTTTGAGAACATTGAGTAAGGTAGTAATACTGAAAGCCAAAAATAGCAAAACAGATTTCATGTTTCGGGAAAGAGAGAAGCAGTGGGTTATGACAGGTCACCGTTTTCTTGTTGCAAAACATCTCTTTCAAATCTTTCATCAGTAGGAAGGATGATGAATGTGACAGTGACAGTAATGACAAAGTGCCATAACCGGATTTCTAGAGTACTTTTCTCACTGCTATTTCTCACATCGCTTTGATAACGATAACGATAAGAAAAGCAATACAATGTATTCGTTTGATATCATCATCAGCTGATAGCCAAGGGATCAAGTTCTGAGATTATTAAGGTCAGCTTCCCTTTCCCTTATCATGCGAATGAAATGCCCTAGATAAGGTTTTCATAATCAAATAAAGTATTTGAGCAAAGAAGAGATGGAATCTAGAAAAACTTGTTTTGCAATTCCAACTTCCCTTCAAGTTCACTACACATTTTTTTAGATATGAAAATGTCTTCTATGATTAAAAATTGAAAATTTGTATTACTTCTCTTCTATTTGATTATGAAATTAACAAGGAGCTGTATGGGAAGCTATGATAAAGACATCTTCAGATATATTTAAATTTCCTAATGTTGTTTTTGTAGAATCTTCCAGATTTTAAATTCTTTTAAAAATTGTTGAAGTAAATTGATTCTATAATTTATATTTTAAAAGAAATATTGTACTGGAAGTATTCATTTGAAAAAGAATATAAAGGATACAAAATAATTGCTGATAGTGCTTTCTAAAAAATAAAACGGTAGTAATTTTAAAAGCCCTATTTAGTAGGTTGTAAATTCTGACTTGATCCAGTTCCAGTAGTTGGCTTAGTGTCGATTATTTGGTTTTTGGAAGAACAGGATTTTTTAGTTTTTAACTGTTGTTTTTATGTTATTCATTCTAATTTCATAATTAATCTGTGAATAATTTTTGTCAACAACAATTTGTTCTAGTTACAAATAACAGAAAATGATAGGAAGTAGTATAAAAATAACCTATGGATGTTAAGAGAGAGAAAGAGGAGAAATTGATTTAAGATTGAATTGGATGTCAACACACAATTATTTCCTGCTCGATAAGCTTTTTGATTAAAAAACAGGAAAACAGTTGCATTAAATGACAAAGAGCTTTTCATTCTAAATGGTGGTTTTGAAGTTTATTCAACCCCTTGTAGGTCTATATGTCTTTTCCATAAGTTCTACTTACTTTGTCAGTTCCTTACTTTAAACTTTTCATCAGCAACCATTTTGTCACTTCATATATAAAGTTTAAATACACCAAAAATAAGTACGTTGTTGACATTTTTCGCTAGAAAATCATTTTTATTTTTTCATTGTTAGCTTGATTAATCACTAAAAAAATTTTTTATTGTTGGTTTGATTAATTACTAACTACCATAATTATCGTAATTAGTTCATATTTTCCGTATTTATTGGAAGTTCTTCACTTATTGAAAAGATTTATCGCGACATTATCAGCATTAACTGCCTAGCTATTATCAGAAATTCATTAATGAGTTTTGTTCCTTTCTATTTTCTTCAAGTTGACTAGTAGGCAGCGGAAAAGGGTAATATCATTTTGGTAAAATGATGATTGTAAATAGCATTGAAATTAATTGGGAAATTGGAAATAAACGGCAATAATGAATGGAATTGCTATCAAGCGAGAAGTAAGTAGTAGCAACGGTAATAATATAAAGGATTAAATATGAAATTGTTTGAATAAAGTATGAGCAATGAGGAAGGGAAAGAAAAAGCAAGCATTAGGTAGCACCTGTAATAAGGTATGATACTATAATGAAAATGCATCAGTTTGACCTAATATTTTGAGAGGTAGAATCTCTCTCTCTCGCTTTTTCTCTCTTCCTGTCTCTTAATCTCGTCCCACTTTGGGAATGCAGAAATTTCAGTGCTTTCAGTAACGAGCAGTTACCGTATGCATTGTAAGCCAAATCAAAACTCATCCATTAAACAAGGAATTTAGAAAAAAAAGTGATAAATTGAGAGATTTTGTAATTTTGAACTTTTCAAAGAAATCGGACTATATACAATAACGATCGGAAGTAGTGGCCAGCAGTGAATAAAATCTAAATCTGGCTATAATAAATCAGTTAATGTTAACTTCCATGTATAGCCAACTGCAGATCAATGCGGAGCATTGAGGATTATTAGGCTTCCCTAAAGCATTTAAAGAAATGGCCGACTTCCGGTTCTTTTCCAAAAATCGATTTCCTTATGCAGTGTGAAGAAAATTCAGCATTCTTGGGACATGTTAGGCTTATTCAGTCTCCACCAATTAAGCCCATAAACTTCACACAGATACTCCATTTTTCACCTGTTTTTACTTTAAAGCTTTGTCCACATGTAATTTGATACTTGCAAATTATTTCTGTAAGTTACATTACATGTGATGCAATTGAAGTCTGATAGTCTTCAGACTACTTTCATGCTTAAAATATTGAGTGACCAACTTTTTTGTAAAGTTTGTAAGCTTAAACAATGTTTTAAAAACTTATTTTATGCAAAAAGTTGATTTCAGTTGGAAACTGACATACACATATAAATAGTTCCCAATGGGTTTATAACCGGAATACAAAACATGGGTTTTTATTTTCCATGTTTGTAATATGTGCAGGTTCTTTTCACAACAATCTAAGAATCTTTTGCTTAATCACTCGAAACTCCACTCTAAAAAGGTACTTCGATGAAATGCAAACAGCTGGATCTGGTTGCTTTATGGATAGCTTCAAAAACTGCTTCTAGTTCTCCCTCATTCTACTGTTTTTCGTCATACCATTAATCATGAAAGAAATAGATGAATTTTCTGCTTCGTCCTTCTTTTCATTATTGACGAATAAACTTATTAAAGAATTATATTTTTAAGCTTAATTATATTTCCGTCGCTAAGTTTTAGTGAACCGAAAATGCTAAATTTTATTATTGTTGATAAGAAGTTTTACGGCAAATAAAAATCTATTATTAAAAAAAGAATAAGATTAACAGTTTTCTCAGGAAAGTTATTATTGATCTTCTTATCACAAGATAATAAGACACTGAAATTGCTTGAAATGATGAATTGCTCTCAAAGAAAACTTGAAATGTTCATTTCATAATATTAGAACTAGTGACATTCAATATCCCGAAAAGGAAGGTAAAATGCGAAGTGTCAAAGATTTTTCAGGTAGAATTACGTACAAAAAGAATTTATTTTTATCTAGACTCTAAACTAGTTTTTATTTTCCATAATAAATTTCAGCCAATGGATAATTCTGGTTTAGACTTCAATGCTTTTCCTACCCATCCAGAACAATCAGTCGATCTGAACTATCGTGGGATACGAATAAAAGTGTATAAGAACGGTGATCAATATGACGACGGAACAACAGTGGTCATTTGTCGGAAAAGATTTAAACATTGGCTTACTTTTCTTGACTTTCTTACTAAAAAATTAAATTTAATGGCTCCTGTTCACGAGTTCTATCGAACGGATGGTCTTCGAATAAGACATGTTCGTTTTGCACTAAAAATTAAAAATTACCACTGCGATTTTGTTTGAGCAACTATCACTTATGATTATAATTGATTGTAATATCCGACTTCCTTAGATGAAAGTTTAAATCTTTTAGTAGTCAAATTAAGGTTTGTTTTGACAAAATCATTTAGCGTGGTAATAATTGAAATAACCATTACTGGTCCAAATCAGGACATAACTGATTAACTGAGCCATTAAACAATTAGCAGTTATTTTAGAGCTTCAGATTGCAAAATTGAAATTGTTCACTTAAATACATGAATATTAGTTTTAGCTGTTAATAATTCCATAATTAACAAATCATTAGAAACATTCGTTTTCTGTTTTACAGTTCGAAGAAATTGAAAACGGAGGATCATATGTAGCCGTAGCTCAAGGACCATTTCTCCACAAACCATACGGATTGCTACCTGAAGACCGTGAAGTACGCTTTATTCCTTTAAAATCGATAAAGATGAAAACATTTGAATCTTAGATAGTCTCGAATTAAATAAAAAAATCAAACAAGTTTTTTTCACCATTGCAGAAGTGGAACATCAATCCAAAATTTGAATTTCTAGAGCAGAGCACTCTTGATTCTGCTGAGTCCGTCGATATTTATCTGAAACAACGTGGTTACATTTCTCGAACCGGTCTTCCATTCCCATTTGATGGTGGTGTGTGCGTTAATCACTCTTTAATGGACCTTAGACATAATCGTGATCCTTCATCTAATCTATCTACTCATAAACACCTTAATGGGCAGGTAAGCTGAATAATTCTTCAAAACTGATCGAAAGTAAGGAAAGAAGTCATCCTGATGAATGATACTTTGATAGTGATATCTTAAATTTCTATGATATTATCAACCGAAACAGAAAGAATGCCATGGTTTTAGTAAAGTTTTATACTGGAAATATTATCTATTCTAACATGATGTAAGGCATCACTGGTTTGAATATAAGAACAAAAAGAGCCTGAAATTTAGACATTGTTATAATATTAGGAGCTAAAAGGAAGTGGACTATTCAAACCTTATGAAAAGTTGAGACAATCAGATTAAGCAAAAGAAGCCGCCCATGTCCAGGACATTTTTTGGTCAAATGGAGTGCTAAAATTCTAGGCTTGGCTCGAGGACTGGCTTGGAGATATGAGAATCTGATACAACATGAATCACAAGAACCAAGTTAAAATTGATTTGGACAAAATCGATTTAACAATTGCTAACTTATCGAACACCGATTTTTTAACAACCGATAATCCTTTTAAAGAAATGATTTAAAATATCAAATTTCCATCCACAAATAATTTTTGCTTGCTGTCATTTATTCTCAATTTTTGTGTTAGAACTATAAGATAAGTACATTTTAGTCATTAAGTATATTTAGTATTAGTTAATATTTAGTATTAATTAAATAATTAGTATTAGTTAATCCTTTTTCAGGATTAATTCTTTCTTTGCATAGTGCTTTTTTTCTATTTTATTCCCATATAAATTATCTTTTAAGTTTTGTCAAAGAGATATCAGTGATGCCGAATCATAACTGTTTCCGAGACGCAGGTTATTTCTTGTTAAATGGGCATAAAGGCCGGCACATCTCTCTTTCTGTTTTGGCAATTTTAATGTTTTTGATTGAAGAAGGAAGCAAAGGATTTTTAAACTCCTTTTTCAAATTAAAATATTTTCATTAAAAAAACAAATTTAATATTACTGAAAGATCCAGATGATAGATTTTGGAAAATATTCTTTAAAAAACATTCCAAAATTTAGAAACTAGAAGAAAATAATTCGAAAAATGGTGAATTATTGGCGAGAAACGATATAAAGCCGGATATTCCGAGAGAAGAACTGAAAACACAGTTAGAACCTCATCCAACTTCAAGTCCTACGGCCTGTAGTGTGGAATCCCCGAGATGTAATCTTAAAGTTGAAACCAAAACACCTTTGCAAGAAACTAGAATAACAAATGGCCAGAATGCTGAGCAAAATGATAACATTTCGTGCTCCTCAACAGTTCAACCAACCAATGCAGTCGTAAACAAAGTTGGGAAAAATGTTTTGTACAATGAAATTGGAACTCAAAGTGACCATAATCCTATTGTGAAAGAATACGACGAGTGTGTACCAGCACCTGTCGTTCAAATTCCAGATAGTTGTCGAGAGTTCCTGGTTACACAGGAAGCTAAAAATATGCAAACATTAGGAACAAAACAAGCAATGGGTATATCGCAAACGAGAAATCATGAAACTGTTATCACTATAGTAAATGATGATGCATTGGTAAGTTCAAATAATAGTTCAGTTATTATTGTTAATATTTCTACAGGAAAGAAGAAAGGTGATGACGTGAACAATGACAACAAGAATGCTGATGACAAAGAGATCAATCTACCACCGGTAAATAAGGTCACAGGCACTGAAGTGTCATCAGAGAGTTCAGCAGTGGAAATGCTATTACTTCCGGACGGCACTAGAGCCGTAGATCAAATGCAGGATAATACTGAAAAAAAAACGCCGATGGCTATAGTCACTGATAACGTTCCGTTAGAAGTAATAGCTGATAGATTATCATCATCTGTCAATATCGAGAATCAGAGACCAGGAACAGAATCTTCGAAGAAGGATAGAAATGACGTAAACTATGATAAAAACTCGAAAATAAATTCAAAGAGATGTTCTGAAAATGTCGTAATGGGAGGAAACTCTAATGAACAAGAGAATAATTTAGTGAACAAATTTGAGAAGTCTCAGAAAGTAATTTTGGAACAAAATTCAGCTTCAAAATTAAGGGAAAGTCCAAGGCAAAAGACAAATTTAGAAGCGAATGAAAATGGCAAGGAGTTTCGAGATATTTCTAAAACTAATATCAAATTAAATGAAGTATGCAAGAATTTAAAAGAATCAACATCATTATCCATGCAACAAAATGAATATGAGGAGCGCATTTCTGATAATTTTGAATATGATAAAGAAAATGATAGTGCTAAGAAAAGTCAATCAAACCATATAAGCGTTGCTTCTGGACATAAATACCGAGGTAAAGTCACAAGACAGAGAAGTCGTACAGCACCAAATTTCGACAAAATTCAAGAATCTTCAACAACCGACAAGAATTCACACAATAAAAAACGTGTTACTTTAGTAACACCTTCTGCTGTTGGCATGGATTTGAAAATGGAGTCAGGAAAAACAGAGATTTTTTCGGATTCAGAACAACAAATAAGATCCTTTCCAAATCAAATGACGACAACCACAACATCTGTTATTACTACTGATGTTATCACTAACACTACTACTAGTAATAGTATGACTGCTATTACTAATCACAGTACAGTTGCTTTTGGAGATGTAATTACGCATCCTACAGTGGGAGAAAACAAAGTTCCCAATTTGCAACAGAAATATCAGTTAGAAGACGAGACGAGCTTTGAAGCGGACTTTACACCGAGAGAAGATTGTGTACGAAGAAATTTGTCGTCTACGAAAGGCTTTCCAAAAATTAAAATTGATTTGGATTTGAATGTAGATATTTGCGGGTTACCAACGTTTCGCAATTATGATCCTGACTTTAAAGACTATGATTTCATGCAATAGAGCCAAAATTTCTGATCTTAAACCATATTTAAGAGAAAATGGAATATCTCTACTTACTACATTGACAAACTGTCACTTCATTAGAGTAAGTTATCGCATTCTTCATCTTATTTCCAGGAGTGGGTCAAAATTTAGACTTGAATTTAACTGAGTATTTTATATTTAAGTGTTATATATATGTATCCCTTACGCTAACTAAATCCCCTTATACACGTAGTAAGTTTGTGAATGGATAATGCAATTTGCCATTCTCCAATATTTATGCAAGGTTGAGGCTTAATATAAAGCATCAAGTAATAAAACGTAGATGAGAAAATACTCCAAAAAAAACCTGATACGTTTAAATATAATGAAATTGCCTTCAATTATCCAGTAAAATTTTAATGCTTTTTTGAACAGAATCTAAATTCAAATTCCTGCAGCTATTTTATAAGATACAATCTTGCACTTTAACTGTGTTACCTTTAATGAAATAAAGGTCAATCTCAGTTCAACCTCATATCATAGGTCAAGGTATTATATATATATATATATATCCTTTTTGTTCAGTCATGATCACCAGTATTTTGTAACTACGACTTTGTCTTTATCTTTGTTTGTTTCTTCGTATTTTTTACATGCATTTTTAACAGCAGTACCAGAAAATTAGGTGAACAAAGTTGGAGCCTCTTCCAATTTCATTTATCAACAATTCCAAAAATCTTTTCTACGACAACATTTCTTTTATGATATTTTATTGCATTATAACAGTATCTAACATTGTTGACCCATAATAAATATTCCGATTATCTCATAAAAAGTCAACCTAAAGAGAAGACCACTCATCCACTTGGAATATTTCAACTCAGTCTCAGATTCCATACTGAAATTTAATTTCACATTGCCAAATGTAACCTCACTTCTTAGTAAATTCGAAAAATAATGTATTACTTAAACCTCTAGTACAAATGAAGTAAACATCTTTCTTAATTAGGATTTCAATTCACTGACAAATTTTTTTAAGTACCGTTTAATAAAGCATGTGATCTGTTCCGTTTTTTTATGCTGTACGACCATTTACTGATCTCATTTGTGATTATTTTTGAGACCTTTATTGATTTCTGTAAAGTACAGATAATTCAACTGACAGCACCAACGATTTCTCTCCAGAAGACGGGTCAAATTAAAGATATGTTTGAATTTGCACTACAAATTCACGAAATATTTCATTTAACTTCATTCATTATTGATATTGCTATATAATAGAAAGCAAGATCAATAAGAGAATACACTAATTTTTATCCTAAATAATGTAAATAAGTGATGTTCGTAGAGAAATGTGATTAGGAAACTACTGAGTTTTAGCGATTATGAGCGGAACGACTAAAAAGAAAGAACTTTCGTTTGATTTCTGAGACATATGTGATTACTTTAGGTGAGATATTTTCGGATCTGGAGAAAAAGAGAGAGATTTCACCATGAATTCAAAAAAAAAAACATATGTATCGTACGTTCATACATCAAATGCAGCAATTATGTAAGGTGCTTAATTTTGCTTATGTGGCATGCGTACATATACAGTGACCTGTAAGTTAGTAAACATTCTCACATATTCAGTTAATCAACGGCATTACTTAAATTGCAATTAATATCTCAGCAAATAATTTTTTGTAAAAAATAAATAATAAATACAATCTTTTATTTGTTTTTAATTGGGAATGATTTTAGTTGAGTGTAATATGATTATAAGATTACTTGAGTAATTTCCTATTATAATCCTAAATATCATCTAATAGCCATGACTTTTCTTGCTTTGATTCATATTAGCAAAAAAGTCCTGGTCATTTCAAAGGTCTTTATTCAAAAGCAAAATCAATTCGTATATCAATTTATTTTAAATGGATCATATAGCTGAATACAAATAAAACTATAATTACCATAATTAATTTCGACTCTCGTCCTCAAAACGTTCGCTAAAAAAAAAAAAATATATATATATATATATCTTTCAAAATCTTTTCAAGTACATTCTCTATCAGCTTCTACTAAAATAGAAGAAATAAGTTGCAAAAAGTTATACAAAATTTAATCGTTTCCTTTTTAAACAAACTGTAATATAGAGACCATTACGAAAAACTTACGGAACTTTCAAAAAGTTCAGCAATTCCATTAAAGCCTCTGTGGTTGCACCAGGAACTCTGAAGGATACATTTTTAAATTGTTTTTTCATCAAAAAGTTAAGAAACTTAAAATAACGATGATTCAAAACCTGGATGCTGCAGCAAGATTTTGAGGCCTCCAAAAGTTTAGTTTTTCTCTGCACTCTTCAGAAATATTATTCAACTTTGAATAATCAAAATTATCCGGAATAATAGTATCACATTCCTTTCGAATCCGTTCTATCTAAAAACCTAGCTCGAATTAATACATAAAATCGAAATAATATTGGTCGCTGAAACATAAATAAAGAATCTCTTTGGAGTTAAAGTATACAAAACCAATTCACAAACAGCTGATCTTCTATATTAACAATAAAATGAAAAATAACTGTTGTTAGATCTCAGCACTTTGATTAACTAGTAACAACAGAACAACTTCTGAGATATTAAGTAATTGGTTTTTTTTTTTTTTTTTTTTTTTCTTTTTGAAGTTGTATACAATTAAGTGGCAGGAGTTTAAAAAAAAGCGTGTAAATTTAACTTCAACCAAATTCTGCCAAATTTGTTTTGAATTTATTATTCCACTAATCAGTACTTTCATAAAATGCTAGAGCCTTAACAAAATTATATGTTCAAATTCCAGAAATTGAATATGACAACGATACAAAACTGGGACTATTACAGAGTGAAATAAATCATAACGTGGAAAGCAGAAAAGCTAGAATGACGGGGTCAAATGCATTACTCCTTTCTTTATATTATAGTACTCACCTTTGCTAATGATTTGTCTAAATAAAAATAATAAAATGCTTCAATCTTCAACCGATATTCGATTTCTTTATTTTCCAATAATCTTTCTAGCTCAAAAGGGACTGCTTTCTGAATTTCCATGAAGTCTACTTCATAACGACATAACAAATCAAACGCACTATATACTGCAAATAAAAATTTTAAACAATTTGGAATTTTAAACAAACGAATATGTTTGAAATCTTCAAACGGAACAAAAACAAAAACTGTCGCACTAGTCTTGTGATTTTTACTTAGGATTATGCATTTTCTCATGGAGATACTGACACTATTTTTTATCACATAATTCATATTGACACTTTGTTTCTCACCTTTTGTTACTCGAGCATTTTCTAGACAAGGTATAAGTTTTTTCCAAAAATTCATCGGGTATTTAATGGATTTTAGCAAATCCTGCGCTTTATTATATGCAGACAGCATTTTTAAGAAGCGATTATATCGATGCTCGGATACAGCTCCATGTTCATAACCCTTCTTCGTTAATCTCATGTCTGCATTATCGGGTCTGGAACAACGTTCTAAACTTAGAGAAATTCACCAACTTATTTCGAATTCAGAAATATAAAACTAACACGTCTTTTCAAATTATAATGTTCAACAATCTGATTAAAAGATGGAAAAGAAACTAGACTAGAATAGCACAACACTACCGCAAATGTAGACGAAGTTCAGCTCTTGAAGTAAACATTCGGTATGGCTCTGAAGTACCAAGACTGGTCAAATCATCAATTAAAACACCAATATAACCTTCCGTCCTATCGATAACAAATGGTTTTTTATTTTGGCTTGATGCTGCGGCATTTATTCCAGCTACAATGCCTGAAATGAATAGCACTGAATGGATGAAAATGACAAATAGTTTTCAAACGTCACAATTTTCCCTGTAACAACAGTCAATGAATTCAGTTCTGCAAAGAAATTCTCAGCAGTCTCAACACTCTCAACACATTCAGCACTACGTTTGCAAATCCGGAATATGAAATTTCAAGTTCCTTCCTCATTAAAAATCTACTGGAAAATGATTTCTGATGTTATGGAATATCTTTTTTTTTTGATAATCAGAACTAACATAAAACTTAAAAGACAGAAAAAAATAGCTAGATAAACCCTGTGCTGCAGCTTCTTCATATCCAGTGGTACCATTAATTTGTCCTGCAAGAAATAAACCTTCCACAGCTTTGGTTTGCAAAGTTAATTTAAGCTGTTTTGGATCAACATAATCATATTCAATGCCGTAGCCAGCCTGTGATATCTCAACATTTTCTAGACCTGGTATGCAACGATACACCTCGAGCTGCACTTCTGGTGCAAATGTCATCGACATACCTTGTGGATAAATTAAATCAGAATCTAAGCCTTCGGGTTCTAAAAAAATCTGAAAAGCCTTCCTTCAAATTTTAATGAATAAATCGAAAATGGAGTTTTTCTGTGTCAAAAGTTAAAAACAGTATGGATCGTTCGTTTGTTTCTATTCATACTGTCTGTTTAATATTTCATTGCTTAAACTTTAATGAATTGTAGGTAGATATTGGAGATATTTATATAAGGAAGTCTCCAACGCTAACTACCAATCAGTTAAATTCAATCGTTACTCTTAGTATAATGTCAATTACAAAACTATGAAGACAAACCCTGTGGTTAAGATGAGGAAAACGGATAACTTTTGATTCAAGAGATGGACAGTAACGCGGTCCATTTGCTTCACTACGAATATAATTGCATTCGTTGAAATGTTTAAGCACCATTTGAGCAAGGAGATTGTTCGTAAAACCCAAATATGACGGCAACTAAATTTGCATTGTTTTTTTTTTTAAAAAAAAAAAAACTTCGCTAAATTTTTGCTTTTAACGGAGTTCAGATAAAAACAAAAAGTTAAAGAGACATTAACTATGGAAAAATGACATTCAGGAGGAATCCTAGGAAAATAAAAAAAAAAGCAAACAGAAACGATTTAGCAGGTTCACTTGTTGGTGATAAGGAAGTGAGATATGTTCTGTCAAGAATGAAAATGGAATCGGCTTCCGGTCTGGACGTTGAGCAGCAAACTTGCTAAAATCTATTGTATTCTTAAATAAACGTGCTGGAGTACCTGTCCGAAAACGTCCCAGCTTGAAACCAAGTCTGCTAAAGGTCTCCGAAAGTTTCGAACTAGCCTGCAAAACAGTTTAACGACTCCATTACTTTTTTCCAATATTTACTTTCCAAAATATTAAACTGAAGACCATAACCTTTACTGAGAAGAGTTTCAGAAATATCGATCCTTATTTAATGTCGCAACAGTTCAAGGGTCAACTTGCTTAAAGCTCTCCCAAATTAATTTTAATACTCGTTTATTCTGTTTGATGTTTACCTGCACAATGTGTAATCATAATTTACAAAATGGTGGAGATTTTCAGATTATAACTGTGAAAATATTAAGCCTTAACCTTTTCACCCAAACGCCCAGCAGCATAACTTTCTGATCCTCGAAAAAGTTTCCCGCCTAAAAACGTTCCTGTTGTCACCACAAGCGCCTTTGCGTTTAAAATCTGGAATTCGAAGAGTCAGAAAAAAAGAATTCTGGAGAAAATATAATTCCCCCGATTCCATGAGTTGGTTGTAAGAAACATTAATGACCTAAGTAAGCTGTAATCGTACCTCACCATCAGCTACAACTCCACCAACTCGTGGTGTTTTCCCTTCTTCATATTTGATAACCAGATCATCAACCGCTTTCTCCATTACATCCAAGTTTTTCGTACAGTTCAGGATTTCCTAAACAGCTAATTCTGTTAAATTTAGATAGTGTTAATAAAAAATTTCACAGCGAAAAACCGGAAATAGAATTGCAGTAACCAATAACTCTTCCTGCGTAACTGTTCAATATTTGAAATCTGTCTCATACTGAAACAAAAATTTGTGAAATTTGCATAAGAATATAAAGAAAAGAATATTACATGTTGCATATATTCCTTATACAGTTTCCTGTCAATCTGAGCTCGAAGACCCAGCACAGCTGGTCCATGTGAGGAATTCAATGCATGATAATTTATAGCTGATTTGTCGCAAATTCTTCCACATAGTCCATCTAATGCGTCCACTTCGCGTATAAGATGTCCTTACAACTGATTAAATTTTTATATCTACAGATTTTCTCAATTTCTTCCTCATCTCCATCCTCCTTTCCCTCTACTCCAACCTGTTTTGCTTGTTCTTAATATAAACCAAGGTTTTTGACTTTCTATGATCTAAATGAATCCCCTACAATAACAGTCGTACTTGCATCACTTTATGTAACTACCCTTCTACAAAGCATCAGGAAATCAGGAAATGCAGTGTCGAGATATGCATTACCTTTGCCAACTCCACCAAAACTCGGATTGCATGACATTTCGCCGATTGTATCCTTCCTGTTGGTCAATAACAACGTATGAGCACAACATCTAGCAGCTGCAGCGGCAGCTTCGCAACCAGCATGTCCACCACCAATTACAATAACATCGTATATTACTTCTGCATCTCCACCTGTCAATGTGGATAATGTCCTTCGAAACATCCTTTGATAAAGTTAAATGTTGCGACAGTTGCAAATTGTCACCGTCGCAATTATTTTATCGAGTCTATAATAAACAAAGGATGAGTACAAAATCTCATCCATGCGAAGCACATAGTCTACTAAATCTTTCTCGAGAAGAATTTGCTCTGGACATTTTTTTGACGAGGCACCGTTCTAAATTTGAACAATGTTTTAACAGCAATTGAAGCTACTTTGTGAAACGTCCAGAGCAAATATGTCACTTATAGCCATGAACAGATAATATTCACATACTGAAGAACGTTGAAAAAAGAAATCAGTTTCAAGGAAGATGAATCGTTCGCTTTATTTGGAAAACTGTAGTGAAATAAAGTAGGAAATAATTAATGAAACACAAAATTCATAGCACCAACGAAATCCTAAAAATATAAATTTTAATAAAAACATTAAAGCAGTAATTAAATAGTGACAATATGAAAGATAAAGAATAGATTAAATAACTCCAGTGATTACAATTTTGCATTCTGACATACCAAAGAAATCATAAAATGTTTTTGGTAAAATAAAATATGGCAGGTATAAAAAAGAGACATAGATTTTGAAAAAATGTTGATATTGATGCACCCAGAGGAAGTTTGCAGTTCCAGACAATTTGTTTAATGCAAATGTGATTTTTATAAGTTTTTCAACAAGTCATTGAAGTATTCTACGCATTGAGGAAAGACACAGCAATATATCGAGTTCCACTAGTAACTAGATCTTCATGTATATGGGTTAACTGTCCTGAAAGCATAGCTGCATATCCTGAAAAACGAAACTGAAATATCTGAATTATGAAAAATTTCGATTAAAAAATAACGCCAAATTAAGAATTAGAAAGACAAAAAAAGAAAGAAATATAAAAAAGTACCAATCTAATCAGCGGAAACTGTGCAATTATAACGAGCATAATGAATACCACGTCTTCGTAGTCTCTACCATGCTTATTGAAAGGAATATCTACGGTATATGTTGAAGGATCGCGATGAATTTACAAAGAAAATTGTCGTTTTGCTTGTATCAAGCAACAAGCATCGTTGCTGCTTTCACTGGCTATAATAACTTGGAAATCCATTCGATCATCTGCATAAAATCAATTCGATCTCACGGTATGACAAGTATAAAGAAATTAAATAAAAAAAATTGCCATTATTATCACTGTACTTTATTAAGGATTATAATATATGTTACCATCCGCATAGCATGCCTAGAGCGGGGTGAGAGCTCACTAAAGCAAACTTTACTCTTCAACCAAGGTGATCTATGATAAACAGCAGTATATTGTTATAAAAATATTTGCTAAAGTAATATTTATAAGCGAACTATTGAGTTTACAAATGTTGCAGACATAATATTACAGGAACAAATATGTTATGATTAGAAAATACCTTTTGGTATTATCCGATGAAAAGCTTTCCTTGCACTGGGCGAATATATTCATCGAGAAAATATAACCACTCTCTTTCAAAAGTTATTTGTTCCATGTGAATGTGAACAGTTGGTACATTTTTATACCCACTAACTAAACGGTCATCCTATAAATCAGTTTCTATTTTCTGAACTTTTTTTTAAACAAATCATCTTAAATTGAAAAATTAAAAAGAGTAAAAAGTTGAAAATATATAGAATGATTGCAAAGTGATTGCAATAAAGAAACATTAAGCAATGGTTACTCCCCCATAAATATCGAACTTTTTTAAATCTCTCACTTGTAAGTGATCATTTAGATGAAAATGCATGAGTTTCAAAATCCGTCAAAATCAACAAAAAATTTACTTCATTTTTTCCACTTGACTAGTGTCCATAATGCTCTCTTCAATTAATTCCTCATAAAGTTTTCAGATATCAAAGGATAGTTATAAACATCTGGAAATGGCTGAGAGATATCTCTATTATTCAGTACTTCATAACATTTTGGATGTATGTAACGCTGCTCCCAAAGCTAAAAATGACATAAATCGAGCCACGAATTCGAAAATATCACAAACTAGATATATTACTGCAATGTCCCTATGGCATTTTTTATAAAAATTACAACTACTTCAAAAGAAATACTACTAAAAATCCCACTTTGCAATCATCTCACAAGTTTAAAGGACTAACATGTCGATTTATGAACGTTTAAAGGACTAACATGTCGATTTATGATTTATGAATTCGTACATCTCCGGGTGTAACCTTTCACCACTGTTAACGAAATCATCAGTGTGAACAAGAATCTGTAATAATGCTGATTATTAACGTGCATAAAATATCTCTGGAAAGTTAATCCTCAATGTTCCTCATTATTTTTTAATTGAAATCTTCATCAAACTTTTTGCAAGGAAAACCGAAACATAGAAACTCGCTAGAAATATTAAAGAATATGTCATGTTTAAAATATACATTAATATACATTAACTTTAATCAACAATACTGATTACCGCTGTTCATGCGTGCTCACAAAAACTCATGTCGGTATCAACCATAATATTGGAGGTGTAACTATTCTCAAGCACCTTAATTTGGAGTTTATGAACATTTTCGCACTTTATTAAAAGATCTTATATAGAATATAACTAAGTATAAATGAAAAATGATGCGCAGATGAAAAATGGTTTATAGTGGTTTATAGCAAAGCTATGTCCACATCCACATATAAATACATACAAACCAGGCAAACACATATGCATTGTATTTCTTTAAAAAATATAATTTAAACTGCTTCGAAAAATTAATCTTATTCTTGCTAATAAATAAAGTCTTGCTAATATAAGATACATTCCATATCCTCACTCGTTCTCCACATACTATTTCAATATATTCCGTTGAACGTGTAAGTAATATCTATTACTATCTAGCGTACCCCAAAAGTTTGAAAGCAGTTTGCCAGGAAGTGTTAGCAATGGAGCAATGATGTCCCTGGAAAGCAAATTTCAAGACAGTTAAAAATTCCACAAATAAATTGTAGTGATTAACTACAGCCATAGAAAAGAATTATTTAGAAACAAAAATTCATTCCAAAATATATAGAATTCTTCCATAGTTATAACTAATCGCAAGAATCTGCCACCTGCAGACAATATTTAACATTAAAATTCATACAATTTCCTGTAAACAGCAGTGTGAACTAAGGGTTGCAATGTTTCAGGTTTTATCAGATGCACTGTGTCATCAAGCATGAAAACAAAATCATTAAACACTCCCTTAGCAAAAGTCCTGAAATTTGCATCAGTATTATTCTGGAAAAGACTACTAAAACTCATCATCAAAACTTGAAATAAGTATATCAAAACAAATAAAGAGAAGTTGAAACTACCAACAAAGAAGCCTTCCTCGCCTCTTTTTCACTCAAGTTAGTGCTGCTATTGTCGCATCCGATACAGATTCTTCGCATTCTTCAGAAACACTTTGACCTAAACAGGCTGAGCTGCAAAATTTGCAGTACCCTAAGTACTATAACAAATATAAGAAGGAGCATAGTGTTGCTGTAAAATAAACCATTTTGTTGTAATAAGTGATTAAAAATGAATGAACTAAAATTCATATGAAATCATTACTTCTAAAAATATTTAAATAGAAATATTTAAAGGAAATTGTAGGTGGCAATATTTCTATATACGTTTTTTTTCAATCGAGATTTAAATAATTCCATCAGGAAAATTTATCTTTCTCATCGTACGTTTGATTATTGTAAACATAAAAGTCAATTTTGGAAGTGGGGTAAAATATATGCCTTGCCAAAAATTCCCCTATAAATGGAGTAGGTTTGGTAATAAAAAGTACCTATGTAACTGATGGCCAAGCATTTTCAGATATTTGCTGTAAAAAAAAGCTATCATGAATAGAGTCCAGATCTTTTCTAATTGCTGATGCAATTCTTTTCTTTCCCTATTAGATCCCAAAATCTGGAACTAAAATCAACCAAACAAATAACTTACTAGCAAGTTGCTTGTGTCGCATTGTAGATAGCCATCTTGACAGACCAGATCTTGCCAATATAATTACCTCAATGATTCAAGAGCTGAATTCCTTTCCTACTTCCAAGGATTACTGGTGGACGAGTCTCGTACAAAGTTGTGCACCTAGAAAGATCTACTTATGAGAAAATAATCGCAGGATGCTATTTGTCATATAAATTACGGGATAAGTATTTTTCACTGTGGCTCAGGGGGAAAAGTGCCATCGATATCATTAAATTGAGGGAAGCTGGAAAGTTAAAATAATGACAAAGTTATGGTAAGCTGAGTGTAATGCGGAGGGAATTTTAAATAAGACTATAACTTACATACGCATGCCACTGTCATCGATTAAGAGAATCACCTCAGAACTGATCCTGTCAACATTTTGAAATAATATTCCTTTTATATCAAATGTCAATTCCAGGGTGTCCTGTAAAAGAAACTTGAAAAATTGGATAAATTACAAATACATACAGTGCAATGAATGGGAAATAAAATTTTCTGAAATAGAAGAGTCGTCTATATCTAAATAAAAAAAAAAAAATTCTGAAACTATTGAAAATATAAGATTTGTTTACCACTGAATTGTCAGAATACAAGATATTGTATGATAAAGTTTTGCCATCATGTGATCCAATAAAATCAAACACATTCAAAATGTTTCGGACAAAACCAATTAAAGCGACTGACTGAACTTCGCTAAATAGTAATTGGAATAAACTATTCGTTCAACACATTCTTGAAACAATGTAATTAAAGGAAAGACAATGTATTGAATTTATTCAATAATATCGTTGTGCTTACACCGTGTTTGGTGTAAGGAGTGCACGACAAGTGCTGCAGGCGTTAAACTGACAAATAATATCGCTTTCTTACGTAACAACATCAAGTAATTTAAAAATTCGATGGGCTTGAAAATAAAGAACCGAAGTTTTCTAAAAAAAAGTCATTTCACAATCACATATAAACGCATTTATGTTTTTACAGTACGATAAAATAAATGATTTAAAATGTTAACCCATCAGTAATGAGCAAAATAGTAAAATTTGATAATCTGTATACCCCAAGTTCAGTCATCAACATTCGTAGTAATTTGTCAATACCCTAACTTGATAGAACTGCTTTTTTTAACCTTAATGAACAATAGAAAGTGAAGACAATATTGGATTTGCAAGTAACCATCAAAATTTGCTATAGTTAACTTGTAGATCTAATAAAATACGTAAATTTATATCAATAGGTTTAAATAAGCAAGGAAAAAAATACAAACTCTTTGGTTTCCATGATGATTTGAATGAACTGTTTCCTAAATGGACAATCTTCGATATCGAAAATCGATATCATAATGCTCGGTTGAACACTTCAATCTTTCTAAAGCATCATTACTGCCATCGCTCAAAGCGAACAAAGCCAATTTATGTGCGGACGAGTCACATTTGTCGGTTGGTGGCAAAAGTACGAAAGGCAGAAGCAAGATAAGCAATGAATACATGCTACTTATTGCTTATGGCATTTATGAAATGAAATTAGGATTTATTTAGGTCAACCACTGGAAAGTTTTAAGGCATTAAATCTGGCAAAACTTTTCCAAACTTTTTCATTTAAAATGTTAGTATTACGAATGAGCAAAACCAGTGATGATTTATGCTTAAAGTTTATCCAAATATTTACAAAAATAAAAATTTACCACTCAAGTTCGTTAAATTATTGCAAAATTAGTTGAATTATTGCAAATAAACGACTTCTTCTACAATTGACTTTTTCATAATTATCATCCATTTAAAATTTTAGAAATGCAACCTTAAGGATTGAATCATCACTTACGTCTGCACCATTTTAACAGTCTCGAGTATTGTGATACTGATAAAATAGAGCTTATAATATCATCTCTTCCTGATAACTGAGTTTATTGCAAGCCTTAAACAGCTTCATTTTAATCCTTAATCCATATAGCTAAAAAATTGTATTGTCTTACAAGAATACTGGAAAATTTTTAAGCCATTGAATCTGGCAAAACTTCCTATATAGGAAACCGCAAAACTGTATGGAAGAAATATCGTTAAGGAATTGGAATTACTATCATTACTGTAATATCTCACGTCTTTAAATTTATTGATGACGACCCTTTAATTATATAAATATGATGTAGCAAGACAAGAGATAAGCTTAATTCAGAATTAAAACTATATTTTCGAAGTTAAATTTTCATTTTTAAGCAAAGAAAGACTGATATTTAATAGTGTTAAAGACAAATTAATTGATAACTTGACTCGAATATCTACATCACGATATGCACAGGTTTTAGCATTGTTTCATAATAAAACAAATTTATTCGAACTGAAACAAAAATAGCTTCAGTTTTTCTAAAGTTGCAAATAGAGAAACAATAAAGGCAGAAACTTGATATAAGACTATGCAAAATCAAAGACTTTCAAATTCATAAAATAAATTTTCTTAACAATCTCAACTCATCAAAAGTTCAAGTTCGAGACAGCCAACTTTTTAAAATAAAAATTTCAAATTTTAACTACACAAAAAACTGAGGAAAGTCAACAGAAGCATATAAAGCTTAGGAAATAAGTAAAATTTATGGATTGATAAAGGAAACAGCAATATAACGAGTTCCTTGGGTAGTTTCCAAACCTTCATGCAGGTGCGTTAAACGACCCGGAAATATCATCGAATGACCTAGAAAATCATAGATAAAACCTAAACTGAAATAAGCTGCCATAGCTCGAACTGAAATTGGAATAGCTTGCTCTTCCAGTAATCGGCAATAATCCAATTTCAGCCTATCAAAATCAACTTTTACAGCACATATAAGAAATAAAAATCTAAATGATTATGTCTCATTATAGACTAATCTGGAAAGGTAGATTGACGAAGTAAATAATATAAATAATTGAAAATAACGTTCTTTATATCTAAATTAACAAGAACTTATACGTATCTTAACATTTATAAGGGTTCTTCTATTATTTTGGCGGTTATCCGATTTGTGTGCTTCAATATTTTCATTACTATCGCCGCTACATTGTATTGAAAATTGAAGTAGGGCTCGGAAAATATCAAAACACACCATTCCTTATCAAAAAGAAATCTGTACCGCTGATTTAATATGCTAATGAGATACTGTCAAAATCAGAACCCACCAACAGTATCAGCATCAAAAGTGCAGTTATATCGTAAGAAACGAACACCGCCTCCTTCATAATCCACTCCTCGTTTATTCAGTGCAATATCAATACTATAGGTTGAAGCGTCATGATGAGGTCTTAATGAAGCTTGCTCCTCCGGCTTGTAACGTACGACAAACATCATTACGGACTCTACTGGCTGAGAGTGTAAGTTTAAATCTTGTTTAATGGTTAATGATATATTTCAATTTTGAAGGCAACATCAGCATATAAGTGAATGAAATTCAATAGCTGAAAACTACGAAAGTAAAGGAACAGTATAAACTTTTTCATAAATATTAATATTCTAATAATCAAGACATTTCAGGTAGAAATTTTGAATTTCAATAAAAAATGTATTTTTTTTTTGGCAAAGTATATCCTTGATATGATTCTTAGTTTTTTATTGATTCCTTAGCTTTATTTCTTAACAATCGACAATTTTGTAGCAGTAATAAAAATGACTTACCTGTTTGTAATAACCAATAAACAGTTTCTCCTGTATTGGACGAACATATTCATCTAACATATATAGCCAATGCCGTTCGAAACCAATTTGATTCATATGAATATCTCGAGTAGGCACATTTTCATAACCACCAACTAATCTTTCGTCCTCAAATGTGATTTTACAATGAGTATGCAGGGTTCTAATTAATTAATTTTTTAATTAACTCAGGGTCCTAATTAACACCAAGCATATGAAGCTTCTTGAACTTCTTAAAAGTAATTCAACTAATAATATATTCCATTTTACGTTATTTTTTCAAGCAAATAGATCTATCAAGCAACTGGTCAACAGTTCAATACCTTGTGTTTACCATCTGACCACTTCCCATAATATTCACATTCTTCAATAAGCTCCGCACAAAATCTTTCGGACATAAGTGGAAAATCATATACATCCTGACATATTTCCAGAATTTGTATTGAACCATTAAGAGCAGCGAAATAGTTCGGGTGTATATACCGCTTTTCCCACAACTGAAAGAATTTTGATACTCTTCAAAAGATCTTCAAAGACAAAATATTAAGAAATAAAGCAAGGAAATATTCTGTTTCAAAACAACTTTACAGCTAAAATATATTCTGCCATATTTCAAGACAACATCAGTAATATAGACAAAACAATGAAGGCTGAAATTTTAGAATGATGTCGGAAAACCGACAAGAGTCCAGAATCAGCAAAATTCGGAAGGCTGACCTCTTTATTATTGAAAATCTCATACATATCCGGATGAACTTTGGATGATTCAACATCTTCGCTAACTACCAGGAAGCCGTAATAGTGGCTGTTATCAAGATAAAGAAAATGACCCTGTAAGTAGCAAATAAAAAAAAAATAAAGAAAACAATTGGAACAAAAACTAATTAAAGAAAAAAAAAATTTTTTTTCTTCATTAACCAACTTCTTTTCAAAGGATACTGATCAGACATATTGGACGAACATTGGTGCACCATTAGGAAACCACAAACTGAAAGTTTTGTATTCCATTACTTACTTTATCACGTGCAAATGAGCAAAAGCTCATGTCGGGATCTAGTTTATCGTTATAATAATATGCATTTGATAAGGATGTCAGCTGGAATAAATAACAATAATCAAATTACAATCAAGTATATTCGATACAGCCATCTTAATATAATGAACTAGTAAATAGGAATTAGAGAAACGGTTTTAATTTATTCAAACGAAAAAATAAATTCTGACGAGAACTGAAGTCCTAACCAATCACTACTTCTACTATGAAACATTTCCCAAGAGCACTTTGAAAGTGCAAATTATTAAACTGCTATTGAACACATAATGGTACCTAAAATGAAATAATGTTTTAAAATGAAATGAAAATGAATGTCCCTTCTATAAAAATTCCTTGTTGATATTTTTTGATCACAAGTTTGCACTTCGCTGCTCATAAAATTGATAAAAATCTGTAGGATTTAAAACATCTGATAAATTCGTCAGCACATGAAAACCAGGAAGAATGAGTTAAATGAAACTGCGCACTTTTTCCTTCGCAATTATTAAAATCGAACTAATGAAGGGTACGTTCCAAATTCCCACTTCTTTATAATCAATGATATCCAGATAATTCTCGGATCTAGCGTAATATCCATTACTAGAGATTGCGCCCCAGAAATTAGTGAACAACTTATGTGGTTGCCCAACTAAAGGTGCAAGAATCTCTCTGCAATATATAAAATTTCCATATTTATTTTCTCGTTGGATCAAATAATTTACAAATCAAATAATTTTTATCAAAATTTCTAAACGTGTTGCAAGGTTTTTCCATAAACATACGAATCTTTTTCTTTCACTCTGTGAATCATAAGCAGCAAGGCTTCCGAATTATTTAAATGTACATCGCCATCAATCATTATTAGGTAGTCGTCACCCAGTGCCAAGCTTTGTTTTCTAGAAAAAAATTCCCAAAAAACTGCTGAAAACTTAAAAGAAAATTTGGAAAAAAAAAAGACCGGATTGAATTGAACTGTCCTACAGAGAAAAACATTTTTAATCATCCACTTTTAAATTAAGTAGTCGTCACTCAATTCCAAACCAAATTTTGTTTCTAAAGAGAATTTTTTTTAAATAAAAACACGAACAATGAAAATGCACGAGCTTCACGCTCACCCAATTCTGTTGTGCTGCCATCATACAGTAGTGATCGATAACGCCCTTTAACATCTTCAACAAAGCCATTGGTCTAGAAAAATCTGAAAGCTATGACAACCAAGCGGAAAACAGATACAGTTTGACTTTTTCTTCAAATCAACTTTACTAAGCCTTATGTTTAAAGCGAATCTACTTTAAGATTTATCAAAAGGAAATTTATTTGTGAAATTAGATAAAATAACTTTTCCGCCTGATCTTTCACAGCCATTTCAAAAAAAATATCAAGAATTTTATTGTAAAATGACAGTTGTAATGAAATAACAAAACTTACTTCTTTTTCCAAAAAATTTTGATTGCAATAAACATATAAATCAATTTTCTCATCTGCATACACCAAGCTCTTAATATTTTCGAAAAACTCACGAATAAATGGTATCGGTTTGGAAATAATGACCGACAAAAATAACCTCGGTAATTCAATCTTTTCAAGATCCTGAATTTACATTCATCAAAGTTATCATGAAGGTACAGAATTCGGAATAGGAACAACAGAAGCAAAGAAGTGTAACACACAATTTTCAGTTCGAATTATTTAATTGTAAAATGAATAAACATTCTATTTAAAATATATTGTAAAAATGTATCAGATTTTTTTTTCTGCTTTTATTTAAAATTTCCAGCAGTACCATTGTTGTGTGCTGAGTTTTTGCAGTGGTTATCCTAAGCGGATCAACGTAGTTACCGAAATAATTTAAATGGAGCTTGCTTGGACCATTACCATGTATAACCAAAGGATATGTGTTATAAATAAAGTTGTAAATCTGAAATGACATCCGCGTGAGCTGTTGAATTTACTCTGGGAACCTACTATTCTATTAAGAAAACATCTCTGTCTGTCCAATATTTTAAAAAATGCTGCTTCCTTCTTCACCAAAATTCATATTTCACGAATAAAAAAAAACCACTCACAAAATACGTCCCGCTTCTTTCATCACTCATCTCTAACTTTACATCATTCGACGCGCCATTTAGATTTTGAAATAGAATGCTCATTGAATCCAGAGTCATTTTCAGCGACATCTTTAAATAAGTTTGATGTAGTCTAAATTTTTTGCTAATTTTTTAATCCTATGTAAACAGCTTCATGAAGAATGTAACTATCAATGTCATAGTAAGTAATATAAAAAGATAAGAAAACGACGTCGAATTTTTAAATAACAATGATCATGTAGTCCAATCCAATTCACGAATAGCACTGTGAATACCATTCGAAAAAAAAAAAAAAAAAATGATACAGGACCCTATTCTATGTGGGATTATCTTACATTTTACAAGAAGCAGGTTGAAAAGTGTCAGTAACTAAAGTAAAAAAGTATATAAAAGAAAGATATGAGGATAATTCTATAATTCAGACCTATATTTTTGGTTTATCCATGTTATATTATCGTTAATCGTGCAACACACTGTCATGGTAATCAAGTGCTTATCCGCTTTGAAATCTCAACTCTCATTCATTTCTATTAAATGCAAAAAATGGACAAAGAATCCGCAAATTATTCTACTTTCAAAACGCTACATTAAAATAATTTGATGTATTATGAAGGCATTAAAACGCTTTTGAAAATAAAAATCAAATCACAACAGTAAGAAATCGAATCGTTTCCTACACTATCAGAAAGGAGTTTTCATATGGATCTAGATCATAATAATCAGTTAAGTTATTTCAATAACACTATAAATAAATGGCAAAAATCGGTAGAATTGTGGAAAGGATAAATTGTGATAACAAACCAACTCTTATTTGTTCATCCAAGTAGAGGCGTGTGTAATATAACTGATCGTCATCATTATCTTCCACATCCTTGTAGCTTATTAAGTTCCAAATTTCAGGAGCAAAACCCATAAAAACTCCAGAATTTAAATACCTGAAAACCTTCCAACATTTATAATTCAAAAAGTACTTTAGTTTCTTCTAGAAATGGCTTCAGTACACCTAAAAAAATGTATACCTGTAGCCAAAATTAACAAGTGGATATTTCGGGGCTAAACTTCTGTTTGGCCAACAAAACGGTTCCGACGAAAACACGAGACGAAATCCATCAAAGAAAGTGAAGAAATTCCGCAAAATTTGTTCTTCATTGCCCAAAAGTATCACATCATAGCTATAATAAATTCACTGTTTTCAAAATTTACCAAAAGTCTACTATTATATGACAAAATTGACAACGTCGAAAAATTTTTTATTAAGATTTTTCACTTATTTTTATTATACGTTATTAAGTTTTGTTCCTTAATTTCTCTTATTCAAAAGATGCCCAAGATCTCTGAAACAACTATACACAGCTACAAATACATGTATTTACTTATATTACATAAATTTGAAATATATATATATTTTTCAAAAATTATATATGTATATATATATATATAATAACTTACGCATCAACAAATAGTATTATTAAATCATTCCTGTCTTTGTATTTCTCCAATGATTTCCGTAAAATGCGTATTTTCTGCCCTCCACCCTGGAAACTGATCTTTTTAAAAACAACAAACAAACTTTTCGTTTAAACAAAGCATATTCAGCAAAGTGATTCCAGAAAAAAATGGAAGAGTAGTTAACTTGAATAATCTCAACTAATTTAAAAGAGAAGGATAATGTTTGAGAGAACAAAAAAGGGATCGACCTTGTCAACGCGAACATCGCCTCCTCGCCACTGTTCACCCATACCGAATACTTCTAGTCCGACGTCATTAATGTCAGCTGTGCGTTTCAGTCGTCTCAAGCCATCTGTCTCTTCCGTTGCAACTGTCACCACAAGTAATTCTGGCATACCACTTATCTTTTCCATCGTTACTGTTCCATACATCAACACAGTGCTTAACGTTAACACCCATAGTGTCATCCCTGTCATAATTGCCCAAACTATTCAAATTTCAGCACCCCGATTTTTTTAAAATTGTACTGCTACGAATTATACTGAATTCCAATGCGCGACGTGTCACACATCACACGTCTACGTGTTACACTTCATGCTTTCGCACGACGTCGCGGTAAGCTCCCTGACATGAGAAAGATGTCCCAGTAAGTGTCATGGACCGATTTAGCCACCAACAAATGAAATAGCTTGTTACTTATTTTCAAGAGTAAGAAGGGTTACAATTTCCTGCTCATCTATAAGAAATTTCTATAAATTGAAACATGTTAACAATGATAATCAAAGGTCAGTTTTGAACTGACAGAATAGCCATTGTAGTTTTTACCTAAGCAATATTATCTTTAAGGATGTGCGGATAGAAAACAGCTTACTTTTGCAAGCACTAAGGATAACCTAAGGTGACGATAAAGTCATTTTAATTCGTAAATCATGATACTTTGCTAGATTTGCTCACAAATGCACTGCTTGAAGTGCAGAAACTGTTAACCTCTGTGCTGCACGCAACAGAGTGCACGCGGATAGCTCTATGTGCAAGTGATAATGTTCGGTATCTTCCTGTTATATGATAGTCATCTGAAATGCCTATTGCAAAAAATAGGAAAATGTTATAACTGCATAAGGTTTTTGTGCAGTGCAGGATAAATTCAATGCATAGTATCTTATCAAATATAATTGATATTAATTATGGTAATTATAATCAAGAATGGCACTGAAGAGGTCATATGCTTTTTAAAGTTCTTTAAAACGAGAAAAGTTTTTAGAACACGTAAGATATATTAGAGGGTCAGAATAAGTAAGTTCAAACCAAGAAACACTGGGAATTTATTTAAAGGAAATGTGCTGGAACGTAACTACTTTGTAGCTATCACTGGGAGATTCTTTCAATCATATTTGATATGATTTAACGTCACACTCACAAAATAGTTGCGTATTCTATGTACTACAAAATTATACTCCAAATATGCCTTAATTAGCTTCTGCTTAATTTTAAGGATGTAAAAGACGCTAGCGATATTTAATAAAATAGAGTGAGCATAAAGATATGTGAGCTGAGGTAGTCTGCTTTTACTAGAGGAAGGAAGTGTAATGGAATACAAAAAGCATTCTGAGAAAATTGCAGCTGGCGTGCCAAATGTTGAAAGTGAGAAGTTGAAGGGAGTGGATGAAGCTAAAAATGAGGAAATATCGTATTTGTGGGAGGCAATGATACATAGATACATATAGAGCCGACATACTGAGAAAGTTCGAGGTTAAGGCAAGCTTTATTGCAAGCAAAGAGATGGAAGTGTGGAAGCATTGAACAAAAGATCATTTATAAATATAAATTATGTTGAAGGATGAAGAAAGTGATGTGACTAGAAATGTAACGAAAATGATGTAATGATGCAACTAAAATTCTGAAATTTCACAAAATTTTCAATTTTGTGAGAATTCGATATATTTATAATAAAATGGTATAAAATATTGGTCACTCAAAATCAAAACTGAGCTGGAATTGCAAAATGTTAGTCAAAAGTTAAAAAAAGCAAAAAAATTGCAGTGGCTCGTCTAAATTAATCAATCATTTTTTTATTATTGCTAATTATTTCGTTTTTTATCAGTGTATAAAAGATCAGCTACTATTACAAAGTGTAATATAAATGTTAGACTATATATTTGAATGTTTTATTGATTAATTAACTGAAGTTATCATTCATTACTCATGTTCTCAGTGCTTTAGACTTTTTCGAGAAGTTTAGTTAAAATAAATAATCTCAGAATAATTTCTATCTCAGTTTATTAGGTCATTTCAGACATGATTTTGAGAAGATCGATAAAATAGTTAAAGGTTTGCTGTTATATGAAAAATTATAGTGACAAGTGATTTTATCATTTTTTTATCTTCCAAAAATTGATTTCTAAAATAAAGTTCAGTAAATTTTCTTGAAGTTTATGATTATTTGCAATACTAAAAAGACTTTCAGTCCAAAGTCCATATTTCGAGTTGAAGCCTATGCAACATGCTCCAATTAATAAGGTGATGATTAAATTTAATTTGTGAATGTTGTACATTATGTTTTAGAGGTATAACCAAAAAAGGTAAACAATTCAGAATGATGGAATCATTTTTCAAGAAAACCTGCGCCAATTAATTAGTAGTTAAATTATTTCCAGCACTAAGGATAAAATTGATATACTAGTTTTAAATCAACAAAATTTACCAGGGGAACAGATAAACTGTAAAATCGAAGAACTAGTTGTTATGTGCATTGTGAGTGTTCTTCGACTAGAAAGTTATGCATATAATTCCTTCTGGCAAAATAAAGCCGAATTATATCATTATTGCAGATATAAATGATAACTTCAGTATTGATCTATTATAATTCAGTAAATGAAGAGTTAGGTAATGAAATTCATAATCTTGAAATAATAGAATAACCTCTTGGCTATATGTCCCACGTTAGCTATGATTATATCCTCATCGATAAGTCTGCTATTGCAGACAAAAGAGAATAAATTGCGATTAGCAGGTGCTTGAATTGATTTGTTCCTTTGTAGACTGGTTTTGAAATGAAAAAAAAAAAAAAAGAACATTGGATATACTTTCAAAGAATGAGTTTGTTGTGTAATTAAATTGAATATAAAAGTCCAAAAATGTTGTTGTTGCTCACAACAATTTTCAAATGAGAAGTGTCCTTATGACCTCGTATTTTGTTTTTTCAATAAAATTTAAAGTGATGAAAATGGCGCCAATGTAAACATAAAATGCAAACTGCTGTTTTTTGCTACTGTTTCTCTGTTTCTTTAATTTTTTAAGACTAACTATTTTGTCCCGAATATTCCAAACAATTTCTAGACCAGAGATTTTCTGAATTTTTTTCTTTAAAACTTTTGCATCCCAAAAAGATAATAAAATGTCGATAGCAGTCTTTGAGAATATTTATCCTAATGATTTTAAACTTATTAATAATGAAGTCTTAACCTAAGGAAGAAAGCAAATCTTCATATTACAATATTATTTATTGTTCATTCTCATTATTATAATGTGTTTATCTGAATTTCGTTCGACAATGCTTTCTGTATTTGCAATATTGCTTGACTTTTGCAGAACAACAATTCTTTACTTACAAACATTCTTTCATCAGCTGGTTTGGATAAAAAGTTTTTGCTAGAAAGAAATTTAACAGATGATAGAGATAGGTAAGAAAAAAAAAACAAGTAGAAACATCATCAAAATGTGTTAGAAGCTAATTAATTATTCATTCACAAATGTAAATTGTAAAAAAGGTAAGAAATTAAAGCTCTTCAATTCAGAAAGTAAATAGATTTTGAATTTATTCTTCAAAGTTTCATCTTGATTTTTTTCAAAACATAGATTTTTAATTTCCCGATAATTTTAAGAAAGTGAAGATTACTTGATTTGCAGGTAAATAAATGCTTTTTTATAAAAATAATAATGATAATAATGGTAATAATAATAATAACGATAACAATAATAGTAATAATAGCAATAATAATAATATAACAATAATAATAATAATAATAACAATAATAAATAAATAATAATAACATAGGAATGCAAAATGTCATATCGTAGGCTAACAAAATCATTTGTTAAGAGTAAAAAAAACTTAAGAACAAAGTAATAGCAAATAGTCTTAAACAGAAATTCTCGGTATGAATAAATTTAGATTTATCTGCTTAGGCTGTTCGAAATTTTTATGATTAAATCTACTCTTTATATCAAAAGTTGTGATTACACTTCTCTTGTTAACTTGCTTGTTTCTTATTTTAGTTTCTTTCTTGTATTTTGAAAATATTTCTTTTTGAGGCAATTACTTTTGAAATGTAGTATCACGGACGAAAAAACTAAAATTCAGAATAGCAGCTTTCAAAAAGTTTGTCTGATTACATACAAAAAATCTCTCCGACTGATCTACCTTTAAAAATTTTCACGTACATCTGGAAGAGATATATTTGGAAAAAAGCAATCATATGAGAGTTCCTCCAAAAATTTGTGGTTGAATACATGCGAATGATTTATACTGTGTAACATTCGTTGTGATTACAGTGGTACTCACACACTGCTTATCACAACAGATAAAAAATGAGATATTTTTGTTTATCTCTATGGCTTTATAAAAATTTCTAGTTAATCTTCCAGATAATGATTAATTAATGAATCGTTAAAGATGAAATATTTTACAATTTCCTTTATCCACTTACTTTTACTCTGACGTTGGAAACTTAAATACTGTTCTAAACTTGAAACTACCGAATAGACCAAATGATAATATTTTTGACGATAACGAATTGTAAGTATAAGGTATCTAGGTAATCAAAACTAAACTATAATATTTACTCTAAAATGAGTTATATTTCAATGTTATGAACACTAAAATTTTTATTTACGCATTTCTATTATCAATTTTACTTGTATATTTTGAGTTTTAATGGTGCTTTTACAATTACTGCTATCTGAACATTTCAATTTCATTTGTATAATCACCATGTCCATCATTTTCCCAATTTTAATTAATTTTCTTCCCAATTATTCTTAACAACAAATGAATCATTGTAATTAGCGGGTAATTCTCGAAAGGCAAACATTAAGTTAGGAATGCGTTGTTGTGATATTTGAAATTTAAAGATACTGCAATTGTCCTAAATTTCTCAAAAAAAGTGAAAATTTTCAGACAAAAGGCAAGGAAAACTTTCACCTTCCATTGAATAACCTCTAATATACATAGTTACATCTGATAAAGATGTAGAATGAAAATAAGAAATGACATTTTTGCATTAATGACGAAGAACAAGTTTTGTACATTTCACTACAAACAACAGTTCTTAGCGATAGCTCATCATCAAACAACCGCTAATTTGTTTACGACCTTAGTGATGATTATCTGTCTTCTTTTTATCAATGCTATTTGAAGATAAATTCATTCCGATGACCTGAAAATGTATTTTAATATTAGGATAAATCATTCTGGTTTCTTAGCTACAATTTTTGAAGTAGATTTACTTTTAACACAATAAATGGTGAATGAAGGAGCCCATGAGAACACATGAGAAACATATTTATTCCATCTTATGACTGTGTCTTACAAAAATACTGATTAAATTTGCGGAATTTTTAGAAATGTCTAAAAGTGCAAAAGTACAGTGTACACTATACTTTCACATTTCTATATGTCATTATTTTTGTAAGACGTATTCGAAAGAAAATATTGCATGACCATATAATTACGCTTATATTTTTTTCCTCTGCCACCACTGAGCCTGTAAACCTGTAAATGTTCACTAAAGCGCCATCATAATTGGTCATATCACAATTTCCACTTAAAATATTCGCTCACTCACTAAAAGAATAAAAGTACGCTTTAAAACGTTCTATTAAAGTTTTTTCAAATTGACGATTTGATAGCAATAGAGATATATTTATGCAGGTTATATTGTCTAAAATAATGGCAAATTAATTAAGTGATGCATCAACTTTGTAAATAAAAAAGAAGGAATATCAAATCGATGTTATTGACTAACAAAATGTAGCATTGCTGTAATCACAGTTCCTTAGGATAGTAGAAGGAAGAAGAAGCACCTTTCCTTAGGATAGTAGAATAAGGTTTTGCAGTTTGTTAAAAATTCTAATTAAAGTTTGACAATAATTAAGCTACATATGAGTAATTAAGCAATGATCGATGTCATCGGTATTGCTTAATGATCAAATTAATCAAGTAAAATAAGCTTTCAAACTTCTGCACAGTGCAAACAAAATTTAGTTTTTATTTTTATTTTTTGCAATTAAATATGACTTAAATTTTATTAAATACTATGTACATCGATCAACATTAAATCTATAAAGTAGTATTTATGTGCATCGCTCTTAAACACTTTAGCCTTGGCCTAAAATGCACAAGTGAAAGGCAAATAGCTGAATAAGTGGACATTTATGACAGATCGAAATTACGTGTGCATAATTAGCACAATGTATATATTTTTAAACATCACACCAGACCGATATACTTCTCTCATTTCAAATTCACTTTAGAGAAATATTGAATATCGATTAGCTGATTTCTATTATTCTCGTTTTTATAAGGGCACGAATAATGGCAATAAATATGCTCATTTGCAACATATTTAAATTAGATCAACGATTCAATTACTCCATCTGTAAATATGTTTGAATTTAGATTTATTAGTTGTTCACATATATAAAAACTTATGCGCTAGCTATAACACATTTCATTTTTCATACATGGATTAATGATTATTCCGGAATGTTATAAGTTCACTCATTCACCGCAAATAAAAAAATATTTTCAATTGATCAGAAAAATTAGTTCTAGTTGTCAGTGAATCATTTCAAGAACAGGTACTGATCTGATTAAATGCAGTAAAACCATTTTTCACCTGGCAACCCTTTTCTTTAGCTGTGATGAAGTTTATGTGCATATATTGCCTTACAAAATCAGAAGCAAAGAAATGAATCAAAATGAAACACAGTATTTTTTGGAAGTTTAATCAGAGTATCTTTTCACTTTTGAAAGACTTTAGAAAAGCAAAATGACATTGCTAATTTTTTGACATATTCAGAAGGTAAAACAGTCATAAAGCTGAAGTTACAATTTTTTACTCCATTAAAAAAACTGTCTTCAATTTCATTCTTTTGGTGCGGTTGGTTTGTTTCAGCGACTTTTTTCTGCTTCTAACATCAATGCAGAATTCGTAATCAATCTACTCACTTTCTTAGCTTTAAACTCAAAATTTGGAAATTCTTCATTCATCGTTATGAACGGTGATGATATTTATTAGAATATTTGTAGAGAATGCATTGATGTGAAAACTGTCAAATCTAGAGTATTTTTAGTTTTAATAAAGTAATTATAAGTTTTGGTGGATCATTCCACTTCTTTTAGTATTTTTTAATCCAATGTTTTGTTTCTCCTGTTCAATTATTTCCACTTTTAGTCATTATTTTTATTTTCTGACTAATGAAAATTCTTTGCTCAGAACATCCTAAATTATAGATTTGTTATATTATGTAATCCAAAAAAAGGAAAGAAAATACAGAAGTTTTGGGAAATAGAAGTCTAGATGATTTAAAATTCCTTAAATAAATAAATGAAAATGTGATGGAATATTTGGATTTTTATAGTTCAAATTTCACTTGATCCGGACGGCATGATTTACTTTATTTCCGATAAATTGTGACGCATGAAGCATAAGGAAAGAGTTACAAAAATTGTTTACCGATTCAATATGTCAAATTATCTTTTACACCCACCAGCAAAACGTACATTTTTAGCTCCACAAATATCTCAGCCATTGCAGTCAATTGCAATGCGACTAGATCGATGGTTGGACTACGAAAGTGGACATGCATGGTGTGAAAGTGCTTACAAATATCAAACTATTTCAGTTGTTGCTGAATTTGCCAACACTGTCAGTTGTTTATCTTATTTTTAACAAACGTAGCATATTCAATTACTTAATAAAAAGTGAAACATCAATTAAACTTCATTTGCTTTCATCCTTAATTTCATTATCAAATTATTATTTCAGGATTTAGTCAAAATGAGAAGTTCGTGTAAAAACATAGTAACATTATCTCATGAATGTTTTTCGAAGTGAATACTAGCAGGATTATTTTTAAGTAGTATATTTCCAAAAACCAATATCTTATCCATGAAAACTATTATTTAGCTCATTATTAAACATGCATACATATTTCAATGAAAAAATCTTCACTCCATTTGATTAGGTAATTTATAGTTAAAATTTAATGTATAAATTTGAAAAATGCATATGTTTCAGGTAACAAATTTACCACTGATAATGTTACCACTTCTGAATGTTCTTCTGATAAAACCATACATCGAGACTGTTAACTGCATTGTAATTATGCCCCATATTCTCTTAACTGTAAATGGCATTGCATCTACTTATTATCATGCTACTCTCAATCTTTTTGGTAAGTTTTATTTTATTTATTATTTATCATCTCTTATTAATAAAATGAAATTAAGAACTGGTAATACTATAAAATGATCCCGAAAGTTAGGAGAATTTATTTGTTGGTTAAAATGTTTACATATATATAAACATGACAAACAATTTTGAGGGAAATATTACACAGTTTTTGTAATATTCCTTATAATATTCCTTTCCAATTTCACTTTTACCCGTCTTATTCCAGGTCAGCTAATTGATGAAATTAGTATCTTATGGTTGTTGATGATGTGTTTGGCTGCTTATTTCCCAGTTTTCAGCTTCTACCCACAGCAATATCATAAATATATGTGTGTGTTTCAATACTTGATCAGCACTACCGTGTGATTTGTTCCTCATCTTCCTTACTATTTCAGCAACAGACACTAAAATTACTTTAATTTTTGAAATTATAAAATCAGTAGACTCTCAGCTGCGATATTCAACTTATAGCGGTAGAGTGCGTTGTGCGATAGCAATAATAACTATGGTAGTTAGTACATTTTGTTTCGTGAAACCATCACTAAATGCACTGGTATTAATGTTATGGTCTATACCAAGTATCGCTATCATCCGCCACGAAGCTGCTAAGTGAGTTTGTTATCTGATAGTAACCATTGCAAGATGAATTTCTTCCCGAAAAGCTATGTTTCAGTTCTGAAATTTTGGATTCCATATGTATTCCAATAATTTATTAGTCCTTTTTTCAGTGCTGGTATTCCTGAAATCATCAATTCTCCAAGGAAAATATCAGTACTATGGATTGCAGCTTCCATTTGTTGGGTATCTGACCGAGTGTTTTGCGATTTCTGGCTTTTTTTAGGTTTTTTTTTTAAATAAATGTTTCTTTTTTTTTTTTAAATAAATGTTTTTCAGATAGCAGAAATGGAATTTTTTGAAATAGCCCATCGATCTTCTGCAGAAACTTCCATAAAATTTGATTTCAGAATCAAACTATTTGATATGCTCAAACAACACTGCCGTAACTATTTCAGGAACTCCATACTTCCATGCACTCTTTCATTTGTTGAGCAGTTTGGCAGCTTATAACGTTTTCATCATGTTTTCATTGATTGACATCTGTAGGCGCAGTGACAAACACCGTTATAGATACCGCATAAAATATTTTCCGGAAAAAGGACTTATTAGGCTACCATATATCGTCCTTAATCTTGACTGCAAGTATTTGTGATTTTTCTAGTCCTCTTTTACTTCAGTATTGTAAGGTACCGGGTTTTCTTTAAAAAATAAAATGCAATCGATGAAATGTTATTCATTTTGACACTTTTATTTTACCATAGTTTTTTTGAATTTCAATCCACTAATCATAATATTATTCAAGTAGAAATGAGTTTCGTAACTTGTAAGTTTATGTTTTGGTTGGTGACAAATATAGAAGTGGAACTATAAGAAGGGGAAAAAAATACGAACCTTTAGGTTACTTTACACCATCCAATGATAATCTGAGGCATAATTTTAATTCATTGTTGTTAAATGTGTGTTATTAAATGAAATAAATATTTAAGTTTCTTTGTGCATGAAACAATAAGGTTTTTGTAAAGTATTTCAGAATTCTTTCGATCCGGAAAATCATTCTGGTTTACCTACTCTTATTCTTTCATATAATAATCAAGTAGACTGATTTTACGATTCAGAAATTTGATTTATCAATTTCTTCATTATTAACCTTCGAATTAACACTTGGATTAATCGGATAAAATTTAATACTGTGGATTTTGAAGATATGAATATTTACATTTACGAATCGAATACTGGACGGTAGGAAAAAAAATAACGAAAAACAGAGGATTTAAAAATGTCTGATGTAATAGTAATTTTGCTATTTCCATATTCAAATAAGATGGAAGTTGCTAATGAAATAATATATTTATGAAGTTCAAAATTGATATTTTATATGTCAGTCACTTAAATCTTAAAATTTATAAAAATGTAACTTTTCAGACATGCTGTTCTCGTCACTATTTATTAATCACAAATCAATCACTCAAGTTGATGAATAATTCTTGCAAAAAATTTAATAAAATTAAAGAAAAAAATGACAATAATTGAGAAAAAAAATGAATATTGTCTACCAACAACGTTATTGCTTCCTATACCAGTAAATGATTGGATATATTCTTTATGCATTATCAATTTTTACTATTCAATCATCGATACTGTTGCTAGATTCACGATTTTTGTCATGGATAGTGGTGATAATTCTTTGTGATGATGATTTAATTATATTAAATTAACTATACTAAATATCACTATGGTAAGAAGATACATGATATTATCTATGACTGCGTTAACTTGCATTCATTTGTGAGATCACTCTACTATAACTTTTTTTTTAGAAAAATCGTCGTTATTATGTCTTATGAGCATGGAAGTTAAAAATTTCACTACAAAATCGCTGTTGTACGGTTAATCCATATTTTTCATATTTAATTCAAACCGATATCTAAAATGAAATTTTGCTGGTGCTTCAGTGATCAAAAAAAAAGTAGTGGTATTGAATGTAGTGATAATTGGTCATTGTAATTTAATGATTGGAAAAACAAATAAAAGAAGTGGAAATTCAGAAGATCTGTCACATTTCCCTGTTTGAAAAAAGAAATTTGTAGATGGAAAAAACAGATATGCCTCTTTTATTTATTTTTTTTCTTCCAGTTTTGGTTTTATTTTTCAGCTTTTATCAATATAGTTGATGGATTGACATCATCAATTTGAAATGAGTTCCATGTAGGATCCGAACAGAAAGATCGACATCCCTCCCTTATTCTTGTTTCGATCGCATCATCAGCGATTAATACAATCGTCTCCTGTATAAGTTCCTTTATAGAAGAATCTTTGTTTTTTTACTACAAATGTTTCTCCTTCACTATTTATTATATTAGTATTGACTGACAGGAAATTTCAATAACGAGCTCTCCTGTTTTTAAAAAACTTTCAATTTAAAAAAAAACTTTCAAATGAGTTCAACAAATTTAAGAATTGTTTTATTGAAGTACGATGAGTTCAACTGCATAGCGCATTTCTGAGCGATGATTCAAGAACTCCTTGATACAAGCGATGCACAATATATCATTCGATTGCTAGTAAAGTTTTAGGTTTTGAAGAAAAAACTACAAAATTAAATTCCTTCTCAAATTGTTCTGCAGTTGTCCTGCTTTTGCAAGCTGTATTAATATTGTTTATCGTCAGACCATTTCGCATAAATTATGGTCAGCTTCAGTTGTAGAGTAAGCGTTAACTAAAAATGATTTATAAATCAATTCTAGTTTCAGGGTTTTCTTAAAAGCACTGAAAGCAGTGAGCATTACAAATGATATTTGGAAAAGCTTCCCCACCGGAACACCAACTTCGCCAGTCTGCTTTTCTTGCTGTAACCATTTCAACTGTTGCTGTAATCACTTCTATTATTACTTTGCCAATGCTGTATTCATTTATTATTATCTTCCAAAGTCACCTGTTCCGTGAAATAGAGTACTGTAAGGTTAGGAAGTTTACTCTATTTTTATCGTAAATTGCTTTTCCAGCTTTAAATAATTATGGATAAAAATGTTTTTCGCTGAATCACCAGCGATTAACTGAAATAGAATTTTTCCGTTTCTTTAATTTTCCTCCAATTTTCCAATTTGCACTTCTCTAGATTTGGTCTTCAAATATATTATTTGATTTTTTTCCTCGTCGTCGACCTCTTCTCTTCATTCATTTGAAGTCTTTTAAATGGATTAAAAATTCCTTTTCTCAACATTTTCTTCCAAAAGATCAAAATTGTTGCTTTGTCCAATTTATCCGCACGGCGAGTTTAAGGCAAAATATCATGAATCTGCATTAAAGTGAATAATGTAAAAATGTAACAACGTAACATCATTTGATGGGGTCTTGCAAATATTAGTAGCTGTGCCTATACATCTTTACTGCAATCATTAGAAGTGGAAAATCTTTCAAATTAAATTTATCCTTTTGTATTTCAAAGCGAAAAACTGTGCTGTATGCATAATTTCTAAAAGGCACTGATATATTTTCATAGCTCAATTATCCGATTAATATAGAACTCTCGATCACTTAACTAGCTATCGACAATTAGAAAACTCTTAACTGGTTAAATTTCAGGCACGAACAAGGGATATAAATATAGAATTTTCATTGCTAAGCAATAAAGCCAGTGACATCTCAAATGACAGAATGAAACGACAACATAGCAATTATGGGATCAATTCAAATGGACCTTCTATCTTTGGTACTTTTCCTTCTATGTTCATATTTTTCCGAAAGAATTTCAACCATTGCAAAGATGATACTAGAATAGAGTCAATTTTCAGTCTATCTTATTTCCCAACAAATGCTAGAATAGTACAACAATTAAGAATCACACCTTGAAGCCATCTTATTGTAAAGCTACTGCAATAGAAAAACGACAGCCTTACATATCCAATATAAACTTATACTTTGTAATTCTATGATCTCTGAATTTTCAAAATGTTCTTTCATTTTCTTCTCTACTTTACTTTCAGATCAATATCCACAGCTATCTCTTAATACAAACCATAAGTTATCTTCACGAAGTTTTTGCTCGTGTCAACAAGGATCAGTGGGTCAATCAGGAGCTCCAGGTGATAATGGTTCTCCGGGTGTCGATGGTATGCCTGGTACAGATGGTAACAACGGACGAGATGCGAAAATACTTGTTGTGTTAGAAAAGGTAGAATGAAAATCATTGAAGATTCCATTTTGATACTGAATTAAAGCGACCAGTCTGAACAACGAAATAGTAACTCACAAAATTCTCATACATTTACTAAATATGCTAGAATTCATATAGTCGTATTCCGCATAAAATAAAGTTGTCCTAAATGCTACAAAAACAGTCATAATTTATTAGTATACTAATTTTTTTAAGCACGGAAATTAAGGCTTCTTCATTTAGGAGAGTGGTTGTTTCGTCTGTCCACAAGGACCACGTGGAGTACCAGGGATGCCCGGTTTTAAAGGACTTAAAGGAGCAAAAGGATCATTGGGCAAAAACGGTACAGATGGTGAAGATGGACGAATAGGACTGCAAGGGGCGAGAGGTCCTGCTGGTGATATAGGGAAAATTGGTCCTAAAGGTGTATATGGCAAGCCGGGTAGTTTAATCAAAGTAGGGACATCTCAAGGACGCGGCTTCAAAGGAAGAAATGGCCCATCAGGAGGTTACGGACCGCGAGGTAAACCAGGCTGCAATGGAAAGTCATCAGATGGACCGGTTGGTCCACGTGGCATTCCTGGTTTAGAAGGCAAGCCTGGAACATCAGGGACCGTTGGACCACCAGGAGCGCGAGGTAGAATGGGCGAAAATGGAAATTGCCGACTATGTTCGAAGCTACAACTGCTGCCTGGTTACTAGAAAATTATGAAAACTTTTCGTTTTCCGCTGACTCATCGGCAATGATGTTCAGGAATTAATTCTGTTATTAGATATTCACTTCTTTTAACTGTAAAAGCATCAAAAAGAAAAGGTTATGCTTAAACTGAAAAGAAAATTTCCCGAAAAAAATTTCAGTAAGACAACAAAACTTCCGAACAAAATCTGCAATTTAAAAACTAATACGGACGATAGTTCTTATGAATTCAAGGTCAATCAATATGCATAGAAATAAATAAATTTACAAACAAAATTTATAAGAGATTTTAGTGAGTCGTTAAATTATCAACGGTACTGCTGTTTAAGTCATACGGTACAATTAAATAGCGACTGAAATTGCGCAGCTGTCCCGGACCACGTACTTCGCTTTCAAGCAGTGGTAATTTCGTTACATTAAAATCTTCGTAGAGATCAGCAATCTATAAATCAATAATGAAAAGTTCTTTCGTACTACTATTAATAGCAATAAACTAAAAAGCCTTGGTATGAACAAGACGAAAATTATAAAAATATATAAAATTTTTCCATGAACAAGAAATTATGTCTTAAATTTGATAATTCAAACCTGTTCCAAATATTTTTTCTGTATCCCATATCTTGCTGAACATTTCTTACATTTCACACAACCATTCTCATCCTCTTCCGGATACAGTAATTGATTGACAATAATATTATGTGTATCGATGTTCTGCAATTTTTTTTTTTTTTTTTTGCATTAACAAATAAATTCAAGAAAAATGATACTACTAAAACAGTATAGATGAAGAAATTAGGACCTGTTTCGTTAATTCCTGAATAAGGCGTTCCGTTTCATAAAGAGATAAAAATTCGGCAATGCATACACATACGAAGGTAGTAAGGTCCTATAATAGATGAACAGATGAACTCCACCACTTATTAAAATTATTGATAGAAAATTCTGAACTAGCAAATTAATGAAAAGTCATCAATAAATTTATCCCAATCTAAAATATTTTTGGAGCTTCTAATGAAGTATCCAAAAGAACATACCGGATCCTTGAATTGAGAATTTATCCTCCTAACTACGTCTAATGTTTCCCTCAGCTTATTCGTCGTATCATCCGCCGAGATTTCACCAAGACCTAACATTCCACCCATCTAAACATGACACATACAAAAAATATGAGACAAATAAACATGTCAGAAAACTATAAATTATCTTATAAATTAATCATGCTAATATAACTTTCACCTACAGAAGTAAAACAAATAGAGATGTTTTACAACTGAAATGTAACCCTTTTATTTCAATCAAGCCATATCAGTCTTCGTAAGTAAGAAACATTTTTTCATTTTAAAACCTTTTTAATGTTATATATATCGTAACTCCAAATAATGTTCTAGGTATGACACCGTACAATTTTAATGAATAAAACAAATTTACCTGCGTCATTAGAGGAGCAAATGAACTCTGTAGACCGATAAGTTTGCCCAAACTACTTTCGATAAGCGTTGGAAATTGCAATAATCTTAACGTATGACCTGTTGGAGCTGTATCAAAAACAACTACGTCAAAGTCCATTGATTGTATTAATCTGAAAAGATGCCACAATTCCTCGCTAACAAATAAAAAATTGTGGAGAGCACAGTAGAGTGGGTACATTCAGAAGCACATAACTTAGCAAAACGATCTTTTATAAAAAAGTGGCCTATAAAAATAACGGATAGTATAATTAGCAGTGGATATAAAAAGTTTAAAAAGGCGGCTTATTAAATAATATCATAAAAAGGAAGCAAAAAAACAGTACTAACACGCAAGTTACTATAAAGAAATATAAACTGTTTTGAAAATAATGTCAAAAAATTCTTTATAAAGCACTTATTACTTCATCATTTGCGAAAAACTCATTGCTTCATCGATACCTGGAAGACCGCCAACCATTTCTTGTAACACTTGTCTGCCAAGACTTATGATGTCTGGAATAATTAAAGATCTAATGTAATAGTCGCTGCTACAGTTAACACTTAGAATCGAAAAAACCGGAATAAACTGTTACGCTTAAACTTTTCTGAAGTTTATAATGCAGAGATGTGAGCATATCGAAAGGGAAATGGAACACCATAATTAAATTCCGCTACAAATTAGCCGAAATATCTAATTCATATAATTGATTCCAGAGTAAATATGATTACAAAGATATACCTCCTTCACTACTCTCTACTCCAGGATTAACCATTTGAGCATCATTCCCGAGGTTTGCTTCAATCTCCTATAAACAAGAAAGTAGGCATAAACACAAACTGTGGGTCATAAATATAAATGGAAGATTAACGTTGATTTCTGGAACGAACCATTGCATACAAGTTATTGAAGCCATTCACGGCGCTTGGAGTTTTGTTGAATTTTTGTGCAAAGGCATCCGATATATTGTGTGCAGGGTCTGTGGAAATTATAAGCACACTTCGCCGTACTTGTGATAATTGAATGGCTAACGAACAACTACAATTAACTAAGTAATTAGCAAAATAAGGATATGTAATTATAACAGCATTAAAAGTGCAAAAGTCCGCAAATTTCGAACATATTTTCATACCATCTACAGTAAATCATGATCTAGGATAATAATTAAGCTATCCCATAAGTTATACAGAAATGAGCAAAAAAGTTTGCTGCACAGTTACGAACCTGGAAGAGTGGAAAATGAAGGATAAATAAAATGAAACCAATACCTGCATGTCGTCTTACCCACACCACCTTTACCACCCACAAAGATCCACTTCAATGTCGTTTGATTGATTACATTTTGTAACGTAGGTTCTAAGGTGTTCTCCATCATAGTCTAAATCTGAACCGAAGGCTTACTCTATCTTAATAACTGAATTAAATTTCATTGGCTGATTAATTTAGCGTCTCAATTTCGCACAACAATGTTTTCGAAAATGGACGAATTCATGGCTTTATATTTGGTCGGGTTTCTTACTCATTCTATTCCAACTTATGAAATAACCTTGTACTAGAATTGTCTTGTCACTTTTCCTTTTGAAAAAAAAGATTGCATAAGTGTGAAAACGATGTTAAATGCCCCGTCTATTAGTCTCCCTCACTTAAGTATCACTTAAAATTGAAGAGCAAAGCTTCCAAATTCCCTTACTACGCCTTAATCAATATCCTGACATACTCTTTTGCTAAACCCCATCGCCGTCATTTCATGAACAAAATCGGGAAATCTCGTTAATTTTGTGAATGGCTACTATCTGACCCTATTACCTTAGCATCACAGGCATACTACATGCACACATACATACACAACACACATACACACAAACACTTCCGGTCATAAGTAAGCTAGCTACTGTGCTCCATATTACAAAATGCACGAGACCGTGGTTTTTCACTACGCCACACCGAGGCTTCCGAAACAGTTCGTTAAATTCAGTTTCCGGTTGCATAGGTGTCACAATGCGGGGGTGGTGACGGTTCCGGTGATAAGGCTAGCAAGGTTCGACGACAAACACAATAGCATGGTCAGGACAGCAACAAATACTTTTTATTGAGAGCAAGGAGAAAATAATATATGTCAACTGTATAATTTAGTGCAGACTGAGGGCGACATTGATGACCAGCGGGCCATTTCGATTGAGAAATTACAGATGCAGTTATTGAAGCAGTGAAGCTTTTCTTAACGGAGCAATCTAGACAAATGCTGCCGACTAACTTAAAATTTTTTTTTCATATAATATATTTGTGATAGTCGATTTAATCTAACATTTCATTTCACACAAATTTTTACAGATAATATCCAAACATACAATATACATAATCACTCTTAGTTCATATTGGAACTGAACTTTAAGTTCTTTAGCTATAGCGCCACCTGTATTCATTAAGATGAGCGAAACGAACGAAAACCGTCAGTACTTTCACCACCATTTATCATAAGTAAGTTATGTTCAGCAGATCAGTATCAATTAAGTTGTCATCTATTGAGTATTTTGCAATAAAATCCGTTTTTGTCAAAAATTCTCAGTTTTCTGAAATGTTGATTATGAGGATAGGAAGAGCAAGGAAAGGTTTCGAAGGCAAAGAATTATTTGAAATTTTAAAATGTTTTGAAAAATAGAAAAAATTTGAAGGGAAAGTTACCAGCAACATAAAAGAATATATAGCCGTCCCTGATGCATTCAGAAATGACTTCCGCTTCCGTTCTTTCTTCAACGTCACTATCATCAAAATGTATCCAGGTATTGCTGTTTAGGTTTCTCAAATCGCATACATAATGCCCTGAATTTTCGTTCATATATATAGTTAATTTCTGGTTAGGGAGAGTTAAATGACTTTAAATTTAAATTTCAATGGGGATTTTTAAAAGGCTGGTTCATTTCTTAAACGAAGTATTGTTCGATGGAGTGACAAACGCCCTTAGTTATAAAGTGAATACTGACCTTTACTTGAACCAATTCCCTTATGACTGATAACTGCAGCGAGGTTATAATCACATATCGCACCATTCTACAAAAGAAGTATATAAGATTTCCTCAGAAATAGAATAAACTAAATAACAGCTCATATAAGCATCTAAACTAACAAGCTTTCTTCGAAAATTTTCAGAGTAAAAAAAAAAAATGTTTGGATCTGAACAACAGCATCACCATTCAAGTCAACAAACGTACCGAGATAATGTCAAGAACTGGTTTGTAATGAAAATTTTCATTAATAAGGAAAATCGCATTCTTCCTGCTACTATTATACTTTCGAATCGGCAATTCTATAAGGATAGAAGGAATAAAAGTCAAAAAAAATTCTGAGAGACATTTTGTAACGATTTTGACGATGATTATAAACTTTAATTAAAGCGACCTTTAACTGTCATTCAAGCTATAAATGGATGTTTGTTATGGGTATTTTGAAAACTTTAAAATTTTAAATTTTTTAAATTTTATAGATGGAGGTTTGTCATCGGAAAACTCCATTAAACATTAATATTAAAAAATATGTTATTAAACAGATATCCAGTAAAACTTATATTTCTGCAGGTTTTCATGAGAAAAAGATAAGGAAGAGAAAGGAACAAAGAAAGTTACTGTGAGATTTGCCATCCTTTCCGACCGTATATAATGGTCTATACCGAAGCCATCTGCTGTTAAAAAATGTCCAAATTTCAACATTTAATAAAGCGGCAAGGGCAAGAAGTTCAATTTCTGTTGCCCATTCGCCATCATTTGTCATTTTCTTGATATGTTCCTTCCATTTAGCCAGCGAAAGGTGGTTCACTTCTCGAAGTAGATCGTTATAATTCTCTTCAAATTTCACTACCTTGAAAATGTAATGATTGGACTATTTACTTAATTTACAATTTAATTTACATACTTAATTTACAAACATTATTTAGATAGAAAACATGTCAATTACATTTTTCCTAACGATCAAGTGCTCCTCATCACTTCCTGATAAGTAAAGCGCTATGGAACGAAAGAGACAGTTTCCATCTGCTACAACAGGTGCAATCTTTGAAGGTACGCTTTTCTGGAAAAGAGGTTTCTTCTCTCGCCTGTAAAATAAATTTTAAACAGTTACCATATTCACTTCTACAAAACTGCAATCAATGATTCTTTTCACAAGCCATGATGATTTGATCCTTGCTAAGAGCTTTATAAAACTATCCAAAAAATCCTAAAATCGATACCGAACTGCTGAAAAACGGTAGCGAATATTTAATTCGGCACAACAGCGTTCACAAAAATCAGGTCGCGGTAAACAGAATAACGTTAAATAGTCCAGTCTCTAAAAAATAAATCAAGGTCACAAAGAGAGAAATATTTGTATTTGCAAAATAATCTATTAAAAAAATTTTGCATACGAATTAATAATTTTAATAAAGAGAAAGATCTTTCACACCCTACGTCAATAAAACAAAAATTGAGTTAAGCAAAATTACTAGAAAAAAAACAGATGGAAAACCTCGTCAGCATTCGAATCATCTGCAACTACTGAGGACTTTGTGGACAATCTTAATTTTCCCGCTAACTTTTCACCATCGCAATCTTTAATTTCCTGAATTTTTGGTGTACTTTTTTTAACGGTTCGTTTAAGATCCTCTCTTATCTAAAACGATTCTATTGTAAGTTTTCAAAGTGTTTCAGTACTCTCATGTAAAGGTTTGCGAAGGGAATTTAAAAAATAACTTAAATATTTAATCCTTCAGAATCAGTAAAAACCATGTCAGATTCTTTTTCCCCTATTTTTTTAAATAAATTACATCATCATTTATAAAAAAGAATTATAGTGTTACAAAATAACTTTAATACCTTTAGTAAAGAGTATTCAAGTTAGAAGGGAAGTCAAACCAACAAAAGACTTACATTTTCTGAATTACTAGAACCACTCGAAGCTACATAATTCGGAGGTGTTTCCAAAACAAAAGACACTTCATCACTGTTAATACTATTGCTGATAGGAAGGAGGCTGCTAAAAGAACTTTTAGGCTCATAACATTCTCTATTACAAGAAATTAAACGAATGCACATTGAAAGCTTCACTGCATCTTTCAATTTTCTTTGTCTTGCTCTTGATGTTGAATGCTTGAAATCATAACGCTTCAGAAAGATGATCAAGCACCTAAAATGTATCACCTTTAACATGCTTAATAAGCATATAAATACAATGTATTGAAAAAAGTGCAGCACTTGAATGTTAATGAATCCCATGAACTTTCAACCTAAAAAAAACCAATGCAAATCTCTAATTACCAGACAGTATTACGTCTTGAAGAATAATAATTCCACATCAAACTAAGGAGCTTCCACAGTGAAACCGTAAATTGATAAGAATGCGCTCAAAGTATTCCGCATTGGTAAGATATTTAAACTACATAACTCACTTTGAAAAATTAAGGAATTCATGACTCATGGTAGCGTATTTTCCACTGCATTGAAGACAGATATGTTCAACCACTTCACTTTTTAAATAATTTTCTAACAATACTTGTAGCGAAAGTGAGTCACTGTTGCTGTAAAAATTTGTTGAAAAAAGTTTGATGTTGTTACTTGAAGCTATAAATTGTTTAGAAAGTTTTTGTGAAAGAATTTGAATGAGATAAGTAGACAGACACCAAACCTACACTTTATTCACGATTTGTATTGGCAGAAACAGTCCCTTTTCACACATCATTTGTTCGACACCACATCTGCAAGAATTATACCATCATTATCCTACAATCTAGCTTTTTAAATCAGATTATGAGAATTATATAGATTTTATTTAAGAAGAGAAGCTTGATAAGAAACTTGAAATGAAAGATTCTTATCAAACTTCAATGGCTAAGAAACTCAGGAAGTCTGATGACTCATATCCAAAAAACATCCCTACAAATTGCTTTAATTCTATTGTAAATGCCAATTTCATTAAGTCTTCTAAATTAAGCCTTTGCATATCAAATTGCATCGTCCCCTATCAGATATTAGTAGGTAAGACTAGTGGAATGGGGTTAGAAAATAAGGGAAAGCGAATGACGTTTCTTATATGTATAATCATATCATGTAAAAACTTCGATAATTAATAATATAATCAGAAAAATGTTCACTTACATTTCACAAGTAAATGCTATGTAAGTAGAAACACTAACTTATTGCAAATAATTTCATGTTTCAATTCGAAACCAAAAATTGACGAAAGAGATATCATTGATTCGGTATCTGTACTGATTGCAAATGATTTTAGTTCAGAGTCAATTTTATCCAATACAATAGTTAAAAACTCTTTCACATCCTGTAATCACTAACATCATTGACTGCACAATGTCAAAAAAGTGACCTTCCTCTCTGATTTTTTCCTTCATCTTCCCTCCCTTTTCTTTGGCTTTGCCAGAACTTAGCAAGCAAAAAAATATAATTTGAATATGAAAATCAAAAATCGAATACGCTACCTTCTGTTCACTCATTTCAAATTGCTCGTCGTCTAGAAATTTAAAAACATTTTCCAGCAAACACCGCTGCTTTGCACTGGGTGATTTCTGGTAATTTTTTCGAAGTGCTTTTAAAGCGCTGAAAAAATCACATTAGGGATGTGTTCACATCGTATCACGAAATACAACATAAGATATTTTAAAGAATATAGATCGACTTCACTGAAAACAACTTTTGTCAGCAGTTTGGACCGCATGATCCTTCGCAGTCTTCTACATTGTAAAGTTACTTCCATCTTCATTTCCCAATAAGAACAAGTCAATTTTATAGAAAGATAAACAATAATATAGTTAAAAAAAAAACCTCAGAAAGGTGCCTTGTAATGATTCTGGTACGATACTTAACATATCATTAAAGGCCTCAATATGAAACAATCCTTGTAATAAAGCATTCACATAACATGAGTTTCTTTCAGAATTCAGAAATCTAGAAGGATGCATACATTGGAAGATAATGTGATTGAGTGCAGAACAGATAAACGACAATTTACGCCTATTGCTGTTTTTTTCTTCAAAATATTTTTAAAACTAATTTATATTGTAATAACCTGAAGTAAACATTTTAAATAAGGATCTCAATGTTGAATTATCGACTCTACTTCAGGCCTGGAAGGGTCTTCATTTGTTTTCGATTAAACCCTAACTTTCCAGTCCCTATTTATTTGCCTACTACTAATACAAACGAATCCGCTCTTACTGTGACTTATTCTGCTACGAAAATTCGAAACATTCATATGCTGCACAACTGTTTTACCCTTTCAGTGAAACTGTATCTGTTCTTGCCGATAACCGCTCGGAACTCGTTGCGAGATGAGATGCAGACTGTCTTCTACGAGTGCACAAAAAAGCATCATCCAAACTGACAATTCCTTTCTTCGAATTATTGCTTTTTGTAATTACTCCGTTTATTTCCAATATTCTGTTTTCAGAGTGTTGCTTGATAAGAGGACTTAGCAAAATATTTCTGACTTCCTTCTGAGATTTATGAGCAAAACTTTTGCTGGAAGAATGGAGATAAATATCAGTAGATGTGGTTAGTTTTCTTTTCTGATTCCAGTTTTTCATACGTTGTGGGACGACCTTGTCATTGTTCTTCTCGTTTTTGTTCCACTCTATCAGATTTCTTTGAAAAATTAAAAGTAATAGTGGTTATGAGAAGAACATTTCGTGATTTTACAAAGACTAGAACGAAAGCATTATTCGAGAGCCAATGTGTTTCAAAAGTATATGATCCTACAGATCATACAAGCCAGCTTTTGTGAACAATTTGGCATTAACAATACCAAGGAAAAGCATACCTGCCAACACAAGTCTGATGTGTTACACTTATCTGTTGGAATGTTGACAATTGCTTGACCAATGTTCGTTTCTGAACCACTAACTGTTGCTGACTCTCCGATTTCGTTTCACCAAAAATTGGGGAAGGATTACGAAAGATTTATTGGAAAGTGATATATAATAGCAATCTCCCGCCGTCCAAAACCAAATTTAATTACAAAGAATTACCACAACATTTTAATTCATCTGAACGGGATTCGTCTGACTTCAGACAAATAAATATATGACGATTATATCGAATGTTGCCAATCGATTACCGGTTATATTCTCACAAAAAATCATTTTTCGATTCTTCAAAGTCAACCTGTGCGTTTCTGTTGGAGATAACGAAAGGCGTAATAAATCGTGTGACAATCTTTAGATCTTTCAGGCTTTATTAATACATGCTCATTGCAGTCAATGCCCGATTTAAGTTTGCAAATTCGGAATACCAAGCTACTGCAATCTTCCGCTCGTTCCAAGCCGCTTATTTGTGTGCATTCCTGAATTCGTACACAATTTTTACATAATGGAACCAAATCTTCTTGAAATTATGAACTGAATTTATGATTTAAACGATGACTGCTCGATAAAGCCTTCAACATCAACGTTATCACTATAATGTTTAATTTCTTCTGCATAATGATACATCTGGATTCAGTCTTTATACTCTCCTCCTACCGGATGTGAATAAATCCTGTCATTATCATAAATAGGAAGAAAAGAACTCTTTCCAGACGTCGTTCTCCATTTTCCAAATAAAATATTCGCAGGGAGCTTGCTTCGCCATCGTTATACAGCTCAACAAAGCCAGGATGTAAATAGTCCGTGAGTAGCACTTCATCTTTTTCCACGTTAATCTTGAAATAAATTACATTATCAGTATTGTCTCTTATTCTGCAAATTTGAAATGAAAATTTAAAAGAAATGAATATTAGTTCCTACCGATGCAGGCCATTTTGTTAGATACCAAACCATGTGATTTGATGTTGAACTGAGCCACTGCTAAACGTAGAAAAAAAGGAAAATAAAAACAAAATTAATACATTGATTAATTACAATTAACATTCAAGAGCCATATGTGATACCAGTAGAGTTCTATCTGATAAGCACAGAATCATATCCGATAAATATCGAGTCTTAATGGCTAGGACTATGCTTGATGGGTATCGAATCATGCATGAACGTCGTACTGTTATCTGCCTTTGCATAGTCATATGCCACGAGCACAAATGATAAGCGAAATAATCAATACATTAGTTATCCTATGAGAACGGCATGTTCTCAATCATATTCGAGACATTTTCTTACCTGTAAAATCTGTCTATTCCCCTACAATCCAATCATCCTCTAAAGTCATCAAAGTCTGCTATTAGGAAGATATTTCCTAGATCAATTATCAGCAATAACCAAGTAACCCGATTTTATTCACATAAATCGACACTGAGACCTGTATCGAAAAATAAACTCATCCATCTGTCTGTGTTTCTCCTTTTTCTCCCCATCTGAGTCACACATCCTTCCCCAAAATTTGCATAACGATTATCTAAAACTACGTCTTATGCTATATCCGCATCGTTATCACATATCTTATATCAAGTCACTAAGATATTTCTCGAAATCTGTTTCTAAATATTTCAAAGCTTTCAGTGAATCAAACTATTCTGAGCTTGTTTTAACGCCTTATGACACATGCATTTCGTGAGATTCTCCTATCGTTGGAGATACGTACGTGTTTTGTTTTTATTTCTTATCATAATTTAATCGATTAGTATATGAGTAGAATGTGTGCTTTTCATTGAACAATATGGAAGAGCGGGAACTTTAACACTTGTTTTGGTTATTGAAATGGAGAGAGACAGGGACAGGTGAGTTCGATTCCATTTATTGACACATCACATCACGTCTCGAAACAAAAAAGAATTTTTTTTTGTTGTTGTTTGCACGCAGTAAATGTGTGAATAACAACACTGTGTTGTAGGTGTTCGTTCATCAGTATGGCGATATGACTGACATTCGAATCATTTGGCTTGTTTACTAAGCTGTTAATGCATTGTAAAAACTCGTCTAAATGTAAACAGTTCTTGCAAATGAAAACAACAACTATCAGTCTTAGGTGAGTACCTTAACAGGTTTGATTAGGAAATGCTTGAAGTAGAAAAGGAAAAAATAAATATCAACAGCGATTCGTTTTAATATAATCACTCGAATTGCAATATGCACTGCCATCTGATGAACGAATTTGAACGAAACAGAAATGCCATTTAAAGCTAATCATAACTTTTTTGTTGTTAACACACAAAAGTAAACTTCCGAAATTTGCGTTAGAATTTTGATAAAAATTTTCAAGGCATCAAAATAATGCGAAAACTATATGAAAGCAACTAAGTACTGAAAAAGAAATTTGCTTAAAATAAAATTTCCCATTTTTATAAACATTGCAAAGAAAGTTAATTCGATTCGATTATTTAACTATTTGCTCTTTAAGCCAAAATCAAATTGATTGAAAATTCCTTCTCTTTTTTTGTTTTTGAAATAAATACGTGATTTATTAGACGTTATGAGCACTATAGCAATTATCATAGTAAATTCCATAATGCCGTAGGATTTTTACCTCGATTATATTTACAGGAATTCTCAACCCAATTTTCGAAATCAAGAATTATAACTTTGACGAATACATACCTAATCCAAAATCTTTGCATTTCCGATGAAAATTCCCTTCCAGACTTAAAATTTCCTCTCATTTTAATTTATACAGTAAGCAGTCCGTTACTTACATTTCTTTAATGTAAATATTACTTTATTTCTTGAATATTAATTGACAAACTGTACAAGTTTCCCTAACTGGTAGACAAATAATTTTACAGCTGGCAAAATAAGAAAACCTGTTTCTTTGATTGCATCAAATAAAGATGGAATATTTGCATCTTAATAAAATAACTTTTAAAAGATTCACTAAGGCTTTTACACGATGGAACATACAGCCATATACTTTAGAAGTATAGTGTAAGGTCTTCGATGATCCTTAACTTTTGCATTACTTTCAAAATCTGCGATCGTTTTAGCAAACTATTTTCCTTCCATAACAAATAAACAGTTGAGTGCCTTTAAAGTTTGTTTGAAACACGAAAACAAAAAAATCCGGGAAAAGAATAAATGCTTCACACTAAAACGATAACCATATTTTTTCCAATTCAGACTATTTGATCGATGCTAATTAAGATTTTTTTTTTAGGAAGTTGCAAATTCTTATTATGATCGACTAAGAAAAATTTCATATTTAGAATTCTATATTCCATATATTATACATAGATAAATACTTAATTACTTAGTAACAAACTTTCTGTTCGCTAAGAAAAATTCTTTTATATAAGCATTAATTTTGCAATTTGAAGAAGTTTAATCTTGCACCGAAATTCAAATTTAAATTTCTTGCAAAACTGTTAATGAAAATACACATAGTAATTTTATAATCCAATTTGTCACATTCACATTCATCCGCTCAGTTATAGACCCATAGTGAAAATTTCTGGAATGTAGACGAATCATCCGTTTATTAAATTGTTTTGATGATGAACTTAATTACTGTATTCCTCACTGCAATTATATTACTGAATCCTTTGCTGCATAAACAAATAATGAGTTCCTCATTTACAAGATTTTCGAAAATTTCACCAAGTTTTTGGCTTTTTCGTAGTTCGTAAGGGCGGATTCTAATGGAAAATTACTAAAATAGGATACATATCCAAGTTATTGACATTTGGAACAATATGGGAGAATAAATAGTCAAAGAAATTAAGAAAGGAATGAAGTAAATTATTCTACTGATATAACTAGAAATCGATATCACTACTTCATTTACTACCCTTCTATCAGATTTCACTTATAATTAAAGAGAAGAAATCAAAAACAAGCTTTTCTTCCATTGTTTTTTTTCATGCTTTTTCATCCAAAATATTGCCGAAGCAGTTCTTCAGTGCGATTTCTCTTTTATCAGAAGTATTGACGCATGCATCGTAATGAGTTCTGCGTTGTGGATCTATGACACCGTGCTTCTTTGTACAGTGTTCAACGATGGTTGTTTCGTCGAATAATATAATACCGCAATTTCTGCATCTGCAACATTTCTGCTGTAATATCGCATTGATGCAGCGCTGATCACAATGCGCTGGTTAATTAGAAGGTTCATCGAAGTGATACAGAAGGCTAATTTATTCGGTCTACTTTTGTTTCATCACTGAGATATTTTAACGCTTATTTCTTCACCAACATTTTTACACTTTCGTAAGAATTTACGAAAACTTATTCCATCAAGAAAAAAGCTGTTAGAGAAGGGTTATCACTTCGAATAAAATTTAATTTTACTCGAAGTGATGACATCAAATAAACCTGTAATGGAGATGTGCTTGGCCGTGACGCACTAATGACTCCTTTCGTGTTGAAATTTTTCTCCTACAAACCACACACGTCAATTTTGCTAATGATTTCTTCTTTGCTACCGCACATATCTTATCAATCAGCTAAAAGAAAACGAATTTTAGTGATAGAACTAAAAAAACTTTTTCACTTCTGCTTTTGGTTTATTCAACTGTTTTAGCTCATATCGATGAAAGCGATTCATGAAATGAAGTATCATTTATTTTTCATAAGAGATCATTTAGAATTTTTGTTAGAATTATTGTCTCATTGTCATTATCATATTCATTACTACAGTTATCATTTTGATAAGAGTTGTGACATTACTATTTCTTCCTATTATTATAACCGTTGTCGTGTTGTAATTGTGTTAACAAAAGAAATGCTGCTTGTTAACGTTTCAACAGAATGTAACAGATCGAGTAAATTCAGTATTATTGTATGAAGAATATATATGAAGCGTAATTGTCTTCTGATAAATGGGATAAATTAAGAAACGAACATCACAATATGTCGCTTTTGTCTTAGTAATATTCCGCGGGAAGCATGTTCGTAGCAAGGATATTAACTGAGCCATATTTCGCCGGTTTTCATAAGTTATTGAGGGATCCTATAATGATACCATAAGAAATAATGTAAGATTTCAGTCCGAACATTTTTATATGAGTTGAAATATATTCATTTTTCTGGTCGGAAGTTTTTGTCCTAAACATTGCTAAATTTCCAAATTAAAAAATCTTATTTAGTAAAACAAATTAACCTTATTGGGATGTCCCTGTTTGATGTGAGCATAAATTCGTTCTAGCTGGCATTCACTAGCGCCACACATTTTACAACGATAAGGCATTACTTCAGCATGTCCATATAAATGAATTAATATTAATGAATCGGAATTTTGTACTTTTTGTTCACACATCTGACAGATCAGCAAATCTTCTGTCGCATAACTGAAGAAAACCGTTCGATCGATCTATGCCTCATGCAAATGATCATTTTCGTGTTTGGAATGTAAATTTGAGCATTCTTTTTTTATAAGTAAGATAATACCTCATTCGAATAGTTTTAACTTTCCGGTAGAACTCGATCAATGCTTTCCTTTGTTCTTTACTATCTAACTTTTCATCCACACTTTCCACATCCACGTACTGCACATCTTCGGCATCTTCTTTCTTAACGTTATCATTCTGATTGCCGATATCGCATTTAATATTTCGTCCTTTCCTTTTCCCATAAATATGACTGCCAAGTTTTTTGATCTTTTTCTTGGACCAATCCATCCTTCTAACAGTTGAGTTTTCGCTAGAAACATCTGTAAATTAAGATTATTGTTGCTAGATTCAGCAAATCCGATCATAAAATAAAATGAAAGCTTCAACGGCTCGGAAATTCTCGAGAAAAATTGGATATTCATTAGAAATTTACACTTGTTCAAATAATATCAAGTGCTAGTGTATATAAATTTTGACTACAAAATTTTTCTTGAATCTTCTTCTTTTCCTACTAATGAGGTCAAATTATGTAAAGGGAATCAAATCCTCAAAATCTGGATACAATTTTGCCTTACAGTATAATCCATTTCAATTAAAGTGGGAAATTTAAAATTAAACAGATATGACATAAAACGGACTAGAAGAGCAGCAAGGTGCCGATTTCATTTCTGGCTCGATCACGATTACTCTAGCTCGTTTGATTGCTGTTGTCATTTGGGTGCTTCCCACCACCGCTTGTTGCTGTAAAGATTCCGAAATCCATCGTTTCATGAAGGACGATACGGACGGTACTTGCTGGTATAGTCCGTGTTGTGCTATTGTTACCCGTGGTAAATGAATTTCTTGATGCTGCATCAGATTTTGCCATGTTTGCTTTGAAGAATTTGCCATTTTCTGTAGCTCGTCTACTACCAGAAAACCCGCCAGTTCATCAATTTGCGTTTCCTCAATAAGTGGTATGTTCAGTAGTGGTATTGTGGAAGATGCAACTGCTGGAAGATAATTTGTGTTCACCATTGAATTAAAACCAGAGAAAATTTGATGACTATTAGGAGATAAGGGGAAAGCAGAAGAATCCAGATTTGACATGAAGTTCGGATATCTGTTTCGTTGCATAGCAAATGATGCGAACCAGGAATTGTTAGCCGTAATATCAGAATTCAGAATTTGCTGTTGCTGATGCTCTGGTGTCGTTTGATATACTTTCAATCTCAATGTTTTCGGTTCGGGTTGCTGTAGAATTTCTGCCAGTAAACGCTGTTGCTGTAGATCCATTGTATTCGGAAAGCTTAGAGTTACTGAACAGATGGATACCTTAGGCTGTTTGTTTAAGTAGGATTTTAGTACCAGCGATAGTATCTCTTGATTGTCTTTGAATTTGTTGGGTGAAGTTTTGGAACCTTTCTTGCTTTTACTGGTGAAGAAATATTTGCTACTGCAGTAGCTCTCGCTCACATTCAAATTAGCTTGATCCAGAATGGCTTGAATTGCACCGAATATTTAGATGCTGTTCGAAGTATTAGCATCAACTACAATTTTTGGATCCTGTAATGGATATTAACACCTTAAGAATTAAACAATTGTTTTTGAAACATTTATCAACAAGTAAGAAAGTTAGAATGTAGTAATTTAAAAATATTTTTTGGAATTGACTTGTCTACCTCGTACACTTCATATTTGCAGGACCTCAATTAATTTCAAATAAATTTCCATATGTCAACTCGAGGTTATTTGTCATTTGCGAAGAAATTCTTACTATTAGCAAGGAAAACAACATTTAAAATATATTTGCTAAATTGATTAATGAAGAACTGCATGTATTTCTGATTTCTGCTTTTTTGCATGCAGCGTTTTCTGAGAGGTTGGAAAATGCTATATTAGTGTTATAATAAATTAGCCTGAATACCTTTTTAAATATGATTACTGTTTGAAGCAGGAAATACGTGGGAAGAAGTGCTCGATGGGAGTGTTAGATGAAATGTGCGAAATGAGTCTGTATTAGTACTTTCCGCTCCTGCACAGGTAAATGTCTGATTTCACACTGAGAATCGCAGGTATACATTCAACAGCTGTATAAACCCTTCCAAAATCTCTGTCATTTTTAGTTCAATTAAAAAGGTCTTTTAGCAGTAATGTTCGGAAGTTTTCTTTTTTTGTGAGCAGGTATGGAACAACAGCTCTGGCTATCAGAGATAGTATTCTAATCAAGTCAAATTTTTTTAGACAAATTAACAGTGTCTTAGAGTCTTCAAATAACTCTTAGAGAGAGATAAAAAAACTCTTTCTTCCGCTATTCAAAAGAAAATATTTCAAAGTGCCAGAAATTCGTACGAATTTCTGCACTGGTCATGCAGATTGCAAGTCATTTAGAAGAAACGGAGAACTGTATGATGTACATTTTTCTTGTCACCAGTAACACTGAAATTACCTTCAATGCTATTACCAATACTAATAGAAGGACTTAGGAACAATATGATAATCTTTCATTTAAACTACTAGGAACAATATAATATTGCCGCATTTCAGCTTCAGCCCAATAAAAAAATTTTTTGACAGTTCTACTGTAAACAGTGAGTAGAAATTTAAATCGGATTATGCAAACTTCTCTTCACCTGTGTTCTTATCATTACAAAATGTGATGCATAGCTGTCAAGCTGCAGTTATTGATGAGACGAAATTATATTTAAGAGATAGTGAGATATTTTGAAATTTCCAACACTAAAGATGGTAAAATGTTTTGAAGTTCCAAATGCTATCAGTTACCGCTGTTTAAAAAGAGATGACCGAGTAGATTTAAGTTAAGTTGGAATGAGAAAGACTCATGCTAGCGTAACGATTTATACAAATATTACCATCCAAATAAAGCTTTATTTGAAGTTTGAACGGATAATTTTTAGTTTTTTTCTCTCCCTTGAAGAAAGAAAAGTAAAATTGGCTAGGATTCGGAATATCATTTATAATATGACAAAGAAAATTGAAAGAATAATTTGTACATTACTTATTTGGTACTTTTTTCTTCTCAAAAAATTAAAAGAGAAATTTGTAATAAAAACTGCAATCAAATTTCTGCACGCTCATGCAGATTGCAAGTCGTTTAGAAAAAAGGAAATATAAATTGAAGGAAAATACATGGAAATCTATGCTTTCAATATACGCCAATGACACACATACAGACACACACGTTGATGAATGTGACAGATATCAAATCCGAAATGATCAATAAAACAAAGATCATTTCATGCCGTTTTTAAACAAAACAAGAAAACAAAGGAACGTTTTATAGCTGTTTTCTGAGAGGGACAGCTTCTGCATATACACTTCAATAGTGCTGGATGATTTCAAAAATCAAAAATGCAAAAAAAAAAGAAAAAACATTTCAAATGTGAATCATTTTGATGAAAGAATAAAATGTAAGCAAAAGAAAAAAGCAATCAATGCTCAGTGGAAAATTACAGGAAAAGTTTTTTTCGGAAACAAAACCGGAATCCTTTTTGAATCATTTTTAGAACTTTACTTTCTTTTGCACTTTCTGGGAAACAATTTTGAAGATAATAGGGTCACAAAATTAATTGTTTTTGATGATAGCGTTTCCTTCTTTAAAATCTCAGTGCAGTTTTTATTGGAAATAAAAAGAGTGCAATTCCAGAATGAATAATGGACAAAACAGCGAACCTAACAGTTCTTATTAATTCTTCAGTGCTTTTTGATTTCATTTACAATCAGAATAGTATCTGTATGATAACAGTCTATCTAAGTGAATTTTTAAATTTGATATTTTCTCATTATTTCAGTTAATTCTAAATTACTTCGTTCTTTTCTTTAGCCTCTCTTCTTTTCCTTTATGATGTGATTATGGCTACTAGTTTAATTACTCAAAAGATTATTCTTCCAGGTACTTTTGTTTTTATACCAGTCGTTAAATGTGCACTTCTTTGGTAACCATTTTTTTAAATTACCTATAGGACATCATCACTATTAAAGGGCGTGAAATGACAATTGTTCATTTTGGTTTTAGATTTTCGCCAAATGGTTCGTTTATTTAACTCAGTAAACGAAAGTAATCGACAGAAAAAGCAAAAAGTAGTTAGTAAAGGTGGATTTCGGCGAGATTTTGTAATGATTTAAACTACTTAAAAAAATAAAAGGACTGAAGGAGGGAGTGGAGCTAAATTGTTTTTACTAAGATTATCGATTTTTTAGTATATGTACTTATTATATTTACAAAAACAAGAGTTGAGGAACTGTGAGGAGAAAATAAGCAAATTTTAAATACAGTATTTTGAAATTCTTATACTTCCTTTTGTTCTAATCAGGTGCCAAAGTTTTTTCAAATTTTGCTCGATTCACAAATCTAATTTATGCGATGGATATTTTGGATGGAAAGCACTTTGCATGCTATTACTTTATGTCGAATAACACAGTGGAAAAAAAAAAAAAAAACATGTAAGATACCAGTTAACAACAGTCAAGAAGCCAATGAAGGCAGTTTCCAGAAGTATTTCTTTTTATATTAATTCTGAACTTTGGTTATCAAAAAAGAGAAGGCTGAAAAAGAAAATTACCCAAGTTTTCTTCTCTTATTACAAGTGAAATAAAAAATTCAGTAAGCCAAAGAAAGCTTTTAGGAACAATTCTAACAAGCTGATCAAAAGCAATGCAAATATAATGAAGGATATTCAAAGCACGAATGGTTTTTATGCAAAATTAAAGGTTGTGGGAATCGTTTTCGATAACTTTTAATTTCAGACTAGAAGTGAACTTTCCTTCATTTGTCCTTGGTGAATCTAAACTGTGCCAGAACTAATTATAAACTATAACCGATAACAAGAATGTGATTTGCTGTGGCATCTCAAGAAACAAGTGTAAAGAAACTTTGAAATGTACATTTTGCTGTACTTGATTAATTCGAGAAATTTTTAAGAAATAAAAATTTGATCTTCCAATCATTAACAAAGCATAAATTAAATTGTCTCCCTCCCTCTCTTTCTCTTTTTACTTCAATAGATCTAGTAGAAGGATTTATATTTTTTTATTTAATTTTATTTTTTAGCATTACACGGTTATAATAAACTAAAAACAGAGCAACATCGTTATTTCAATGGCAATAAGATAAGACACGATTTTTAAGGCTTACCCATGGCCGCTCACATCATGCAATACCAGTCGATAAAGTTTGTAGTGTTGTATTTATAATTAAAAATTTGACAACTCCTAATATTTTGCTATGACAGAAAATGTAAGAGAGAAATGTTCTGATTGGTTTAGATTATTTCTGTCAATTTTCTTCGAGTATCGGGTCGTTCTACAATCTGCGCGACCGTTAATAAACCATAGCTTTACACTACAGATTAAAATAGAATGCATAAAATGTAATGTGCTGCATTCATAATGAAATGCACTAGCTTCGGTTAAAATAACTGATAATTTATGCAGCTGAAAAATATTTGTTCTATGCTAAATCAAGAATCAAGAATGACGCAATTTTGAAATTATAAAATTGCAGTTATTAATTACTGTTTGTGCTAATGTATCGAAAGAATGACGCAATCTTGAGAAATTGCGTCACTTTTCTAAAATTACACTGGCTAACAGAGTGAACGCTTTTTCAATCAGGGCATGAAAATTATTTGGCGTCAAATTTCAGTTTTTCAAATTCAATTTGCAAACGTCATCACTTTTTCAGTAAAACGTTTGGATAAAAATGAAGCGTGTATATTTAAAAGCTTTAAGTGAACTGATAAATTTGTTATCGATTATATCTACGACAAAGATGGTATTAAGACATCATCTACTCACTTACAAAAGCCATGGCACTATGCTGGATGCTTCGATACTCTTGAAGATACTTGATAAATAGATGTTTAACATAATAGAGCCTTGAGTAACGGAAAAGGGAAACATCTTATGACAGAAACTAAACATCAATTTCTTTTACAACCGGAAAGTCCTTCTACCACCATTTCGAAACTACTCAGACTTTATGTCACTATTATCTAGAAAACTTTATCATGCAATGTATAAGAGAATAAAAAGTGGATTATAGAACAGAGAAATTATTCAGTGTATGATAAATTTAATAAAAATAAGGCAGTCGATAGTGATAGACGAATAGGACAATTGAGGTTAAATTTGCTCTAATTAACATAAATCAATGCAACTTATTTTGCAAAAGCTTTTATTTTCCTAACGATGAAGGCTTTTTTTGCTGATTTGCATGCATGAATAGTTGTGATAGAGGTTTTATCATTTGAGGGACATTTATTCTTTGAAGACATAATATGACAATAGTACAATACCTGAGAATAATTAAATAGTTGATTATTAGATTGTAGAGATGACAAATGCAGAATAAATAATGAATGAAAAGCCCTGTTTGAAAGATTTCTTATTTAATGGAAGTTCGCTTACAAAGACTTTTACAAATGAGTTGATTTTCAGACAGAAATTTCTTACAATATTCCAACAACTGCATATAACTTAAGCTGATTTACAACATCCTTACAATTACCGCATATTTCTATAAAAATATTTTGCTTTTTTCGAAAACTTTGAATAGAGAATCAGTTTAATCGGCTCTGTCATAAAACGATCCGGCTAAACTGATTTAATACTGTTGTTTTATTGCTACTGCTTGCGGTAGTTGAATTCTTTTTGCAATTCTCGATGTTACTATATAAATTTTACAATAATTTGACGAGGTGGCATCGGCGGCAGCTAAACTATTGTTTGCCATGTGTATAGAAGGTTTTAAACACAGTTTAAATGTTCGAAGAACGTCTAACACTTAAATACACACACAGACACGCATATAAATAAATAAGAATTTTACAGAGAAATAGAAACTTTCCAGTTCACCTTCCCAATGAATTTGTTTTTAAGGCATAACTAACCGTTATTAGAAAACAAAGAGAAACAAAATAAGAATTGAAATGAAACTTGAAAGGGTTTTAAAAGAAAAAGTGATGAAAAGAGAAAGATAAAAGTTGGTTTTTATCATTTGAAAGATTTCAAACCATTCACCATCATCTCTTACACACCGATACAGTTCTTCAGTCAGATAGTATTTCATACTTTGGATCGATGCTTTAAATCCGCTTCTTTTTCCACCTAAAGAGGTAGTGTTTGAAAATAGTATAAATAATAAAACACTTCAAGAAACACCGCAAAACGCTTCTGTATTCTCAGTTTTTTCCCAAATCTAATTCGTGCTGTTTCTTATCACAATATTGAAACACTTCAGCAGTGAAAGCGATTAAAGATCTTGGCTTTTTAGTGAAACTCTTTAGGTACTTTCTTAATTCTTCATGACTGCCCTCAACGACATCTATTTGAAAACGGTTTGCTACACATTTAAAACATGAAAGCACTGAAACAACCGTGGCTTTTATATTTACATTTCTTTTCATGATTGTTCTTGCGCTTCTTCGCGAATGTTTGAAAAATCAAATATTAATATTACGTAAAAAAATGTATCCATTTTTTTAAAAATAATTTGACAACTATTTTATTTTTGTCTCTACAATTGTTTCTATAATATCACGAAAAGGTGATATCGGTGCGAAGTTTTTCTTCGGTTAGAAGGTGCCTTTATTGGCTATGAAGGATCAAAGATCTCACCGAAATATTCGAAATTGTTTAACAACCTAAAGCAGCTTTTGAGTGTGAACTAACAGTTCGATCTGATCCTATAAATAGTGTTCAGTACTGTAAAAACCATAGTAAATCACATAAAGGCTTTTATCCATTTTTTAAGTCTCAAGCTCTATTTGATGGCAGTAAATCACTATACAAAAATTGTTTTGTTGTTTTGTTTTAAAATGGAAACATTTCTGATACCTCAAAAAACCTGACAAGATAATGCGCAAATGCTCAGTAGATGACTTTTTTTGAAAAATGTATTTAAAGTGCTGTCATGGTAGGCATATGAACCATCAATTTAGATCGTAGTTGGAAAGCTTAGACAATTTAAATTTGAAGAAACATTACCGAAAATCTAAAAAAGTGTAAAAAATCATTAAAAGTTTGATAAAAATCTTTCTCTGGTTGACTTTCAGAAATTATTTTAGTAATAAACATGCAAGATGGTGTCATTTTGTACTTTTTCTTAGGAAAACAGCTGATTAACTGAAATCAATAAATTCTTTGGACTTACAGACACATTCTGCAAAGGATACAGGAAAATTACCAAAAATCGTGAAGTGAAAACAAATTTCAAAGACTTAGATTTTCTCTACAATACAAAAATAAAATATTTGTGATGCACGACTAAAGTCTCAAAACTTAATCAAAGCAACTGTCGTCGATGACACCATTTGAAATCATCATTTTATAAGTTCCGTAACCTTTCAGGTTATCATATGCAACTACTTCAGGTAATCATACACAACTATTCTTGTTTGTTATAAACAGGAAAAAATTAAAACGGTCTCGAAACATATAAAAGAAAACTTCTTGATGTACAAAATGTAACAATCTTAAAAAAGAAACCAATAAATAATTTATGACACAGTTGCAATTACCATCAACAGTTCATTTTACACTAAACAACATTTTTTGTACATAACCATCAAAACTAATATATTTCAATACTTATAATTAACAACTCTGAAGACAAGTTTTTCTAGCCTTCCATTAGTATTCAAAATTTTAAAGTATGGACATCTTTATCCCTACACAATATGTCTGTATAAATCTTTTGTACCCGTTCAAAAGCTCAGTATTCAATCTTTTAGAACGGAGTTGCTATGTTTTTCAATTTCTATTCTACTACTGTAATCTGCAAAATAACGTTATCATCCAGATTATTTGAATCTATAACTGTTTCAATATGGAAAGAGTGCATAAGATGTATCATCTTATTTAATTTATAAATAAGGCAATAATATTTGAAAGACGCAAGAAATACCATTCAACAACTGTTGCCATTTCGGTTGCACACAACAAGAAATTATAGAAAAAACTTTTAATTAACGCATTATAAAAGCTTTATCTTTGAAGATTAATATCTGTGATAGGAGTTATTGACTGACGGAGGTACATTCTTGACATCCATTACAAGATAATTATCAAAGGACATCAAGGTGTTGCCACTAGATGTTAGGTTGATGAGAAACGAAATGTACTGTTGACCGAGCGAAGGGGATGAAAGTGAAATAAGTGATTGATCACACTGGGTATTAAAATAGCATTATTCATCTAACATATATTTAAAATAAAACAAAAATAAAACATTTTTTTTTAAATAAAATAAAACAACATTTATAGCACAAACTTACTTTAATGGCTTCAAGTTATTATTTCTATCATACAAGAATATCAACAAATTTTTACTTTATACGAATATTCATGTCCTTCCAAAATTTTTAGAATTCTTGGTTTTACAAGTGATCTTTTACAAATGATCAAGACAAAGTCTTTATGAATTAGATTTATACAGATTTCATGTCTGCCAATAATCTCTCAGAAATTCTTACTAAAACAAAAATCTAATGGACTAAGTGCAGTTAAAAGTCAAATTATGTATAATCCTCAGGTTAGCACGGTATGCCTTAATGCTTGTCCAAATAATATTACTATGCCCAAATAATGTAACATAAAAATTTCTAGTACAAAGGTTACTTTATTTAAATATTTCTCAGACAAATAATTCATTAAACAAAATAAAATAAAATGTTTGGTTGCTAAAGCGATGAATCACTTATCTAATTCTTATCTTCCGGTCTGATAATCAGTCTTATGTACATTGGTTGCAGTACTGCAAAGATCTTCCCACTTGATAACCAAGCTTATATTCAATAGTAAAAA